TTTGTTTATGTAATTGTAAGTTTTAGAATTTGAATATGAGACATGGTAGTGATGATTTGAGTCTTGTTATATTTTGGAAAAAAACTTTAAATACAAATCTGAGAGCATTTAGCATATAGATATCTCACTTTTTAGTTTTTATTTTAAGCAATTATGTGTTGGCAATAACTTAACCTGACCTTAATCTCCTTTAAAAATAACATTAATAGCAAAGAGATTAGATTAAGATCAAAGATTGCTTGCTTCATCAACTAGTTAATAGGGACATTAACATTCTTTATTTCTCCCTCACTGCCAAAAGTCAAAACTGATTAAACTTAAATATAATATAATAGTTTCATTTGAGGATATTTTTGGTAGGAATTTTCGTTTCGAAATTTTCAGGGAATAATAGTATGGGTTCTGATTCAAATTATGTGGAGTTTGCTTAAATGAATACCTAAGACTGTTATAAGAGACTTTATTATGTATCCATGGGTATATATGATATAATATTATAAATTATTTCAAGAGCAAATTTTTTAATGTATTATATATATATATATATATATAATTAAAATAGTGTTCTTTGACCAAAGTGTCATTATTAAAAGAGTCAGGCATAGTTATGAATTAATTAAGTATTTTTAGATAAGACATATGTTCCGACGGAAATAAACAATTACTATTTTTTTTCTAATCTTCAAAGTGATAAATATTTTAAAATTAAACAAAATTTTTAAAGTGACAAATAAATTGACATAAAAAATTTATGTACGGAAGTTCTTATAAAAAATTACTATTCTCTCAATTTCAATTAATTTGTGGCTTTAAAGCTTGTTCTGTTTTAAAACATTTGAAGATTTAGAATATTTAGAAAGTATCAAATTTTTTTAAAACAACTCTTATTATTTGATTTGTCTCAACTAATTTATATCTACATCTAACTCTTTTAATATGAGTGTTTTAGTAAAAAAATAATTGGTCGTAATAATTTATGCAATTAATAATTTTTTAAGATGTGTATATTATCTTATTTTTGGTAGAGTAATTATTTTTTTATTTTAAAATAAAATAATTTTTAAATTTTATCTATTTAGGTAAAATTGTATATTTTAATTAAGTACAATTTTCCATTCAAATTTTCAGCATTTAATTTGTTTACCCAAAAAAAATATTTTAACTTGCATGTGTGATTAACTTATGCAGAACAACCCTTTGAGTAATTAATCAGTCTTTAATTTACATTAATTAAGAGTCTACTGAACAAAAGCTAGGTAAAAGTTTAATAATTAGTGCTTGTGGTGTTTTTTTTTTCTAAGAGTAAGTGTTAAATTAACTATGAAAAATTCAAAAAAGAGGACGAGTTCATTAAAATATGATATACATGTCAAATTCCCATTCAAAAATATCAACAGAAACACTTAAAATAATTTTATCTAAAATTTGTTTTTGCTTAAAGCTGTGCCATATACTTATTTAATATTTTTGAAAAACAAGACATTTATTAACAAATATTCCCAAGGTAACTATTAAGAAATTAAAATAAAATATTAAATGTGAAATAAAATATTTAGTATCTTTTTTAAATTAAATGTTTTATATCTTTATGATCATATCTTTGACAGTTTATTATTAAGTAATTATAAACATATTTAATTGAAGTATCAAATGAGATGTCCACTTTAACCACTTCACCATTGATATATAAGACCATTAATTTTGCACGTCAATAAACTAAAATGATCAAGAAGGTTCATTGTACGCCAATATCTAACTTCAACGTTCACTACAAAATTTTAGTATATTTTTCCCAGTCAATCCAAACAATATAGGATATACGAAAGAGTGTCATTTAGTTCAATTAATTAACCAACTTTAGTATACTCCATAAAGGTAGGAAAACACGGTCTCTCAGAAGAAAGATTGATTTATAGTTAACAATTCCTTACTAAAAAAGACCAAGAAAAGTGAACGAAGTGGTTGCAAGATTGACTACTATCTGCATCATATTGTTTCATTTGTTTGTAATATACTTTTTAGGGTAAAACTTGAAATATTGGGAGTTGACATTCCGTTCTAAAGCAAACAAAGCCTTTAGAGTTATGTCATAGCACTTGTAAAATACTTATTTACTTCACCTTAAAGAAGATAAAATAAAAACTCAAACCTATAACGTATATAAGATCACATCTTCATTCATTTGACCAATCTCATGAAGTGTAAGAGGTATAGTTTCTTAATTTTATCTTTTTTCATCCAATAACCTTTTTCTTTTCTCAATTTGGTTCCTTGATTAAAGAATCATCTTTCAATGCGGCCTTTTATCATGATTTCATTACCCTCTTACTTAATTCATTCTAAACAACTTTTTTCCTCTAGTGATGCAACTTTAAGAAGTTTCCCAAATGGTTTACATGCTATTTCATGTCTTATATATTTACAATATTTTTATTTGTATTTAACTTTTTTATGTGTTACTGTAAGAGAATCGTATAATGTTATTTTTCTGGCATGCAACTAGTGCTTGTAGAAGCAATTAGAATTCCACATATCAAACAACTCTAACCATGCAACTAAGTACATAAGAGTTGCTAAATTGAAAAAGTAACTTACGCAACTTCTCACCGAAACTACTTTTAGAACAACTGTAACACCTTAACGCGCAATACCTTAACTCCAGCAATATGCATGTACCAATATTGAGTTGCATCTTTAAAGCAATGTGAGTGACGATTCAATTATTAAAAACAGTACCTTTAATAAGGAATGATAGCTTAGTGGGGAAGAGGGCCCAACTTTTTAGTAGCAAGGATAGAGTTGTTTTAATGAAAGTTATGATGTGATGTTGATAATGATGATTTCGCTTACACAGAGATAGATGACTTGGCTGGATAAGGAGAGGCAAAAACAACGTTATTTAAGGTTGGTACATAGTACTTCAATTTGGTTCCTTGTTTTTTTATTTCTTTCTTAATTTTCTCTCCTTCTTTTGATTTGGGTTTCCATTAATTTGGCCAATTACTCAAATAAATGATAAGTCTCCTTTCTCATCCTTAAATCTAACAACCAACCACCAACTATTTACCAAGCAATAACACCTAATACCAATAGCCACCATTACTAGCCAGTGGAATAGTAGCCCGTGACTACACCCAAAACTCTAGTGTCAATTCCCACCAAGTCATCTGACATACAGCACTAGCCACCATTGTCGCCAACTTGATCACCAACCATAATAGGACACCACTTTTCATGAATCAAATATGATTGAAGATGCTACTAACAAGCAGACTTCACTGTGAGTTTGGATTAGCGGTTGCAAATTTGAGTTTGAATAAGTTTAATTTTGTTAAATTAATTTTATTTAGAAGTGAATTTAAAGTAACGTTATGTATATTTAATTTCATTTTTTACTTTAATGTAAGTTTCTAACAAATTTCAATCTAATTTTTTTAACTTAACGTGAGAAAATATGAAAGGTAAAATTTATCATGTTGACTCAACTGTAAATTTAGAGGCAAAGTAATTATATCATAAAATTATCAAATATGTTAGCACAAACTTCAAATCACCTATACATTTTAAAACTTGAGTTTAAGGACTTTCAATACTCATCCAAAGGAGCACTAATGAGACACTACCAACCAAAAGGCACTAACCAGATGCAATTAAAGAGTTTCATCATTGCAGGACGAGCCTAATCACTGTCAACAAACCCATAAACTCCTCAAATTGTTGGTGTTGGAGTTTGTGGTGGTATGGCGATAAGGCATGGTGCTAAGGTTGTCATTCACACACGTAGTGTTATGAAGCGTGGAAATGACTGAGCTACTTATTAACTATTTAAATTTGGTTCATTAAATATTCAGTTAGACTCATAATTAATTAAATAAGTTTAAATTTAAAGTTATGCTCAATTATTTGAATGGTTTAAGTTTAAATTCCGTAAATTTGACATTAATTGCTGAGTAGTTTGCATATATATAATTAGATAATTATAATTTTATTTATTAAATTTTATATTTTTTATTATTACCATTATGTGTGTATTATTTATCTAATTTTAATTTTAAAGAGTTGTATTTTAAGTAAGTGACTATATTTTTTTAAAAATATATTTTGTGATAAAAATTATTTTTAACCCGAAATCATTTTCATGTATAAAATTATATTTTATTGCTATTTCAATTTATTTATTTTTAATATAAAACTATTTATTAAATACTAAATTAATAAAAAATTAAAACATAATAAAATTATAAACAAACTAATAAATTAACTTTAAATTTTAAAATAATTAATTAAGTTCAAACTTTAAATCTAACTCATTTAAATAAATGAGCCAAATTTAAACACTCTTTTTTTTTCACCAGTCAAATTTACACTTTCAATAATCAGTATGACTGAATTCCTTTAAAACATCCAGTGTACAGAGTATTTATCATCATACTCATGTTTATTGCTACTCCAATTTAAAATTTTATGTAAAATACATTTGCTATTGTTATAGTTATAAGAGAGAGAAAATAATATTTTAGAAAAAATAACTTTAAAAATAATAAACATTTAATAATTACAATAAATACATCTAATTGTCTATGCATTAAATGTTTGACATCACAGGTGAAGAATGATGCGTTGTAGTTAAAATCTGGACTTAATCATATTCTCCGCTAATATGTTAACTTCCCAGAGATGAAAAGTGTGAAAAAAATTTGTTTACTTAATCGGTTAAGACTGAGTTTAAACATTTACAAATAAAAAGTTTTTATAAAAAAAATACATAATTATTATATTAAAATTATAAAAATATAATAAATATTTTTTTTCTAATAAAGTTTTACTATTATTAACTGTTTATTCTAGCTGAAAGTTAACAAAACTTTATTTTTTTTCATCTACCGTGAGCCAGAATGCAATACTTTGCTTTTTGATCAAAGCATCTAAATTAGGATAGGGATAGTCCATAGAGAGGCTTCAGATGAGCTCTAGTGGTAGAGCAGAAAGGAAATAATTTTGAAGAGAAAAATTAACAACCTTCAAATGCAAATCATTATATATATTATACACATTTCATATTTTACAATTACATTCTGTATTTTTTTTTCTTACAAAACTAACAAATGGATAAAATTACAATTAATCACGAGAAAACATGATCAACTAATTTTCAGTTGCGGTCCTCAACTGACCAATGCCAAAGAAAATTGATTATGCTTGATGTTGCACATATTAATTGGCCTCGTATTGTTTTCAGAACAAATATTGACAGGAAGGGCATTTGCTTCTCGTGTTAGGCAGGACTCTTGCTAAACCTCGTCAAGGCACCATCACCATGCAACCCTCATTTTAATAAACAAAAATCATGTAATCTAAGTAAAACCACTAGCACGAATAGGAACGGCTCCTCCGATTGCCCTACCATGGCTGCTTGAAATGAGGGAGGAAAAAGAAAATTTAAAACCATTCTCCAGGCCTCAATCAAAGCAGATAGTACAATTTTTTGTCACGCATTTACCTTGATATGGTGCATGGGCATGCACACTCAGGACAACAAATCATAGTGACTATGTCCATGTATATCCCAAGCAAATTCCACAAACCAGAAAAAAGGAACTGGGAGATGAAGGAACCCTGTGCACCTAAGGCTGTTCTGCAGAAGGGAAATGGTATTGACCCCCAACCTTGGTATGGTATCTACATCATGCAAACCGATCGACCAATTGAAACACCAATAACATTGTGCAAAAAATTGGCTTTGCAGAATTTGCTTGAATTATCTACTTCTATCATAAAAATAGTTCCTGGGATTCCATTGGAGATGTCCAATACTTCAGCAGTGCTTCTACAGTTAACCTTCGAGTTGCACTGAGCATTGAGATAAAAAACCGACAACCATCAATTTTATACTCTTCAAGGGGATTTCTATGGCCAAAGCTCCTAACGTTCACCTGCCACAACTCTGAGATTAGCCTTTAGCTGTTAAGAAAGCTAAAAAGATTTGTGTGAGCAAAAGGACAAATTACCGCAGAGCTGAGCCTATTCATGTTTACAAGATGATCTCTCCAGAAACAATCAAGAGTTTTCAAAAGAACAGCTCTCTGTTTCAAAAAATAAAAATATTAAATATAATAAATGTTCTATTTTTATAAAGATAGAGAAACTTAAAAATCCCTAAAAATGAGAGAACAAGAAGCAATTAGATTACAGAAAGCCAAAACAGATAATAGAAATAAACAATCTCCTTATGCACATTAGCAAATTTCTCATTTGGACAAATACATCAACGGTTATCCACATTAACAAAACTAATATAATATCACCAAGTGATTTGTCCACCATCTAATTTTCATTGCATTTGAGTGTGGATGTTTTGGGATAAAATAGCAGTAGATAATACTGATGCAGTAAATGGTGCATGACCTTAGGTACACTCACTTTATTTCATCTTAACTTCAGCATATATTATTCTCTAGGCTCTGTTTTGATTTGCTTCCTAGGTCATTAAATCAAGTATGGTTCTCTAGGTTCTATTTTTGTAGCCATAGTGCAACTTACAGTAAATAATCCAACTATGGAATCCAGCATGGTATGTTTTGATGTTTGTACTTGATTTAAAATCTATGGATGCACTTATGCTGTGATGTGAAATGATTAGCATATGGTACTGGCATTAATTGCTGTAGGTTAGAAGCTATTCTTTATGCTATCATATTTACAGATGGCAACCAAATTTTCATTTACAGGAAAAACAGCTGAATATCTTACCTCAATGTCCTTTACATGTCTATCATCATAACCAGACTCTTCAACAACATTTAAATATGAAGCAATTAGAAAATCCCCAAGATACTTGCGCAGAAGATTAGAAGTTGTTCGATACTTCCCATTCCTACATTAGACTTACATCGGTAAGTATTAGAACTCTATTGAATTTCTCAGATCTACAGTAAAGCAATAAACTTACCCAATTACATCATCAGAGCAAATAGCAAGCCATCGTCTTAATGAAGAGCTCTTCCTCCGAATTCCCCTGAAGGCATTTGGAGGAGGTGGCAAATTCGTGAGGGAAAAGTTGACAACATCAACTGAACTCACATCATTAAGTAGCCCAAGTGAATTTAGTAAAGTGTCGTCACTGATTCCTCCAAAAGATTCTGCTAGAAACCATTTGAGAATATCAATAAGCACAGTGTAAGTTGATTCAGCCAAAAACAGAATATGTAGAGGACAAAATTTGTGCAATGGAATTAAAGGACCATAGTTGTTGTGAATGAGCCTACCATGCAACAGCTTTCCACCAACAGTCATAAACTCTTTCAATAGCTTACTCAAACCCCAGCTACATGGATGCTACAAAATCCATTCAAAGCAATAAATTAAAGGAATTGGTGGATAGAAATATATAACATGCTACAAGGAAAGGTTAATCACCTTAAGTGGATCAATATTACTGAAGACAATCTCATCCACCACTGCTTGCATGTACCTATATGCAGTACACACAAATACAATTAAGAGCTGTAGAAGAGGAAATATAACTATAAGAGAATAAACCTAGATCATAATAAGTGGACCATAGCCAATGACTCTAGCCTAAATATGCTTGCATAGATGGGGTAAATATTGTTAGAAATGTGTATTACAATGCAAATGTCTTGGTTCAGTGTTCCATGAAAAAGGGTGACCTTGTGCAGAAGGTACCACCTAGGGCAGTGTAGGGAGTGAAGATGTTCACAACCTTACCTGGAAGAACAGAGGCTGTTTCTAGGATTGACCTCTTGGATTAGAACAATTCATTCAAATATAGTAATTAGGAAAAATGATATTGTATTTATTATGTTCATCATATAAATATTGAGTTTATGGTGCAGTTGATATAATTTTCAGTAGATGCTTCTCTTTTCTCTGTTCCACAACATATTACATTGTTATTCATATATCAACAAAGAAAGGCTGCTACATGTGAAGGAAAATAGAATGAGCATGAAATGACACATTTCCATATCCACATACTTGAAAATACTTCTCAAACATAAATGTCCAAATCACCTATCAATTTATATCTATCAATCTCCAGAAAATGCCAATATTAGGCAAGCATAGTCACCTTCTAGTTGCAATAAGTTGAGTATATTTCTATTCATATGGGTTTCAATGTATACAATCCAACCATACCTCTTATTCCAGTTCTTGACAGTCAACACCCTTGTAAGTAAAAAAATCCATGATAATTCAGCATACTTTTCTTGCAAACATATGTCAGTTGAGGTCATTATTACTAGTTTCTTTTTTCTGGGATGAAAGATGAATACTATATAAGCAGAAAGAAAGAACCCAAGACTGCTCATGTTTATGTAACTCGTATCTCAGAGCAGTGCTTTAAATGATAATTTCATTCACCTTTTATATAACTGATTGAACCCCGATAATGCAGACTTTGAAGATAAAGTTATGATTTATACCATACAATTAAAACAGTGTTAACAGTGTAGGCATATTGAAGTACATTAGAGGCTGGGGTTAAGACTTAGGGTTTTTAATGACTAAGGGAAACTAAGTAGGTTAGTGCCAAAAAGAAAACAAAACTTTTTCAGACCAGGGTCACGATTCAAGTCAAGAACTGGAATTGTTCATGCTCAAAAGAAATAGTAGAGACTTGGATAGATATCTAGCTTGGAAGACTACTTCTGATGAATCCGCACATGAATTTATTCTAATATTGAATACTAAATAAGACACCAGAATGCCCAGGGGGTCGAACAAAGAGAATGAAACAGAAGGGCCATTAAAGTTTAAATTACAAATAAATGGACCTGAATAACAGCTAAAGCTCCAAATATGACAAAAATAAGGTGTCCTCATTCTGCTGTGAACAGTATAAATAAAACAAGAACTTAACTGAAACTCCCTAACAGAAAACAATTCATCCCTGAAAGATGTTAACAGATGGGATAGGCACAAAAGAGTGGGCATTATAGATTTAAACAAGGGTTTGAGGCAAAACTGTGTCTAATCCGTCCACATCGGTAAATTTTATACTATGTACAATATTTATTACAAACAGTCACAGAATCATCTCCTATATTAGAGCTTATTGTACTAATCGCCTATGAGTCAGTAACAGCTAAAACTATTCATTACATATGTGCTTAAATCTAACATTTAACTCTAACAGACAGGACTGAGAATTTGAAGGCACTCACTGGAATATATGTTGGGAACAGCTTTCATCATCTCCTGTTAAGATCAACTGCCTTAGATCATAAACATGCTTTCGTTGTACCTTATAAAATAATAAATACAGGAGCAAATTAGTTGATAATGATTTTGAAGACTTAAAGATAAATTCCAAAAGTTCAGTTCTAAAAAAAAGGGTGAAATTTTACTCCAAGAGAAAAGAGTATGCTCTTGCTGCTTTTAAGTTTAATCTGATGAGCATTTTGAAAGATTTAACATAGACATTTAAGTGAAGTTACCTGCTTCTACACTGCAGCTTAAATTGTTAGGAGAAGACATATGAGTGAATTTTTATATTACATCTCGAGCAGTCATGAATTGCAAGTTGTTTTTAATAATTGAACAAAGTTTGCCATGGAATAAAAGCCTATGAACTTCCATTCTAGAAAGTACTCATAATTTGAGTTTTACATGATTGAATCAATCTAGAATATGACAACAAACTTAAGTTATTATACTGTAAACTACAGCAAACTAATTACATAACCGCACTAAGTTTTGAAATATATCTTCATTCCTCATAATAGCAACATACCTCCAATACTTCATCAAACTCAACAAGGTTCTTTCTTATACCAAAGAAGAACTTTTCAGCATTGATTTGCAGTGCCAAAAGCTACGAAAGTATGATTGTCCCAGTTAGTAGTGGGAAGATAACATTCGTCAAGCACACCATATGACAATCACATGAATAAATAAAATTAATAAAAGAGATCACACAGAAAAGGAAAATAATATAAAAAATCAAAATATTTTACTGCATTGGTTATTTGTTATAGAAGATAAAGAAAAGAGTAAAAAAGCAAAATATAAGACCTCCTAAAATCAAATATAGACTAATCAACAATAAAGTAAATAAATAGATTGTCACCTGCTTTACAATGGCATCACCCTCAATTGGCAGATCCTCATCATTTGTAATCTTTGAGATAAGTCTCACTGCCCATTCGGTATCAAAATTGAATTTTTGAAACATCTCATCCTGCAAGCTATAACATGGTGGTATACTGTGAGAACTGGCTGACAGCCCTTAATTAATAAGCCACACACCCAGTCATCCTGTTCCCCTCATAAAACACAGTAGTAAATAAAATAAAAAAGAAGCAAACAGTATTCAACAATTCAGGCATAAAACAGTATTCTTACTTAATGGAAAAACGACCCTGACAAGACACAAATCCAAATTTATATTTCCATGAAAAGGACAAAAAGTATATTAATCATAATAACAATGGTTTTTTGTTTGTTGAAACATTTTGTATTTCAAAAGAAACTTCAAATACACATAAGGAACCTAAAGTCAAATTTGACCTTCCATTTCCTTTCAGCCTATATCAACCAAAAATCCTTGTTCTTGCACCAACAGTGTTGATTATCACCTCTGAAATATATCAGCAAATATAACAATCCTTGAATGATAGTAACTAGCATGGGAATGTATATATACAGTTCTTTCCTGTCATGGATAAAGACTGCATTCATATAAATTTGCTCACATTAGCTTGCCCCCTTTAATTATGTTTGCCTACCAATGTACAAACTTTTGTATGATTTGAAAATCTTTCCAGAGATAAGTATATAATTTCAAACTGAAGAAGAATTTCATAATATAGGAACTCAAACAGTACAATCAAATATAAATTTGTTAATCAAGTTTTTCAAATAAATTGAATTTCTTACTGCCATGTGTACATTCTGTTACACTCTCCTGCTACTGTTTCCTCCTCTCATAACCAACTATAGTTTCACTTGGTCTAACACTCCAGCTCACGTTCCTTTTTTCTTTTATACTGTTATACATACGTGTTCAAAGGCCCAACATGTTAATGCAAAGCTTGAAACTGAAACCTAGAGGGGATCCATGACAACCAATGAATTTAGTGATTGTCTCTCCTGTTTTCAACATTGGTAAAATTAAAACATCATCCAAAAACAATGATAGCACCCAATAATCAAAGCATCACCCCCTTTTGGTTAGCAAAACTTGTTTAGACTTTTATTATATAAAAATCAATTAGTAGTAGCAACAATAGTAGCCGTAGTCTACTATTACTACCTGACCATAAATCGCGTTGATCCTGGATCCCCTTGTCTTCCTGCTCGGCCACGGAGCTAGAGAAAAGATTATTACAAATTGATTAATAAAATGTGAGGAAAAATGCCAGGGATAATAATAATAATAATAATTTTGTCATCCAGAAATAGAGAAGAGTATAAGCTTTCCATCATTAAGATAAAAAATTATAATGGCTAAGTATAATTTTGATATATTTTGTCCAAAACTTTAAAGAAGCACCAATAATATCTTATAGGAGATATCAGGAATATTTACTAAATGTTGGAATTATGACTACCATATATGCTTCCTGTAAATAACATTTTATAAAAAAATTAAAATTAAAATTATTTCTAAATTGAGCAGTAAAAATATAAATATAAAAATATTCCTTGCATATGGATAGCCAAACCAGTCAAGGAGTGAAAGTAAAACCATAGAAACTGTAATCAAATTAATGGATAACCGTCTGCAGAAGCTATACACACACAAACACAAATTAAATCAGAAAGCAGACACAATTAAATTGACATATACAAAATTAAATATATCTAGCACATAGTTATAGAATAGCACATAATGGGATGACAGCTATATTGAAATTTATATACAAATAAAATAATTTATACTATATATAAATGCTGAAAAAAAAAAACTCAAATCCATGACATATTCATAATTAAAAATAAAAAGTCATAGCTTTTAAGCAAAACATACAAGTATATAACAATACAAGTAAAAAATCCTCCAAACAGTGCTTTTAGGGCAAAAATGAATTTTTATGAAAAGTTTCACTCTAGCAGCACTATGGCTGCTATTTTAAAATCACTTTGCTGTTCAAATTTTTTTTCCGCCACAGCCTGCTATTTATAACTATGTTCTAGGCTTGGCAGCAACTATACACCCATTCTCCCACCTCAAATCTTCACACTTCAGTGGGGGGAGTTCAATTTCAAGTGAAAATAGCTAGCTTCCTGACTAAATAAAAGATTTCAGAAGGGTCATATCGGAATGATGTTACCACTTAGACTTTTACTGTGCTCGAGTACCGACCTGATTATCTATTCTCCGGGACTCGTGCAAAGATGTACCGATCACATGAAGACCCCCAAGCCTTTTTACCTCAGAACCTTCATGCATACAGTGTTCCTCACAATCCTTTAAAACTGACAGATAAGCAAGTGCTACTGATGGACCAAGAGGGTAGATGTCAGATTCTTCATTAGCAAGCTTATCCAGCTCCTTGAAAGTATAAGAAAGACTCATTTCAACAGCCTCCAAGATAAAAGATTTAGCCTTCTGGTATGTCCAACTATTACCCTCACTTTTGGATACATATTTGGCTGAAGAATTCATGTTGCAAATAAGAGAATACCTTCAAGTTAAAAGCATGTATTATGACTAAAATGAACAGAATATCATCTGAAATGAAAAATTTTCTCAACTAGAACCACAGACCCATTAAGGCTGTCTTAGCCAATAAGGCCAGTGACGATGATCCAACCTTTATCTTTGGAAGCACCTGCATAAAAACACTCGTTAAAAACTTGATTTTAAAATAAAGAAAATTATAAAACAATAACTAACAGATAGAATTACCTTTTGAGAAATAGCCTCATCAGCAAGTTCAACATTTGGATCCTCTTGTGTCAAAAATGAAAGTAAGCTATCCTCTATAATTTCTCTCGCAAGCATCTATATATAGCAGGCAGAAAAAGTATGAAGTCACTTCCAAGATCCAACCCATAACAAAGTGACATGTCAAATGAATAAATAAAAATCATCGAATTAAAAAGTTATACAAATTGGTTTCATTTTTCTAGACATTTAAGAAATCAAAGACAAAGCATGCTAGGATAGGATACATATAATTCCCACAAAATCTTAGTGGCACACCTACTTTTGGATTTCCTCCAAGGATTATATCTGTGCCCCTGCCTGCCATATTTGTAGAGATGGTAATGGCATGTTTCCGTCCTGCCTGGGCAACAATTTCAGCTTCTCTTGCAGCATACTGAATTAAATGAAAGGGGGGGGGGGGGGGGGAGTTCAGCAAGAGAGGCAAAACTTAAAAATGAAACACTATCAAGTCATATGAAAGAGAGAGACAGAGCATATGCATCTGAAGGTACCAGCAAGTAATACTTTCACAAACCTTGGGTCGTGCATTCAGAACATTATGAGGAATATTCCATTCCCTAAGCAGACCAGACAAAAGTTCCGAATTTTCTACACTGCATATGAAAAAAAATGGAAAATTATTGTTCCATCAAATCTCAACTATAAATAACTGAAAAGCTTAGGCACAGACAAATGTAACTTATAGCTTGCACAAGGAATCCAAGGTAAATATTCCATTATGACAAGATACAACCAATAAGTATAATGATGATGAGGGAACAGGTGGTTTAACGTAAACAGAGGTAGGTTAAAAAGGAACAAAATTTATAACTAGACCACTGAAAAGACACACTATGCCAAGGCATATAAATATCAAAACCTGAGAGAAATAAATTCCACTCTTTTAATAATAATGTAACAGAAAGAGAAGATGGTTGTCAAGAACTAACTCCCCCAAAATTTTGCATAAAGGGACATAGAAACATGGATGCAACCCTTTTGGGCTTGAGGCATGGATGAAGCTTACGTTGTTAGCTGAAGTTAGCAATAGACCTCATAATTTCTTGCAAAAACTGTGCTCAATTGATTAATTTTGAAACAGAAATTTTAAATTTAGTGTGCTCAATATTGATCAACAGATAATAAGATATGGAATCTCTAAAACAATAGCAACAAAGATTTATCCCATTAGGTGGGGTATAAAAACCAAAATTTTCAGTTAAGTATTTAAATCGAGGTTTTTTAAATGGTTTCTCCTAACACTTTTGGACTCTAAAAACATGAAGTTAATGTATAATTTGTATCATTAAATAACAAGAATAACAAAACCTTATCCCACCAGATAAGATCGACTATATGAATCATACGACGTCATTGAGCTAGGTCAAAAACTAAATTTTTAGAAATCTGGTTAATTTTTAATTCTTAATTTGTAATAGTCAACACTGAATGAATTTTAATCCTTAATTATTTGTTTATATAAACAATTCTATAACAGAAAAGGAAGATTAAATTAAAAGTACAACAAAATATCCCTTTTAAATGGTACAAAAGAACATAACAAGCAAGTTCAAGAAATAAGATAACTCTCCAATCCCTGTGCATATATCTGTCAACAAAATTTCCCTGAAGAGATGGTGAGCATATATGTAAGTTCTTACTAATTAAAATCTATCATGCATTTCAGAGCTTTAAGCTCAGAAGTATTTGTCATGATCACTTCTGAAAAAAATGTAAAGCATGACTAAGTGATAGACAACATTTATTAGAAGTAAAACAGCCACAGTATTTACCTAGTTGTCCCAACTAAGACAGGGCGACCTTGTCTAAACATATATTCAACTTCTCGGCGAACTTGCTCCCATTTCCCACGAGCAGTCTTCAATAATATATTAATAGAAAAACCATACAATCAAGATAAAATAATGATTCACTATCATGGAAAAATCATGGTAAAGAAACTAAAGATACTTAATAAACAACAGTAATGAATATTAGATGTCCTACAGCAAAAGCTTGAATAGGCAAATCTTTACGAATATTAGGAAGATTTGTGGGCACTTCAATGACTGGCATCTGGAACATTTTTAAGAACTCTTTCTCCTGCAATGATATATGTGGTCATCAAGAACTCGTAATTGCACAAATTATAATAGTAACACCTCAAATGCAATGTCAGAACTATTTAAATCTTTACTTCTGTTTTGGCAGTTCCAGTCATTCCTGACAACTTTGGATAGAGCTTGAATAATGACTGGTAGGTGATCTGTGCCACAACAACAGAATCTGCCTGTGCAGATTTAAAATATGAAATTTAGAATCAAATAAATATTATCAAATGAGTGTCATGATACAAAATAACAAAATCAAAGAACCCTTGTATATACCTGAATCTTCAAACCTTCCTTTGCCTCCACAGCCTGATGAATCCCCTCAGACCATCTTCTTTTCTCTTCAACTCTTCCTGTCAGCTAAGAAATTTTAAAAAATTTGATCATCATATCATCAGATTCTTAAGAGAAGTATCAGCAAACAAAACAAAAAAAAAGTATTGCTTTAATTATTAAATGAAAATGTAAGCCATAAACTGCTACTTGAAATACAGAAAGATAATATCATTATAAAACTATGCATGTGGTTCAACCTCAGCTTTTGGGATAATTAGTCCTCAACATGTTACCCAAAGCCTCTAACGACCAATTTGAAAATAATTTAATCCTTGCTACCCGCATTCTTTATAATTAAATTAAATTCAACAATTTAAAGATAAAGTTAGCTTGTTAGTTGTCCAGACTTCAGGCTCAAAGGGCTCTTGCAAGAGGGAGTGTGGTAGAAATTATTTAAAAAATAAATAAAAATTCAATGTATCCCTGCCAATTAAGTTGCTGGAATAGGTGGTCCTTAACAAATATCATAGCCAATCAGCCATGCAAATTTACTGTTGAAGTGTTAAGTGAATAATGCATCTGCTTAATGTGATTGAGGATTTGAGGGTATTTTTGTCACCAGCACTACCCTGTATTACATTGTAGTGTAGAACAAACAAATCAAGCAAGGTGTTTGGTTGATTTGGGTTTTATCATATCACTAACTATCCAACTTGAACCTCAAAGAAGAATGAATTATAAAATTTATAATATTTATGAGATTATGTTAGTGTGATCCATGTAGTCATCCTCACCTAGTGAAATAAGGCTTGGTTGTTGTATAGGATTTTGTCATCAAAGCTGTCTGCTTCTTTGTTGCATGATGCTAAGGTTAGGTCTTAAGTCTTGAGAGTATTTTTACTTTATTCTCGACTCACTTCCTATAATTTTCTAATATTGGGCCACCCTTGACTGAAAAAAAATAATAAAATCTAGTCCTAGGAATTTTTCCTGTGCAAGTGGATTTTTCCGTGCAACTTTCCTAGTGCTACCTACCCTAGTCTCACAGTTTATCAAATACTATATTAAAAATAAACATCTTATGATTTTCATGCTCTAGATGTCTAATCTTAAGGGTGAGACCCATATTAAAGTCCCATATCGACTATAGATAATGGCTAAATAAGAGGTTATAAAAGCTAAAGCAATCGTCACCTTATGTGTTAGCTTTTGAGGTTGAATTAAGTGTAAAACTTAAATTCAACATGGGAAGAGCCTATCTAATTTGAATGTTGGGCTGTTCACAAATGTGTTCATGTTTAGCCACCCGCAGATGTCTAGTGCTGCAAACTTTACCCACCAAGTGTCCAGGTCTAGCTGTGAGGAGGATGTATAAAGATGTCGCACATTAACTAATAATAGAGCAAAATACACTTTTAGCTTGGATAATCCTCCTCCTATATGTTTACTTTTGAGAGTAAGTTAAATTCAAGTTTCTTAACAATAATAAAAAGCATAGTAATTAGTATTGCAAGATTTGCGATTTGATGCAGTTACACAACTGAAAGATACAAATTGCAGGGAGTATCGGGTTTGTTCTGAAATTGCAGCTTGAATCGCCTGAATTGATGTTGAATCGGGATTCTCATGCGCGGTGCACAATTCTGCCACAGACCTTGCTTCCTCTGCATGTGAGTGTGACTCTCTTCTCTGCCGGTATTTCCTCGGTGTTGGTTGTTATTGTACTTGCAAGTTTGAGTTGCTCCTGGGTGTTGGTCATTGTGCCTGTTGAGTTTGTCTTGCAAATAGGTACTAGGTGTTCGAATACAAGCGCCTTTGTCTATCCTCCCTTGTATTTGACTCCATGTTGTTTGTTATTATGCTCTTTGTTTTTTTATTCTTTTTTCTAGTTGTATGTTTCCTGGTCCTTTTTTTGAGTCAGCATTTGTCTACATTTTACAAGGTGTGGGCTGGGCTATGTGAATAACTTAGACATAGGTATTGTAGAAAAATGCTTTTATTTTTCTTTTTTTATTAGAACTTATATTATTTAAATAAATAAATAATATTGCATTTTTTATATAGTTACAATTTTTATGAGTTATGACATATATTTTTAATTAAATTTTATTAAATGTTATCTATGATTTTAAGGTTATTTTCACGGTAGTCAAAATCGCGTTTTGAATCGTAGAATCGTACGATTCTACAATCTCCATCCATGTCTCCGTGCTGAATCGGTGCTGGGAACACAAAATGGTGGGATCGTTCTTGCTGGGTCGTAAACTCGTTGAAGACGTGCGATTTCGACGCGCAGAGATGAAGGCTTTTTGGGCCAACTACCCGTGTTCCGACCTGACCTCATTAAAACTTTTGGAACCCTAAAATCCCATAACCCGCACTGCGACTTCTCCTTTCTTCTTCACTCTGTTCTGCGAGATTAGGCGTCACTATTGTGCGACTTCTCTGCAAGGCTCTGGCGACTGCGATTTGGTTTCGTCGACTGCGATTCGACTCCGGCGACTGGGCTTAGCTCCAACGACTAGATTTTTTTTGTGATTTGGTCTGGGCTTTTTTGCTTTTTGTGCTCTGTTTTTTTCTTCTTCATCTTCAACATCTTAGCTGCTGCGTGTAATTGTGATTTTCTTCATTTTTCGCTTTTGTGCTCTGCTTTCTGTTTTATGTGCTACTGCTGTCTGCGACAAAATGGCTTCAACTAGTAGTCAAGCTCCTCCCTCCAAGTCATTACCAAAGAATGCACCGGGAAACAAAAGTGATGTAGCATGGCAACATGGGATTGCAATTGAAGATACAAGAAAAATTCAATGTAAATTTTGTCAAAAAATTGTAAGTGGAGATGTTTATCGATTGAAGCATCACTTAGCTCAAACAGCCAAAGATGTTGAAGCATGCAAATCTGTTCCGGATGAGGTCAAAAATCAAATGTGGAATTTACTTGTAACCATGCAAGAAAATTTGAATAAAAAATCAAATTCCTTTGCTGAGAGAGAAACTTTAGATACAAGTGATGGAAGCAAAAGAAAATCAAGTGAGAATGAGGTGACTGGAGGAGGAAATATTTTTCGGAAAAGAACCACCCAAGCAACAATCAACAACATATTCAACAAAACTAGAAGAGAGGAGGCTTGTCAAGCTATTGGAAGGTTTTTTTACAATAATGCCATATCATTCAATGTAGCAAAAAGTGATGAATTTTCTGTTATGTGTGATTTAATTGCCAGCCATGGTCCTAGATTTAAACCACCAAGCTATCATGAAATTAGAGTAAAATATTTGAAGAAGGAAATAAAGTTAATAAAGGAAAAATTAGAATAACATAGAGCTGAATGAAATACTGTTGGATGCACATTAATGATTGATGGGTGGACTAATAAGAGGAGGAGAACAATATTGAAGTCTATTGATGCATCTTATATAGAAAAAACAGTTGATAAAATATTTAAAATGATTGATGATGTTGTTAAAGAAATTGGTGAGAAAAATGTAGTCCAAGTTGTAATTGATAATGCAGCAAATTATAAAGCTGCAGGAGAGATGTTGATGCAAAAAAGGAAACACTTGTATTGGACTCCTTGTGCAGCACATTGCATTTATTTGATGTTGTAGGACTTTGAAAAGAAGATACAGATTCATGAAGAGACAATTCCAAAAGATAGAAAAATTACAACCTACATTTATTTAAGGACAGGTCTTATTTATCTATTGCAACATTTTACCAAAGGCAAAGATTTAATAAAGCCAGGAATCACTCGTTTTGCTACATCCTATTTGACTCTAGGGTGCCTTCAAGAAAATAGGGTTGCTTTGATAAGAATGTTCACATCTAATGAATGAAAGTCCTCTAAGTTTGCTAAGACAAAGGATGAGAGAGTTATAGAAGAATTGATTTTGGATAGAGAGTTTTGGAAGAATATAATCACTTGTTTGAAGGCCGCGTTTCTTCTTATCAAAGTTTTTCGAATGGTTGATTCAAATGAGGAAATTATGGGCTTTATTTATGAGGCAATGGATAAAGTTAAAAAGAATATTCAAATTGCTTTCAATGGTGTTAAAAAAAGGTAACTAACTATAACTACTATCAAATTAAATTAGTCTCCATTTTGTGATCTATGTTGTATTGTATATTGAATATTTGTTGTTTGCTCTTTATCAGTTACGTACCTATATGGAATATCATAGATGAAAGATGGGATAAACAGCTCCATAGGCCTTTGCATGCTGCAGGCTATTTTCTTAATCCTAGGATGCACTATAGTCCTAAATTTAAGGCTTGTCTTGAAGTTAAGCGTGGACTATATGATTGTTTGACAAGAATGGTACTTGATCAAGATGAACAATGTAAAATTGAATGTCAACTTGATTCATTTAGAAAGCGAGCTGGTAATTTTGGGAGTCACTTGGCTAGAAAAACTATTGATATGCGTCTGCCAACTGATTGGTGGATGTCTCATGGAGATGAGTATCCTGAGCCTCAAAGATTTGCTATTCGAATAATAAGCTTGATATGCAGTTCTTCTGGATGTGAACGTAATTGGAGTGCCTTTGAGATGGTAAGTAGAAATTCTTTTTTCGAATATTATGTACTAGGCTAGCCAACTAATTTTTTGTATCTTAAATTATAATTTAATATATTATTATTTGATAGGTGCATACTAAAAGAAGAAACCGTTTGAAATAAAATACAATAAATGATGTGGTATTTGTTATGACAAATTCAAAATTGGCCAAGAAGAAGACAGCTAGGAGAGTAAAGAATCTTCACATAAATGTAGATGATATTCCATTTGATAATGAGTGGATAGTGAAAAATAATGATAGAGGAAATCATGAAAATTTGAGCCTAGAAGACAATTTGGAAGATGAGGACATTGAGTTTGATAATCTTAATGAAGATGAGGACTTAGATTTAGATCAAAGTTCAAATCAAGATGTTGGTGTTGGTGATGTTCCTAATATAGACAATTTAGATGATGAGAGGAGATGATGGACCAAATGAAGATGATGCAGGATATGATGAATTTTTTTATTATCAAAATATTTTAGATATGATAAAATAGATATTTAAAGTTTGAATATTGATTTTGTATTTGGTTTAGAACTTAGGAATATGTTTATGCTAGACATATTCTTAATATTCATTTTTTAAAGTACTGTGGTTTGAATTAATGTTTTTATTTTTTTCCTATTTATACTATTTTATATGTATATCTACAATTTTGTAAGATCTTACCTTCCGTATTACGATCCTACGAGTTACGATCTTGGACTTCTTTTCTGATCCTACGTAAAATCTCGATTTTGACTACCATGGTTTTTTTGCTTATTTATGATATTTTATGTGTCTGTATATATATATATATATATATATATATATATATAATTTTATATTTTATGTAAGGTCTTACATTCCATGTTATGATCCTCCAATTTATGGAGGATTTATACAATTACAACCTTTTTTTGGTGTCATTGTGGTTGATGCAACTTGAATCTTTGTATTACGTTTTATTTTATTAGTTATAAAATGAAGTATTTTACTATAAAATGTCAATATATGGATGAATTCAATTTTTCTTTATATTACAATATTTTTTTTTATTTTTTTAGCAATAGTCACGAATCTTACGATTTATGATACGACTCGATTCACGATTTGAATCTTGATTTAACTACCATGATAAAAAGATAAATGATAAAAATTTGTGTATTCATAGTCTTTAAGACTTGTTTTTAAATTTTATTTACTTAAAAATATTTTTTTAAAAACTAAAAAAGTAAAACATATTTTAAAAAATAGAAATTGACAGGTTCAAACTGGTTATCACCATCAGTTTTTTACCAGTTTTGAATCCAGTCAATTTTTCACTGGTTTTGGACGATTCCTGGTTCAACCGGTTGAACCCTGGTTCAACCGGTTGAACCAGCCACTCTAGTTTGGTTTTCAAAATTATGGTATTCACTGATTCCATGTAAACTGTACAAAGGATACACTCAATATATAATACATGGTGGAAGACAAAATATAAGGAAAGAATGGAGCTAAATCCTTTGGATGGGATACTAATTACATAATGCACAGAAAATCTCCTAATAATAGGATATTTACATAAATACAAGTCAAATCTGTCATAAATAAGGGTAAAGACAACTAAATCATATTTCCTAGAATATCTATGTAATTTAGCTAACTATCTCAGGGCTCAACAATGTGTTCCTGGGTAATGTTGAGTTGCATGTCCCTACTTTCATTAATAAATAAAAAGTGCATGATATTGAAAACAAAAAGAAACCTTGAAAATATTACCTCGTTGATAATCAAAGCCTTTCCATCTCGGACAATGTATTGCACATCTCGTCGGTAGAATTCTTTAGCTTTTAAAGCGTTCATCACAAATCTGCAGTAACTTAACTCTTATTACTCATGGTTAACTGATTGGACAGGAATTTTCCAATTCCAAGATGTTAGCCAGAAATTTCCCATAAGGAAGCTAGTATTCAATAAGTGTAACCATGAAAGATTATAATGCATCAGTGTAAAACAGATAAAAATGTAAAGCAACACAAGGGTGTCAATTACATATATGTAAGGGATCAGGTGATTTTATTATATCAATGTCTAATTTTTCTTCTTGTCTTGTTTTCATTTTCTTTTCTTTTTTATAAGTAGGATTTCTTATCCTCCTTTTCCTCTGTAATATTATTATCTTTGTCTTAAAAATAATTTCTTCTTTTAGTATTTTTAAAAATAATGTAACCATGTACTTTATTGTTTAGCAGGTCATCACGATGTTAATGTTATACCATTCATCAAAAAGACAGAGCATAATGGAGTAAATCAATAAAGCTTTGTTAATGTTAATGCCCACCTACGCTTTGCCTTGCAACTATTGAGATTACAAAACAAGTAAATATCAACCAAATTACCAAAGTGAAATGAATATTTTTTAAGTCAAGAAATTATTAAAGTACAAGAATATTCACCTAGCCCAAGGATCGTTTTCATCCCAAAGGTCTTTAGTTTCAAGAGCCATTTCGGCAAGAGCAATTCCTTCCTCAGTTAACTCCACTGAATTATCCTTCAGCTCCACTTTGTAATGCTGTTAATGAAATAAAATCAGTATATAACTATGTTCTCTTGAATTATGTGTGTAAAATAAAGTTATCAGAATAAATAGAGAAAAACAAAGTAAATGGCATAATGAAGTGCAAGAGAATGTACTCACAATGCCCCGTATAAGCAGTTCAGCCACTTTTGCAGCAACAGGATATCGTGCAGCGTCTTTACTAGCCTACAATACAGAAGGAAGAGCAAGAAACAGGATATATCATTGAACTCTACCAGTTGAAATGATTTTTTTAAATACTACCAACCTAGACATGGAAGAAGATGATGATGGCAAAGGGGACCATAAGAAGAAACAATGAAGATGAATGTTAAGTTTACCTCACCACTGATTAACAAAGGATTTCTTCCTTCATCTATCAGGACAGAATCCACTTCATCAACAATTGCAAAATGAAAGGGCTTTGGCCTGCTTTCATGTAGAATAGTCAGAAGTAACCAAACATATTCCAAACCAAAAGGAAAGGAAGAAAACAACTTAATTCAATCTAAGTAATACACTACCATCTCATTACAAGCTGTTCACTATTTCCAGCAAGATTATCTCTCAAGTAATCAAAGCCAAGCTCCTACAGAAGAAAGGGGCAAAAATGAACATAAGAAAATAACTAAAGCAAATAAATAAATGTACAACTAAAAAGATAAACTATATAAGTCATTGACAAGTTTAATTACTGAATTATTGGTATATGTTATGTCACATCCGTAGTTGAATCTTCGTTCTTCCGCATCCATTCCTCTCTGTGCATGCAAACATCAGATAATAAATTTAACAGTAGGTAACGCTGTGAGTTTTCACAAATTAATAAAAATCTTCAATACCAGACCCAGCATATCTGTACATTAGATCATTAACACATGCTCTAATCTATCACACTACCAAACACATCATACATAAAAACAAATTTATACTGAGAAAAATTACCTGAACAAGACCAACAGAAAGACCCAAGAAACGATGTACACGTCCCATCCATTCAGCATCACGTTGAGCTAAATAATCATTGACAGTTACAACTGCAAGGAAATCAAGGATCAGATATTGTTTGTTTTCTTCATAAAGCCAAGTGCTGGCACTGAAGAAATTGCCCCACATACCATGGACACCCTCAGAGGTAAGGGCATTAAGGTACGCTGCTAGTGTGGAAACCAATGTTTTCCCCTCCCCCGTTTTCATCTCAGCAATGGAACCATCATGCAGCACTGCTCCACCAATAATCTACCCACAAAATATTTTCATCAGCAACACCTCTGGTAATGATTCTAACCTAGACATGCAAAAAAAAAATTACAATATATACACATGCAAGAATCAAGATACCTGAACATCAAAATGGCGCATTCCAAGCTTCCTTCGAGCAGCTTCACGAACAACAGCGAACGCCTCTGAAACATTAAAAAAAAAAAAAAAACAGTTTAGAGACCAAGCAAACAACGACGTGACAGCGTAAAGGAGAAGCAAACCAGCTTGAATATCGGCAAGTGTATCCCCACGCGCGAGCCGGCGGCGAAACTCGGGGGTTTTCGCGGCCAACTGTTCGTCGGAAAGCACCTGAATGTGCGGCTCGAAGGCATTGACGGAGTTCACAAGACGGTAGTAGTCGCGAACAACCCAGTAGTTCAAGCTCGCGAAGTCGCTGAAACGCTTTTGAACGCGACCAACATTTTCCTACAATCAATAAAGTGAAGCGCAATTAGGGCATTTCGCGGAACAGGTAAGGGGCGGGTAGCGCGAACGTACCTTCACGGACGCAACGACAACGTGAACATGTGTGGAACGACGTCGTCGTAAGCGAGGCAAGGAAGATATACAAGGTCGTGGGGGAATGAAGAAGGTGTTTGCGTTGGCGTCGGTTGAAATGATTCTCTGAACGGCGAAGAAAGGTGGATATGAGAGTGAGGCCATAAAGAAGGTGTGTTTGTGCTTCGAACTTTAACTTGTTTGCGCATAAGCGATAGAATTTAGCATTCCATGGTTGAGTAGAGTTGAATACAGCCCAATACTCGTGAGACTGGAGGAGGAAGAATCGGTTTGGTGTCTAAACTCAAGTTTTAATTACAAAATGAGCCGCAACATAAATTATTATTATTTATTATTTATTATTTATTATTTATTATTATTATTATTATTATTAACAAAACTATTTTTTAACATTTATATCTATATCGAGTAAATTTACTTAATCCTCTCTCTCTATATATATATCCATCCATTATTAAGATTTAAAATGCTTAAATTTATTACTTAATCCTATATATATCTATTATTTTAAAAATTAATTAAACAGTTTTTTACATTAAAAATAACTGTTTAATGATAATTGAATAAATATTTATTAAATTATATTTAAATTATAATTTTTTAATTATTTTTAAATTAAATTAAATAACAAAAAATATAAATATATTTGTGTAAATTATAAATTTATAATTATATATTTATTTATTCATTTTACATGAAATAGTAGTTAAATTTTTTATTTATATTACATTTTTTATTTAAGTTTAAAATATTAAATTATAATTCGTTTTAATTATTTTAAACAAAATTAAATAATAAAAAATATATAAATATATTGAAAAGTAATAATTTAGTAATTTATTTTTAAAAAAACAAAAAGCCTATATATATCCCATTTAGTAATTTACCCCACTAGACCTAGCGCCGTCAAATAGAAGCGAGTGCCATAGCCACACTGAGCTGCAAATGAAGAACAGAGTGAGGCACCGTTGTTGTGCAGTAAGTAATAAGAATATGAACCTCTTTTCTTTCTTTCTTTCTTTCTTTCTTTGTCAGTTGTGTGAATTGGGCAGTGACGATGTTTTCAGCATTTAGATCAGTCAAAAGACATTGAGTAAAGAGCCTTAGTCCTAGCAAGGTGATTCAGTGTCCGTTTGATTACGCAGCTATGGTGAGGCTCTTCACTTCTGTCTTTTGTCTGAGTAAAGCCGAATCTGAGCCTCGCTCTGAAACCCTGCAATTTGGGTTTGCGTTCATTTGTCATTAGTTTAAGTATGAGGCTCCACACTTAGAGAGATAAGGTTTCCTTGAGAGCTGTTGCCCTCTCTGAGTTGCTGTGTAAGCCAATGATCATTATTATTGAAACTATCAAACAGCTCTCCACAAACACACACACATATGCTGTTTCTGTGCTTCTTCTTCTTCTTCTTCCTATGCATATAACAAGGCAGTGATGATGATTCCAGCAATTTGCACGCGACATTGAGTGAAGAGCTGTGTCCTAGCAAGGTGACTCAGTGTCTGTGTGAAATCACCTTGTGGTCCTTTACACAGATGCTGTTGACGCAGCCTTTGCAAGCTTCTTACTCTCTTGTCTGAGAAAAGGCGAATCTGAGCCTCCTATATTTGGCCCTAACTCAATTATGGTTGGGTTCGTTTCTTTCATCTTTGGGTGAAATTTTAGGATTAAGCGATGACAGCAAAGTAAGGAAAGCTTCTCATTAAAGTTATAACTTTTCAATACAATCATAGTATGGTTTTCCTTCAATTTTTATGCTTGTGCTCCTATCTGCAATCGTATGCAACTAAGGAGTGAAATGCTGTTAGAAACTCTGCCTTTTGAGCAATGATTCCTTCAGTACTTTTCCTTGGTAGAAATTTTTAATCTAGAATCCAATAATGGTCCATGGAACATGTTTTCTTGCTTTTTAATTCTGTAGCCCAAAATTGAAACAGATCCCCTTGAAGATACTGCACATGTCATTACATCTTTGACATGAGGTTCTGATACGCAAACCCCACAGTATTTAGTTAGTAAAATAAATAGTTAGAGAGCTAATTACTTAGTTAGAGTTGCAGAGATTAGTCAATTCCAAGAAGAATTAATAGAGGATGATAAGGGCTGAGGGGGGCGTGGGTGGTATCCAGAATTATAATTGGAAAAGTTGGGAGTAAGCTGGGTCAATGAATTACTCAGCAATCTGTTGTAATAATTCTTTTCCTGTTCTTGAGTATGTCCACAGTGGGTCAGATTTGAGAATCTCGTACTTTCTTTCAATCTTGGTACCAGTTCCTCTCATGTTCAAACATTTAAGCTTTGTTTAGGAGTTGGTTTTTGGGGGGGGAAGAGGAGGGAAGAAGAAGGCTTATGTGATGATTATCCTCGGGTTTTTAGCCAAAACCCTCCTAATTCTATGTTTTCAAGTTCTTCCAATTTGGAGAGTTTTGTATTAACCCTCCTTTCTCCTCTTCTCTCTTACCCTTCAAACTCACTCATTCTTTCCCCCTCCCTCTAAACTCCCAAACAAAGCCTTAAAGAAATTATCTCCATTAGAAGCTGATAGTGGAATTGGAATCCTTATTCCATGTCATCCATTAGTTAGTCTAGTATATGTAATATTACTATGAAGTGGTATGGTATACTACTCCACTGAACTTAAGATGTTAATGCATATGGCTCATCTAAATATATAAAATTAACTTCAGTTTTGGTCAAATATTAATTCTTTCAGATAGTAAATACTAGTGGTACATTTCACTAAATCTGAAAAATAAGATTTGTGATGATATTTGGAAAATTCAGTGCTGGCCTAAAATTTGTTAGGATTCTTTAGAAAGATATTTCATAGTACTACGTTTTAGATATAAAATGGGCATGATAACCTTATCTGGTTGCAATGAAGGTTGCAGCTAGGAATGGATTGAGAAATTAACAGAACTTTTGACAGCAGCTTTATCCTTCAATCTTGTAAAACAAATTGTAAAATGTAAACAAATGCTTTTCCCATACAGAACCCTGCCATTTGCTGAGCATTTTATGCACACCAATTCTAAACCTGCATTCATGATAGCATTTATCTCAATTATTTGCCGTGCCACATATTTCTACGCACTTAATTTCATGCAAAGTGGTGGGCCAAGAATTTCTATGATTATAATACTCAACCAACTGTTTATTCTTGATGATAATTTAGATGTGCCTATCCATTGTGGGAAGAGAAAGACTTTGAGAATAAAAATGCTGATGGTCTGCCTTTTGACTAACATTGGACATTGATTGTAATATTCATGCTTTCATTGCTGCTGGAGGTATTTACCAACCAGAGAAAAGAATGACAAATCTCAAGGAAGAAAACTGGTTTGGGAACGAACCTTACAAGAACCCCAATTAACAATTTTTTGCCGTCGTTTACCAAAAAATTCACTGGCTTGTCTTCATTTCGTCAATAGGTTATGATGAGACTGTTGCATCCGGCCAAACTTGATCCTGAATCATTCAAACCAAGTAGCTAGCATTGGATAAATACGTCTGAATAGAAAGTGATGTATTTGGTCCCAAATTAGAGGGAACATTGCGAAACTGGCTGAATCCACAAAAGGTGTGTTCCTTTTCAGTTACTATTTTTTTCTACTACATTAGACAAGTGATAAAAATAGCTGTCACATTGGCGTTGACCATACATCAACATGTACGATCAGATACCTGGTATTGGAATAACAATTTTAATTTGTGCTTGACAATAGAAGAGCAAGCTCATGCAGGCCTTGTAGGAAAAGCCAAGTAGAAGATTGGTGATGCCTGGGGAATCTAATAGGAATGGACCATAAGGATGCATTGGACGCCGAAGGTTTTACTTGCGGGAATGCATTGGGGCATTGATCGAACAGAAAGAAATTTATTCTCCATCTATCATGGACTTTGTATATATTTATCATACGAGTTTGCATGATTGAATCTATTTTCTCTACTAAAAGAAATGTGAGAACACTACTAAGGCATGGTAGAGTTAATTGCGTAATAATATACAAATACCATGACTGAATGCAGAAGACAATTGTCGAAGATATGTACTGTAGTTAAGGTATCTGAAATGAGTATGCTTTTATAATTGCTGAAGGTTAGAGGTGGAGTGGGTTAAGTTAAATTTTACAAATAGCAATTCTAAGGTACATAAACAGAAAAAATGGGTTGCTTGAAAGAAATAACAAAACACTATGGATGCAAATGTGAAGGAGGAAAGGTGAAACAATGCTAGTAATGATAAATTGTTTGTACGAATTGACTGTAAGAATTTATTACTATATATATATATATATATATATATATATATATATATATATAACTAAATTTATGATTATTGAGATTTATATGCTTAGATTCATGTATATATTAAGTTTAACTATTATATTTATTTTTATATATATAATTTGTTTTAAAATGAATCAAATATCTTTTTTTTTTTTTTACATAAAAAATAATTATTTGATGGTTACGTGATAAATAATTATATATATATATGTATATATATATATATATATATATATATATATATATATAAACCTTGTGTTAACACATGGGTAAATTTACTTTTCTTTACCGATGAAAAAAGCCAATTCACTATGATTATTAACATTTGTTTCATTTTCTCAACTTTTTTTTTAAAATTATATATTTTATTGAATTTTGTTAATCTCTATAATTAAGCATCCATAAATAAATAAAAATTATTAAAAAAATACACATTTATTATATTAAAGTTACAAAAGTACATTAAATATTTTTTTTAAAATAAAATAGTATTATGATTATTTTTATTCTTGACGCTTAAGAGTTGAGATTAATAAAATTGTATTTTTTTTATTGGATTGATCCTTTTTTCTTTTTTTTGTTGAGGATTGATTAAAATATTTTTACGATATAAATCATTTAGAGTTTTTTATTTGAGTTTTCTATAATGCTGAATTGCAAAAATATCGTATTGAGAAAATTACTAACAAAAGTAATACTTAAAAAATAATAAATTTTATCAAAAAATTATGTTGTTTTTCAAATACATGTGAGCTAGTGTGCTTTCCAAGCAATTGAGCTTATGAGGTGAGTTAACAATTTGAGGCCTATATTATGAGTATTAAACTATCATTTTTTTAACAAAGATAACTTCACATTTCAGTTTTACGCATATTGATTATGTGTAAAATAGTAATAACATATTTTAGTTTGTTATGATTCTAGTTAAGTTCTTGATGTGAATTGAATTATGTCCATCCAATGAAAAAATAGTCTCTAAATAACTTAATAGGGGTGACATTGATTTCGGATACATTTAGTTAAGATTTTCTCAGGCACAGCAGTACAAATTGACTTTCCCATAAACATTTTATGGACAACTTTTACCTGCCCCATTGTATTTTAAATGTATTATTTATGTGTATATGCAGAAAAAATTAAAAGTAGGTAAAATATAAAAATAATTATATACAATATTTTGTGCGATATTAATTTTCAGTTATTAAAATAATTTTCAGTTTTTAATCATTTGTCTATTGTTTGATAGGACATTTCAGTTGTACTAAAGTTGACAGGTCTCAGCCTCCTTATTTGGAGAATGTTGATAAATAAATAGGGCAGTGGGAGGATAATGATTTTAATATGTTAGGTCCAGGGTATAAAGATAGCAAATTAATTGGTTGAGGGTTGTAAATTTTGAAGGTGTGAATCAGGGGACTAGGACTAAAATGCCACTTTAGATAAATGATAAACATTGACCGAAAAAATAAAAAAGATATATGATAAATCTGGTACCACGAGGCGTATATAATCTAATTACATAAAGTGCATTGCAATAATCAAGCTATATACAAACCCCAAGTATCATGACCCCAAAAGATATAGTTTTAAATATGTACATAAACACCTTTTAAGTATCAATTGGATCATATTATCTATATCTGGGTGAAAATATGAATTAACAAGCATTCCAAAGCCAGGCATGACATGTATCATGCAAAGTTGAACAGATGCACCTGGTGAAACTCTTGCTATATACCATGATAAACCTGGAGGAATCAAATCAATAATAGCTGTTGAATGTTAGGGATCACAAGCATAAATAGACAGAAACGGTCACAACAAGTCACGTAACAAACTTCAAATTCCATTGGCAGACATGTAAACAAGTGCATGGGGAAATGTTATGAAAACAAACGAAATTATATCAAGCATGTGACTTCCATTATATCAGCACTTCATTTATGCAAGGCTCAAATTATTTCTAACGTCGAGAAACAAAAATACGCGCTGGGGCCTGAATTTAAAATTAAAAAATTTGGAGGAAATTAGATACCTTGATGGACTTGTCAGCATATCCAACATACAGTTTTCCTTGGCTGCATAATATAGCTGTTACAACAGAACTACATGGAATGGATCCAAATGCTTTGACATCCAGTTCAAACTCATCTCCAGATAATTCCTACAATTCAATAAATTTTTAATGAATGTCTATGCTAATTGAATAAATAATAACAATCAAGCCTTTTCCCATTATGTGGGGTCAGCTACAAGAATCAATCAACATGTTCTGTTGTGAATCACGTTTAAAGACAAATCATAACCATTAAAACTTCCTCAATAGTTTCATTTATTCTTTTTCTAGCGCCCTCTGCCTCCAACTAATGGGCTATCCTCTATCTGATCTATTATTCTTAGAGGGGCTTCTCCAGGTCTTCTCCACCCATGCTCAAAACACCTAAGGCAAGATTCTTCCATCTTTTCCACAGTAGGTGCTACTTCAACTTTTTTTACAATGTATTCCTTTCTATTCTTATTTTGTCTAGTATGTCAACTCATCCAACGCAACACACTAATTGAATAAACAATATTAATAAAATATCATAAGTTTCACAAGTTTAAACAATGAGAGGAAACTGACTTCACTAAGTCCATTCCCAAAACAGAGCACAGGATTTTGTATTTCTACCTGTATATTAACATTTTTGTCCCAACCTCCCGTATAAAGGCAATTTCCCTGCATACTCAGAGCAAAAATGGCCCCATTATGCAATGTTTTGGAATTCATGAACACATCGTTTCTCCAGACCTAAACAAACAAATGATAATAGAGATGTTACCCCAGGATGCCAGGAGTTGATTGTCTACAATTAATTAATCTTCAAAAGAGGTAAAATTCTAGAAAAGCAAGAAACCTTTATGCATCCATTCTCATATCCTGCAACAAGAAAGTGCCTATCAACAGTTATAGCCAGGATAGACTTCATCTCTCCCAGCATATCTTCCCCCAGAAATGTCAATGGACTATGATCATTAAGACTCCACAACCGAACTGTACCATCCCAACTACCGCTGTAAAGAACCTCATCACAAATTGCAAGTGTGGAAACTACAGATCTATGGCCAGTCATTGTGCATATCAAAGTTCCATCCTGGGAAAAGGTATAGAAATGCAAAGAATACATTCCCAATGAAGCTTTTGTTTTTGGCAGCAAATGTGTAAACAATGAAAATGACAAACCTTTAATGACCAAGCTTTTATTGTTCTATCTCCACTTCCAGTGTAGAGACACAGATTTCTGGAAACAGCCAAGGAATGGATACCACTGAAGCGCCAATCCTTCTTCTCATACCATTTCCTCAAAGGATCTTGCCTGAGAGGGGTAACAATTCCCCATATAAATATGCCCCCTCCACTGTCACCACTTATGCACAATGGTTCTTCATTGTCTACATAAACTAGAGCCATCACTTTATTCTCATGACCTCTAAATGTGTGTAAGTGAGAAAAGTCCTAAATAAAATTTATATGGAAGAAACTCATCAATAGAATAGCTGAGAAAGGGCTTGCACGATAACAACCACACTATTACCATAGACCTTCCAGCTCTGTCATCATTATAAATCATGCTTTGATGTTGCATAATAATATAGAATTCAAGATGGTAATTTCCACTTATCCATGTAAAACAAAGGATTCAACAATCCTACGTAGCTCAAGGTAGGAAGAGTAAGGCTGCATCTGAATAAAATATGCCTAATGCAATTTGTCTTACAATTCGAATTTTGGAAAATCAATTTCAAGACCTACTTAACAAGATTTTTGGAAAAGCAAGTCTTAATATTTAAAGGAAAGACTGAGAAGCCAGCAAATCACACATGGAAAAAGTGAAAACGTTCCAACCCATTTTCTCTCTCTTCCTCTATTTATTCATCTATTGGCCTTAACATTGGCAAATGCTAACTAGTAACCTTAGAACATCAGTTAAAGAATCAAAAGCGAATTTTTTTTTTAATTAAAAAGTGTTATTATTACAATGATTTCCAATGCACCACTAACATGATTTTTAATAAAAACCTTTTATTTATTGATTCCCTAATCAATTCCCTCAGAGCAACGGTTAAAAAGACCATAAAACATTCATAAGAAGGTATATGCTATATGTTGGAAAATATCAAAGAAAATTTCTAATTCCACTGCACTTAAAGAAAATATAATGATGGCATCCTCATGTCAATGATTATAAATGAAATAATGCTATTTGAAATGCACCCCCAGTAGAAAATTATCATATCATTGTGTTTGAAAAGTTGTTACCTGCAAGGACCATACATGGACAGTTTTATCGAATGACGAGCTAAATAGATATCCGCCTGAAAAACTAAACAAATAATCATTAGAATGAAATATTCTGCATTACATAATCACCATATCTTCTAAGAACAACACAAGAGAAACTCTGGCCATGAATAGGTAAAGCAGCCTTAATGCTGGATATTGATTAAGAGCCAAGCCGATAACTTGCATTAAACCATGCCATACCAAATTGTATATTAGTTTTAAACTATTTTAAAGCAATGCACCGAAGGTAAACTGTGATTAAATCAATTCAAAAGCTTCAGGTTCATCTGGCATTCAAAGCCATAACAAATGTCAAACTGTCAATTATTGAACAACTTATTCATCCCTTGTTTGACAGCCTTAAGCACAATGCCGCCACCACTTCAATAGCAAAATGGAACTATGATTTATTGTATACCCAACATTCAACAAATGGTATCATAAAATATGATTGATAGAGACAGCAATGTTTGAGTATAAACTTAGAATTCATACCCCCGACAGCCAATCCACTGATACAATCAAGATGGCCTCTCAGATCTTTAAGTTCAGTTATTCCCTCAGATAGGCCAGCAACAAAGTCTTCATCAGGTTTGTCTTTGCTGTATTGAACAAAATCTGGTTGAGCACCATCTTCTTTCTCCTGCAACTCATGGTCTCTTGATTTCTTAGAACTTTCCTTAGGCAACTGACATAACTCTCCAAGAACCAAGCAGCAACCTTTCTTGTTTCCACTTAATGTGACCTCCAAGTTGTCCAGAAAATCAAACTCAGGTTTGACTAACATATCCTGAATGCATTTCCTTACATCCACCACATCTGGACGACTTCCTGGATTGATGTTCAAACATTTGCAAAGAGTCTGCCTCAGTGATTGATATTCAGACCGTAGTTTCTCTTCCAAAACAGAACTAACTTTCTCCACCCAACAAATGTAATTAGCTAAGACATCAAAGCCATTCTCTTCATTCATTTCCAAGGTATTCCGAGGCAGCGCATTTCCAATAAGAAGCTGCAGCAGTACACAAGCCAATGACCATACATCTGAGCCATACCCAATTCCATATCTTGAATGCCCACTATCCGGAGTAATAGCCTCCTTGTGCAATAACTTGCACAAGACCTCTGGGCTCATGAAAACCTCATTTTCCACCTTACATATCGCTTCTTCTTTGTCTTCATCCGAAATAGCCTCCACAAACTTCCTCCCCCTTATCAATGCCTCACTCAAATCAACACAAATGCCACCAAGCTCATCCAAAGAGAAACAAGAAAGTCCCAAATATCCAGCAAACAAACCTTCCAAGTTCAAAGCAAGCACAGATTCACATACACCCAAACCAATCATCGCAAAACTAAAAATCCCACCTCTATCCAATTCCGAACCATCCCCATTCACCCCAACAAACCCATTTCTCAATTGATCAAACTTGTCCAAAAGACTACAACGGTGCCTCTCACACACCAAATACAGATTCCCATCCACCCCTTCACTCCACAACCCATAAACGCTACACACCCTACCCTGCCTCACGGAAGCTTCAATAATCAAAGCTAACTCCCCCCTCGCATCCTCGTTCATCCCCTCCAAACACTTGATAACCCACGCAACATAACTAAACTTAAACTTCGAACAATTCCCAGGAGGGAAACAAACAACGGGAACAAGACTCACTCTACGGTTAACTCCGAAGCAAACCCTACCCTTACACGAAGAACTTGAACAAAACTGGCCAAAACCATGCTCGTCGATCAAAACGGCGTCGTGCGGAAGAATCCAATCCTTCCAAGCAGTGTAAAATTCATGGGACCAGAACGGAGAACGATCATAGTCAGCGTTGACCGTTCGTTGATTGGGTTTCCGCGACTGATGAGAAGAAGGGGAGTGTTGGAGACAGAGTCTGAGGAGGTCGATGTTCTTGGGAAGAGAAGAAGGACCTTGTTGTGAAGGATATTTGACGAGTTGAGTACACGCGGGGCACCGAATGGTGTTAGGGTATCGCTGCGGAAGCTCCACGAGACAAGCTTCGCAAACCGAATGCCCACACGATAGAACCCGAGGAACTGCGTCACGGTCGTCATAGGATTGAAGACACACCGGGCACTCCGGCAGCTCCATCGCCGGCGGTGACAAACACAGCCAACAAACCCGTGAAATGAATGGTTTTAAAACGGTGTCGTTCGTTTTGAGAATTTTATTAGACGTATTTGTCCTTGGGTATTTTTATAATTCCTAAATTGCCCTCAGGTATTGATCGTGCGTTTATTAAAACGACGACCGCGTGTTGCTGCTGGAGATCTTAAGTGAAGTGAAACCGCTGCTTCCGATCTGAGGTACGCTCTTTTCTCTGTATTTGTTTACTCCATTGCACAGAGTCTTATTCGCCATTTGTTTCCCGAGAAAATGAGAGATTGAGAGGGAATCTAATTGATCGGATCTTGAATTCCTCCCTGCTCCTGTTCTACTTGTTTGAACAGTGAATTATTGTTTGGATTTGATTAAACTCGGCTTACGTGACTTGGAGTTAGGGTTTCTCGTTAATCGTTTTACAGTTGAGGTCGGTGTGTCCGATTGCCATTGTTGGATTGGATCCGTTGAGCTTTGGTTGATGACTTTTTTTTTTGTTTTTCTCGCACTCCGTTGCTTCAGCTGATTGAAAGCGAAATCTAATGCTTATGTTTCTGTGTTTACGAGGTTGATTAATTACCATTAATTTATCAATGTCTCTTCTGAACGGTGTGGCTGGCTCCTTTGTTTCCTTTTGCTAGAGTGTGGCTGTGCTGCTTCTTTGAAATTTGTTGAGTGCGTGCCGTTCTTGTTTTTGGCGAAGATAAGCTTACCATATAGTTCTGAAAAGATTTTAGCCTTACAAAAAACTGAATAGCATGTCATTAATTAGCCAGTTCTCTTCTTGATTTAAAATTTTTTTAGTATGATAAGAAATTTTTTAGTGGATTATCCTTTTAGCCACTAGAGGTTTGTGGCTCTTGGCTCCATGGCAAGTGTATTTTGTAATTTAGTTTAAGGAATTTTCTCTACCCATGCACTATTTGTGTTTACTAGTCATTGATGTTTGAGGGTGATGGTGCTTTTTTTTCCTGCTGTTTTCACAATTGTCTTTGTGTTTGCTATTGTTGAATTTCAATGAGAAGGCCATGGCGGGGTCTGGGAGTTCCATGATGTATTCCTTTCTTCTATTCACGGTCATTCTCTCGCTCCAAGAAATGTACCGTGGGAAACTAGCATCATCAGAATTATTCACTATACTTGGAGGTTTCATCAGCTCTCTCCTATTTCTTGTGCTCCTAACTGTGAGTTCTGGGTTCATCTCTTGAATGCTTTCTCTGGAATCACAATCAAATACATGAGCATTTTCTCTGTTTTGAAGTTCTAGAAAGTGATAATATTATGTTTCTCCTGAGAAATTAGATCATATACTTGACAGTAGGGAAAAATATCTGTTATAATATTAGAAAATGAACAATATCTATCACTTCCTGAACAGACGTTTTGATACTAGTGTTTGGTTATTTGGACATAGGTTTGTCTCTAGATGGCATCAAAATGTGCACCGCATAATTCTTCCCAGTTGGTAGGAGAAGTGTCGTCTTTGTAAAATGAAGCCAAAAGATTTTTGGAAGGCTGGGAAAATGCCTATTTTATCACTTTGTAGTTCATAGGTTGATGTTCATATGTATTGGTTTCGTGCTCACTCATTGATATAGTCCTACTTTGAGAAATGCCAAGAACCTTTTTTTTTTCATGCTAGTGCTAGATGGACTGTGGTAGCCTATTTTAACAATATATATGTGATTTCTTATTTTTATCTATGTAGTCTTCTTTTAATTATCTTCTACTCATATAATGCATCCATGAATTCCATCAAAGCAAAATCTTTCAAGGTAATTTAAGTTATTTGCATTTTTTCGCAGTTCATTGGAAATTTTCAGGAAACAATTGGTGCAAGAACTGGTTGGGGTGCCGGTAAGTACATGTTGATGATAAATAATATCTTTTTATATTAAAGGAATTTGAAAGCAAGTATAACAAAAATGAGTATTGATTGTAAGTTTCCAGTTTTGTGACATCGAACTTTGAAACATACTACTTTAGGTTAAGGAACATACTTGTTGATGACTTGTAGCATGTTTGGTTTCACGTGATGCAAGTGGATCCACATTTACGTCAACACTATTAGTAGTAACTTCAGCATTAGACCCATGTTTATAGGCTATCTAATGTGTTTTCAAACATACACTTAGTGTACTGTCTTATGTGCATGAGTACTATAAGTTTCCATCAGGTTTTACGTTTGTGTACCAGCATTAGGCCAGTGCAAATATGCATTCCTGTGTCTTACTTTAAAAATAAGTTTACACTCATTGTAAAATGAAGTCCAAGCTTACAATTTTTGTGGAGAGCTTTCTTCATGACAATGTTTTACATATGCAGGCTATATTACTTTATATTTCTTCATGTCTAGTTAGAGAGGCAAAATGATAGATATTAATTTTTTGCATAGAAATAAAGAAGTAAAAGGAAGACAGAATATCAAAGAGGATTACCACCATATTATGAAATTGGGGGTATCCTTTCTCTAAATCAATGAACATATTTTTAAGCTTCACTATTTACTACAACAATTAAGCCTTATCCCACTAGGTGAAGACATATATAGCTAAATATGTAAACTTCACTGTTTAGATGAGATTATTTGCAGGACATATGTAACATAAGAAACTGTATAATTGCTGGATTTTTTCCATAAAATTTATTGAAGCTAATAATTGATGCCGAAACCCTCCCCCCCCCCCCCCCCCCCACCAATCATTATTTAATTTTGTGAGTATATTCCTTGTATTAAGTTTTTTTTTATCTCCCCTAATATTAATCACTCTCAATTTAGCTATATTTGGCATGTTAATGGCAACTTATTTTCCCATTCATAATATATCTTCTTCAATAAGCATAATAGTGACACATGCAGATAAGGAGCTGCGCATTTTATTCTTTAGGTCACTCAGTCTATTTATAAAAAGTTGTGACATATGAAGAACATCTAGGATTTTTGTACTTGAGAATTGCATGAAACATAGGATAAAGCATTCCTCTCTTTCGTTCCTTGTGTTGCCATGTATAATTCATGTATGCCTGAGTAACCAGAATTGTGTTTTATGTTCACAAAACTTCAACACTGAATTTTTATTTTGCAGTCTTAATCGCAGAAGCAGTTGCTCTGATTGCTGCAAGTACTGTCCACCGAGTTTGTATCACTACATGGTATGCTCTCCCCTCAATCCTCCTCCCTCTTATGAATAAATGATAAATATAAATTCATCAAGAAGTTTAGTGTCTTAGGTATTTGAAAGGAGGGGGAATCTGGAGTATCTGAAGATTAGTATTTTAAAGAAGTTTAGTAACTGGAAGTATTGGAAGATTGCATTACATTGTAAAAGAAGGAAAGAACACGTAACTTCATGCGATCAAATGATTTGAGGAAAAAAAGTAATAGACAATCTAAAGCATTTGTAGCTTGAATAGGATTACAGAAATTGGTTTTGGCCGCAATATGTACCTGCAGATTGCAAGGTATCAGGATGTTTCCATTTTGAAGGATACAAATTTTGTTTTAATGAAATAAAAAGGAGCCTTGTTTCAGGATAAATTTGAAATGGCCAGAGGTAGCTAAAGTATGGATATTGTCGCAGTCTGGCTCTGGCTTATATCATATCAAAGGATTGCAACACGATGGCTAACTGCGGATCCTTCATTATTTTATAATCAATCATATATATTGATTTCATATTTCATACGAACCCGTTGTTGATGTTCTAATATTTGTTGCATAACATGCAGTTTCCTGTTCTCGGCTGTGTTGCTGTATGAGGTTAACAAGATCTCTGGGTCAGCGGTTTCAACAAGTGACTCCAGAACTAAAAAGCAAAGTGGAAGAGCTTAATCGTATGCATGCTTATTACTATAAAGGCATCTTTAGAGAATTTTCCCCCGGAGCATTAGTTTTACAACCTAGTATCATTAACTTAAAAGAAGAGTGTTTTATATTTGTCTGAATTTTAATTGTACAATTACAGTGATGTGATTTGAAAGATGTGCATTGAACTAAAAGCCAATCAGTCATTTTTTTCTCACAGGTAGCCTCGTTTGTTTACTTCAAATAGTGAAATGCCAAAATGAGTTGAAGAGGAATCTGAACTTTGATTGATCCAACTTCCGTATATAACGAGTGGTTCTGGCTTTTGTCGCCCGCCAAGTGCATTGGCTTCATTGGCTTAGGGCCTGTCACTGCCAGTCTGTGTAATAGATGTCTTCGTTGTATTACTTTTGGGCTATAGGTTTCGTGTATTTATTACATTTCGCAACACACGAGCGAAAAGAACCAAATGTTTGATGGGGCTTCGGCTAACTTAATTCGAACCAAATTTTCAAGTCCATTTGTTTTCAAGTTAAATAAAATTAATCTAATGAAATAACTTTAAACCATTAGATATAATTGAAGTTATACTTAAATTAATCTCAACTATAAAATTTTGTCTTACTGAGCTGTAGTGAAAAGAATTGATTGAGTATCACCAAACGGATAACAAACAAAATAGTCAATTAAGATGAGGTACGCAAGATAATTCATTGCAGCAGCTGTTATCGATGGCTCCTCAACCTCAGATTCCACCGCTGAAATAGGTGATGTTAAAGATCCCAATCTTCACTTGTGCAAGAGCCAAGCAGAGCCGTCAACGAGTTCAAGACGGTCACGAGGGAATTCATTAGGATGGCATGCAACACGCCTCCAACCAGGATGGCATCAACGACTTCAAGATCTGCCTGCATGACGAAGCCTTCAAGCCAAGAAAAAACACAGCAAAAAACATACTCTCCATTTCAAAAAGATTGTCATTTTCGCCAAAAAAAAATCATATTGACATTTTTAGATTTCAACGAAACATTTTTTCTTTTATTTCTATTCTACCCCCCATAATTAATAAATGTAGAAAATTTATATTTTCAGCAACATTAATTTCATAGGTTAATTTAACAAAATTATTCTGTTAAGATATTTATTACTTTTCTTAATGCTTGTGAAAAAACTTTAGATGCTATTATTTTGAAATGGAGAGTAACTTTGCTTTTTCAGTGATAGTAAAATAAAAATTGAATGAAATAATTAAGAATTAGAAAAATCTAAATAAGATTAAAAGATTAATCATACCAATCAATTTTTTAAAAGATAATCCATAAGTACAGAATCAAATATCAAATACATTAGAAGTTGATTCTCGGAGAAGAAAGGGGTCAATTTTTTCATTTCTAATAAATAATTCTTAACTTTCACTATTTTTAAAATAAAAATAATATATTAGTATAAACTTAATATGTTAATCTTTTATTTATTTATTTTTATAAATATGGTATAAGTCTCTTAATTTAAAAATAAAAAATTCACATTTTCCTTGGGAGAATATTAATCAAAACGCTTAACTACCAAACGTACTTTGAGAGAATTCCTCTTAACAAGAACAGAAAGTGGGTTTTGGGTCCAAAATCCATTGAAACAACTCAGAATCACAAATAACCACAATAGGTTGCCAAACGAGTTTAAATTCCACACTATCACAAAATAGTAATCCTAACGACCGTTTACATACCCGAATTCTCAAAGTAAGATATTGTGGATAAATGACTGTTAACCTTATAGACCTCTTGTTTACCAACCTCTCCTATGTCCCTATCTATGGCATAACAACATAATATTCATCATTTTATACATTGTCTGCACAAGGAAATCCCGCAGTAATATCAGCAGCACCAATCCCGTGCAGCCACAAGACATGACTTAGCCTCAAGATTTATCTTCAAAAAGTGTAAGGACTAAGGTTTTAAAAAACCAGTAGCAAATGCACAAACAAAATTAGTAGTACTACAGCAAGTCATACAGCAATAGCCCTTTGAAGTTCCCTTCCTGTACAAGTGGTAAGAGATGGAAACAGAAAAACAAAGTTAATTAAAGAGTAACTCCAACAGTAGGCAAGTTATTTTGGTTCAAATCGTTCAGTGGTTCTAATTGATCTTTACTTTTACCTTTACCGTTAACCCAAGACTTTCCCACATCTCACAACAAATCCACTTCTAAAGATCCTAAGTGGCTAGGACCATTTTTTCTTTCAACCAACCTTTATCTTAAGGCTTAAATATCACTCGGTATAATATAATTAATTTTGAAGTTGCAATAACAATGTCTAATGATTCTGTTTTTGCAGAAGATTAATACATAAGTATCATGTATGACATTGTTAAATTATGTATAACATAAGCTAGTAAACAAAGTGACATCATGATATACAGACCCCCTTCAAATGAAATTTTAATGGCTGAAAATTTAGGCCAAAAGAAACAACATACTGTTGGAAATCTATGCTTATCATTCAAAGATTTCAATCAATAAAGTAAGTTAAAGAGAAATTTACCAAGGGGAAGTAGAATAGGTGATATCACTGATGTTTGTCAGAGGTTGATAAGCAGTTCCTAGTCGCTAGACACAGAGCCAGTGCGGTAGATTTTTCTGCACTCAAAATAATCTTTTTTTTTTCCACTGCACCAAGAACAAAATCGAAAACAATTTTTTGTTTCCCCCACTCACTTGCAATAGAACTTGTTTAACCATGAAGCATATCTTAACTTACTAGAATTCAAGGGTGAATACACCCTTGCTGTTAGAGATACTCTCACTTTAGAGGAACTTTTCCCTATGACATGTACCATAGCTATATGCATTCTATGCATCATCATGGCATATTCTAAAATCTAAATGGGTAACCTGCAATATAATGTTTGATCAACAAGATATTTAGGAAGGAGGTGGAAGCAGGATATGCATATGGCACTTCAGAGGATTATAACAAAAGAATTGGCAAGTTTTAAAGCAAAAAAAAGGTAACATAAAAATGCAATAACAGAAGTCAATGTGAAAATGAAAGGGAAAGTTTACCAGTTAAATGCCGATTTTCATGTTGCACAATAGACAGGTCCCAAATATATAAAACCGAAGCTACAAAACTGCAACTGTTTTGACAGCAAAATCAGTATTCAAAGATTCACATATCATGTTAGATGTTTGTAGTTGCCATTTGCATTCCACGCTTTTTAATCATATAAAGGCTCCTTGACAAGAAGATTCATTTTTTCATGAAGAAATTTGAGCACATCCTCTCTCCCATCCTTTATAAGCAACTGTCTTAACCTCCCAAAAGTCACACGTGATGGTCGCATTCCCTTCTCCATCATCTCTTCTAACAAAACACAAGCTTTTGCAACGTTGCCATTTTCACACAACCCATTGATAAGAGCTGAAAAGGTGTGCATGCTTGGGACAAACTGTTTTGACTTCATATATCTCCATATTTTCAGAGCCATCTCCAGTTCTTTTCTCTCACAAAACATTTTGATCATCATTGTATAAGTGTCAGCATCCGGTTCACACAACTTGATCATCCGGCGGAAGACTCGGAAAGCTCTATCAGTCTGTCCCTGGCTAATCATACTACTTATGATAACATTGCAGGTCCTTGAATTAGGAGCAATACCATTGCATTCCATCTCTTTTAATACCCGATGCACGTTTTTAAATTTGTTCACTTTACAAAAGGCACCAATCAATGCATTATACACCACAACATCCGCCTTAATTCCCTTCCTTTCCATCTCCAGGAATGTATCAATAGCATCTTCAATCCGGTGTTCCACTCCATAAGTATGAACCAGGACACTATAAATGAAAGACGTTGGCCTGCAATTTCTCGCATCCATTTCCTTCACAACCTCAACAGCTTCATCAACCCTTCCTACTTTGCAAAGAATGTCAACCATTATACCATAAGTAACAACATCAGGATCACATCCCGCGCGAACCATCTCCCTAAAAACCTCTCTTGCCCGGGGAAGATTAGGAGCCTTCCCCCACCCCTCAAGCAAAATACTATAAGTTTTCGAATCCAGCACAAACCGACCCTTCATAGCATCAAAAATCTCTTGAGCCTTCCTCACATTCTTGGACTTGCACAAAGCACTAAGCAGGCCATTAAACGCAGCAAGATTAGGAGACACATCATATTTATCCATAACATTAAACGTGTAAATAGCCTCATCAACCTTGTTAGCCCTAGCATACTTTCGCATCATAATGCAAAAAGTTTCAACATTTAGCATACCCTTTTGCCTCATTGCATTGACAAGGTCCCACATGATCTGGTACTGCCTAATCTTGGCCAAAGATTCAATCATCAAATGGTATGCTTTGATGGGGTGTGAGTAACTTCTCTGCTTCTCAGCCCATTCAAAGAACCGAAATGCTGACATGCCAGCATTTTCAAACCTCCTGAGAACGTTTTCTACTAAATCAGGGGAAACTCTAACCCCAGTTTGATTAAGAGCAGTGTCAAGTGCGAGCGTAGGACAAGACATCATAACCTTGCACACTGTTTCTGTTGCATCTGCAACCTCGTCAACTGGTTCACTTGTGCTGTACATTTTGGCAAACGAGACCCATTTGCGGAATAGAATTTTTCTGCGGTCGCAAAGCTTAATCATTGCGTAGGCTAAGCAAGAGGAACAAATTCAATTAAAGCAGTTGAACTACGTCTGAAATCTGCAAACCCTAACGCTTTGGCGATGGGTCAAGTCTAAAGAAGCGAAAGCTAAAAACCTCCAAATTGATCTTGTAGTATTTCTGTTCAGAGGGTGGTTCTAAATTGGAGAACTTCGTAAATTTTACTGAAAAATATTAGTTACTATCTTGATAATATAAAAATATAATAAATATTATATTGACTTAAATCAATAAAATTGTTTATTAGTATATTAATTCAAGTTTTGATTTAGTTTTTAATTTTTTATTCAAATTAATCTTTTACAAATTCATAATAAATACATAGTAGTAAGATTATGAATATACGTGGAATACAATAAAATTTATTAAATAAAGCCATTTCTTTTCTTTAGCAACAATTCCTATTAGGCTCTTTTAATGATAGAATTAGCTTTACAACCATGACATGCCCTCTAAGCGGCAAAGAGAAGAATTTATTAAATGTATATTTTTAAAATTTATAATTGCAAGTTGAATGTGTTGTATTTTGTCTAGACCAAAAGAAAAAATGTGCTGTATTTTAACACTAAGAATCTGTGTCATTTCTCTTAAATACGCTGAAATTTTAATATAAACTAAACTACAGGAATTATCTTATGTTTTCATCTTACAATGGTATTTAAATTTAGATTTTGATATTATATACATATAGAAAAAAATTAAAAGGTATGTTTAATTGCAAAATTTATAATCAAATAAACTAATTTAGGAAAGAAATTACAACTGGTTTGTTAACGCATTCAACTTTAGGCCATCAACCAAACTAGGATTTAAATGTAACATTTAATATAAATATAAAATATGTTAATATAATTTAAAATTAATACGTAATATTTTATTCTGGGTTGTTAAAATAGTCCATCAAGGATAAAAACAAGGTGGCGAAAACCGCGTGGAACGGTGTTCGGTCCTTTTGCCCAGAAAGGAAACGAAGAAGCACCGACGAAGTTAAAGAGATATCAAAATCAAAATACAAATTAAAAAGGAAAGTTAGAGAGAGAGAGAGAGAGAGAGTCTCTCTCTAAAAGAGTCACAACCTTAACCTTACATTGGATCGTATTTCCCTATATTTCTTCCCTGTCTTTCTTTTCCACGCTATTCCCGCCACTTCTCACACAATTCCATTTTTCTTCCAATCTCTGTTCTCTTTTTTCTTCTTTCAGAATATTGTAATTATAACAATTAATTAATTAACTAATATTCTTCTTTCTGCTAATTCCATTTCACATCTTCTTAGCTCTTTATTGCATTCATTCGTTGTTGATCTTCTTTCAAATGGATGAGTTCGGCGTGTTGACCGAAAGGTTTGGACTCAAGCCGCAAGGGAAATCGGCTCCAATGGCGTCATCAAAGTCGCCCCCAAATGTCCGCGATTCCCGAACATCGACGTTTGGGACCAATTCCGGTCTGAGCCACAAATCTTCCCTCAACGGATCCAGATCTCACCAAAATTCCGATTTCGCTTTTGATTACGGAGTTTTCTCCAGCAGCGATAGCAGAGCGCACCGTTTTGGGGGTCACGACGGTGGCATTGATGATATTTTCGGCGGAAACGTTAAATCGAATGTCGGCAACGGCGATTCGTTCGACTACGATTCGTTATTCTCGGGATCCAATAAACCGATTTCCACGTCGTCGTCGCGTGTTTATGTGGATGACATATTCGGTGGAATGCGTGAGCAGAGTGCTGGTGTTGATGATCTACTTGGTAAGATTGGTGGGTTAAATGTAAACGCTAAAAGTTCGAACGCGAAAGCACCTGATTTTGATGATTTGATACCTGGATTTGGTGGGAGCAGTGTTTCAAATAATGGGTAATGAAACTTTGAATTTAATTCTTTATTTTTCAAGTCTTTAATAGCTTACTTGCACTCTCTGAGTTTAATTAATTGTAAAGTTAAGTTTATCTGATAGTGTCTCTTAGTGTGTTAATTCTTATAATTTTCAGTAGAGGAAGTGTTGAGATGAAGAAACCAACTATTACTTCAAACAAACCTAGTGTGTCCTCTCATAGTGATCCATTTTTAATATTTGAAACCGGTTCGAGCACGGCGTCCTCAGAATCATTTCTGGACTCACTAGGAGAGATAAGTAAGTCTAGTAATTCTAAAGGTACAACAAGAGGCAGCTCTAATACTACCTCCCCATCACTGAGGTCTCCACCCAAGCCAATGAGTAAAGGTTCTACTAAATACTTGAGCTACAACACATGAATAGCTGCAACCTTTGTCTTATATTGTTGACTTAACTAGGTGGTTTTTGATGCAGTTAGCAACTCAAGTAGGTCATCAATAGATGAGCTTGAGGATTTTGCCATGGGCCGGGTGCAGACTAATGCTCGTAGTATAAAGACCAATATTAACACTAGGGAGAGCAAACAAAACTCGGCTAAGATCAACAACGGTAAAAGAGCTCCAGCTGCCAAAGTGAATCAGTCCAATGGCATGGATGATCTTGAATCCTTTTTCAGCATGGGTTCTCGATCAAGCAGTGTACCAAAGTCAAGGACTGCCACTGTGGTAAAAGTTATTAATATAGTCGGCTCAAATGATTTTGTGACACTGAAAGACTATATTCAGTTTTTTTTTTTTTTTTTTGTTTCTGTTGATGTATAGGATCATATGTATGATAACCAAATGAACAACAAAGGGAAACCCGAGGTGTCACAAAGAGTGCCATCTGGGTCCTCGGCAAGCGTGAAGAAACCTTCAGTGATGACATCTCTTGATGACCTGTCACTGATTTTTGGAGGTAAGTTTTTTTTTTAAAAAAAATTATTTCTATTACGATGAAGTGATTTTGTTGCCAACACATCATTTATTTTTTTGGTTGCAAAAGCTTCCCCATCATCTGAATTCAAGGAAATGGAAGGGGAAACTGAAGAAAGACGAAGAGCGAGGTTGGGACGTCATCAGCGAACACAAGAGCGAGCGGTGTGTATTATATTATCTTGTCTGCTTTCCTAATTTCTATTAACAAGGAAACGTGGAGGGGGAACTCTCAATGCAAACTATGTATCATCTTATATAGCTTCTTAAGAAATATCTTTTGTGATATTGTATTTTCTAAAATAGTCTGACTTCAAATCTTTTGCTTAATGATCCATAAAGTGATCCAGCATAGGATATTTCTTCATATGCTTCTTTAGTCTTGAACTTAAACCACATATGATATCTTCATAGTTCATTCTTGACATTGACATAACAGATTTTATTGAGATAATTTCTCATGGAACAGGTTTCTTACTTTTCTGACTGTTGTATTTTCAGTTAAAAGCAGTGGCTGATATGAACCAACGTGACCTTCAAACTAAGATGGAGCAAGAAGAGAGGCGGGTAAGCTTTTTAGTGTTTTTGTGGATTTATTTCCAAGGATAATCATGGTTTAATCATCCTCAATTCTTTTGTTTTTTTTTTTTATGTAATTGTCAAGTCTTAATTTATTGTTACTTTTTATTTTAATTTGGTAGAGAATTGCTGATACTGTGGATGCTAAGATAAAACGATGGGCTGCAGGGAAAGAAGGCAATATGCGGGCATTGCTATCAACAGTACAATATGTATGCACTTTTACCATAATTACTACTAATTGATAATGCTTCATTACAACTCAAAATCTGATTAGCATTCTCAGTGACTATCTTGAGCAGAATGATTAAATCCTGCCAGTATATAATATTAAAATATGGAAAAAGAAATGAAATAGTATTCCATGTATAGATGAAATCATCTAGAACTTCTACTTTAAATCAATATGTATTGGGACTCTTGTCAAATCACATGTTCTATTTAATTTTCTATTTTTGCTTAAATTGTTTTTAATTTTGCATATACCAACATGACAATGATATGGTCCAAATGGAATATTTTGAGTTGACTAAAAGCTACATAAATTCCATACATATGGGTCACAAATTTGTCTATAAGATATCATTTGGCATGCAGATAAAACAGAATGGAGCATACTATTTTGTTCAGTTCTCTTTGGTGGAACAAAAATGTACCACTTTTCTAACCTTATGACCAGTTCTTTGTATTTTTAAAATGAACTAACAATAAAACGGAACCTTTATGTACAGTATATATCTTTGGTTAAGTGGAGGCGTTGCCAAAACTCTCTGCAGTTGTTTCTCCAAGATCTTACTTCCTCCATTTCAAACTAAGTGACCTTTTAGCAAAAAAAAAATAAAAAACATATTAAGTGACATTTTAAGATTTCAATGAAACATTATTTTTCTTATTCTAATTTTTTCCCCTAAATAGATTTTAGTATTGGATGAGTTAATTTTTAATCAAACAAGCAAAACAAATAATAAGTATAGTTTAGTAAAATTATTCTATTAATTAATCCTAAATCTATGTGAAAAAAAATCATAAATGTCAAACAATTTGAAATGGATGGATTATTTAACAGGAAGATAGTGAACTTGTATCTTTTGTTTCCTTTCAGCAATAAAATAATACTATAATTAATAAATTAAGTTTTGCCTTTTTTATTTTTTTCCCCATCGTACCACATTTGTTCTATTCATGACTGTCTTACCATTGAGTTTATATGCAGGTTCTTTGGCCAGAATGTGGTTGGCAGCCAGTGTCTCTGACAGATATGATTACTTCTGCTTCGGTTAAAAAAGTTTATAGAAAAGCAACATTATGTATTCACCCGGATAAAGTCCAGCAAAAAGGTGCTACTCTGGAACAGAAATACACAGCAGAGAAGGTTTTCGACATTCTTAAGGTACCTTGTTAAATAATTTTGAAGAAATAATACTTACTAGAAGTCTATACCCTTTTTTATACCTTGTTAAATTGAATAGCTGAATTTACTTTAATTGCTGTCATTAAGCTGAACATATAAATCTTTCTTTTTACGGCTCTAGGGAACTCGTGCCGGATAGTAGATATTGTTTTGGAAAAAAAATGCTAAAAGCCTTAACATATCATCAATTTATTTTCTTTTTAAATATCTAACCAGATTTGTTCACACTAATTATTTTCTTATTGAAACATAATGCTGATGTGTTGATCTTTCTTATATTTATTCTTCTGACCTTAACAACAGGAAGCTTGGACCAAGTTCAATGCCGAAGAACTTTCTTAGATCCCTCAGCTAAAGTCTTTGCAAAATCGATAGATCTATTTTGGACATGCACAGTTTCGGTTTAGGGCTATTCGCTTGCCTAGCTGGTGCCTGATATATTTGTTTTTGTGCCGTTGAAGATAACTGCATGAATATTTCGTGGCATCATTTGGCAGCCGATTCTTTCTCCTAATGATGTTGACGCTCTACTGTAAGTTATCATATCTTGTAAGTAATAATGTTGATTGATTCTGGTCAATGTACAAATTTTAAATGCTCAATGCCTCCCTAGAATTCAGTCAGCCCGTCCAAATTGTGATGAGAAGACTTTATCTTATATTTAGATTATTGGATATGCACAGCTGCACGCATAATATAATTTGTGGGAATGAGTTTTATATGCTTGTAGCTAGGTTTTTGTACGAAGAGAAATGTTTTAAGTGATTTTTTTCATTTAAATCAAGGATTTTGCTTGTGATTTTACTTTCTTTTATATTTATATTTCATTTTGTGACAAGTTGTTTTTCTTCTTCGCCAAACTCAATGGTACCCACAAAAATTATTTATAATGAATAGGATTTTTATCCATGTAAAAGATCTGTGTCTCGGTATGAGTAATTACTACATATTTTTGTGAGTACTATAACATCTAACCTGGCTGGTAGTTTTCTTGCTCATCTCCGTATTTACATGGTCAAATACTGCGTGTATATGCACAGACAAGTGTGCTCTTACAATATTTTATAATTATAATTTGAAGGATCTTTGTATTCTTTTTAATTGCACTTTTAATTAATGTCTTGTTTTGTTATTTTTATAATTAATTTATATATCTTTCATTTATGTCTTACATTATAGTATTTGGGTATTTTATATTTTACAAGTTTATAAAAAGCGGATATCTTCAATTTTTAAAACTAAAGTATAGGTATGGGTATCAACAACAAAGTTGCTACCCACATAGATATGTAAATTTGTGTACAACTATTTTTTTAAAATGCAAGTTTGGACACAGGTATTTCTATTTATCAAATTTTTACTCGTCATACCTATTCACATCAAGGAAAATAGAATTTTACTTTGTTTCTTTCTCTTTCTTTTTCACCATATAAAAGAAGCGTGGGTGTAGTAGTATAAATAAAATTACGGGTGTGAGAAATATTATTCTTAAACAAATCAATAAAAAAAATGTTTGTTTTAACGCCGCAGAAGTAAAAGGCCTAGTTAAACAAACCCGTATAATAAGCACGTTTTCTTGATCTATCTGCTTTTAGGAGTGTGAATTTCAAACATATTCCTAATAAATTCATTATGCCTTTACCAGTGCTTGTTTAGGTTTTTCTACTCTTTGAAGGGAGAAATTACCCATGTAATTTTAAGAATAGGCTTTTTTAATGAATAAAAAATAAGAAATAGTTTTATTGAAATTAATTAAAATATTATACTTTAATAAAGAGAGAGAAAAAAAAACGCTCCTTAAAAGAGCAAACGAACTCCAATCCTTTTGTTTTATTTCCTTCTTCATGCGACGTTTTCCGATCATCCTAATAAATAATAGTAAAATAAGGGAAATGGATAGACTGGAAGGAGAACATCAGATATACTTGGGATTTTATGATTAAGTACATTTCTGGGTCAGGAGGGGATGGAGGTAGGAAATGGAGGAGAGTGAAATTAAAGTGAAGGTAATGAAAAATGGTAACTGTACCCCCAGTTCTCAAGTGTAAAGGGAGACGGAAGAGATAATAAATAATGTGATGTGGCAAAAAGAAAAATAATTGTATGAATATTATTATTATTGTATCTTGATTACCAAAACTGTTGTGGTTGTTAACTAAATTTTTACGCTTGCAGAGGGCCACTCCAACCTTTTAAGCCCATTTCTTCCAGAAGGCCTAATGTGTGTACTAATTATCAACTAACCCCAAAAAAACATCTTAAATCAGAGAACTTGCGCATAAATTTGTAAAACACGTTCATATTGGAAGTAAAACTCTTATATGCTTCCTTCTTCCGAGAACATGCCATGCCTGAAAACACGTTACAGACGATCCATACCACCTTTCCCAACAGACTGCACCGAAACGACAGCGTTCAGATAATTGGCATGGCAGCTACCAAGGTTACCGAACCCCTCCAACGTTGCTTTCATTCACTGAGAGAGAGGTTCATCGGCGATGCGGCTATTTAAGAAGATGATAGAATAGCCATGAATCAAAGAGTGTCAAGAAAAATATTTTTTTCAGAATCTTATTCGACTCATATTTTGGAGCAAAGAGAGACAAGAGATTGAAAAAAACTCTGAAAAAAGACGAGAGAAACAATAATACATAATTAATTATGTGATAAGAAAAAAAAATATTACAAGGTGGGTACACCAATTGAAGTGTGAACAAAATTAAGATTGAGTATATAATATTTTAATATTGTTTAAATTTTAGTTGAAAAACATAAGAAAGTACATGACTCGCATTTTTGAAAGTTGCAGAGCAAATTACAAGAAACAGAACTAAGAAAAAGAAATAGAACACCCGGTGCTGCTAAGCAACAGACAAGGAGATCATCACCCTTGTCTTCACACGAAAATGAACAAGAAATAAAATTTGTTTCTGACGTCTCTATCAAGGCAATCATAGTGTAATGACATTTATGTAATCAATAGTTGGTATTGAATGGCTTGCAAGTTTGAAGATCAATGATAATTCCAGCAATAGAGCCAGCTGCAGCTCCTACAGTCATTAAAAGGCATGCAAAGCTAAGCATTTGGAGGCACATCCATTTTGGGCTCCACTTTGGCATTCCTTTTTGAATAATGTACATTTCCACCGGGAAATACACAGTTAGTGGCCAAAATCCAAGTGCTCCAATAAGTCCTCCTATGTCATTGAAGAATGGGAGAAGCATTGATATCACAGTATTAACTATTACTAAAATTGTCCTCCAAACCAATCTGAACAAGTTTAGTTTGTAAGGATGAAAACCAAGGAGGGGGATTTCAATTTCTTTGTTCACAAAACTACTATCTGGGAATCTTTGTGCAACATTTTTTTCAATAAAAGCGAAAATGGGTTGGCAGCAAACTTGGTATGAACCAATAAGGTGGATCACTATGGCAGCATTAGCTATGTCAAGAAGCCAATATGGGTTATAGAAGCCAAAGCCAGTGAGAAGGTTTCCAGGGCTTGAATCTCCAAATGCGGCATACCCAAAACAGCCACAAAGCATGTAGAAAGCAGTGGTGACAGCAACACTGATAAAAGTAGCCTTCCTCATTGTTTTTGACTCTGATGGAGGGGATTTCACTGTGTCCTGTTTCATAATATATTACATACCCTTGTTATTTCAGACTTAAGTATTCTAACATAAAATAATTATGAAATTTTAGCACAATGAATTATACCTGAATTTCTATAAGTACGAAGGAGTAAGAGTAGGCAAAGGCTATGTCACCAAGAGCTTGCATGGTTCTCCAAAACTTATCAGTTTGTGTCACAGTACCAATGCTTATCCCAGTTAAGGTTCCCCCAACGCTTCCGTTTTCTGTTACATGGCCAATGTAAGTAAGAATTTTCTGCCCAGTACTATAATCCTGAAATCATTATCATAGATATATGAAGAATTATACCTATAACTTTTCCAATACCGAGGCCTAGCCCAATTGTGGAATACGTGAAGGACATAACAGCAGCCACAATGGAGAGCCACCACAATTGATCAAAGCCTGGAATTTGAGAGAAAACAATTTCCACTATACCGAAGGAAATCATGTACATATTGCTGTTCATATGGCAGGGATTTTTTCCTCCACTCTTGTGGAAACAATTAGATCTTTCAATTGCCCTGCTTGATAAACACCCCAATTAGAGTATTTTCCTTTTATTCCTTAAAAAGTAATCAATCATCTCTTCCAAATCCCAATATCACCATTATATCAAACTCACATCATGCTTATGGAAGATGCTATAGTGTAGCCAATGGCAACTCCAAAAAGGTTAACATACTGAACTAGCCCACACAGCTTGACCTTAAAGCCACTGCCACCTGAACAAACACAACCATAAAACACAACCAAAGTTTGAAACCCTGAAAGAGAATATAATCAAGTGGGTTAAGTGGGTGAGTGTTTTACCGAAGTTTGAATGAATAGCATCCATGTAAGTGTAGTTTCTCTTGCCAGTGACAGGGTCACCAGTACGATAACAATCAGAGAGAAGAATGGAAGTGTAGTAAGTAATGACAGAGAAGAGAACCATGATAACAGGACCAGCAACCCATCCAAGCTGAGCTATAGCCCAAGCCAATGACAACACCCCTGACCCAATCACTGCAGTTATTATGTGTGCACTTGCAGTCCACACAGTCCCTGTATGTGTTTTTCAAACACACCACAATGCATATATGAGACAAAACACAAGAGACAAAAATAATATTAAGATTTTAGAAGTAATATTATATTTTATATATATATATATACCAGTTCTTTTGGGGCGACCATCATCATCGAAACACTTAGAGCCTCCTCGTTGTTGCATGTCAGTGGAGACGTTAAATGTTTGGTGATGATTCTTGGTGGCAATGGCATCCATCTCAACCATCTTTGTTATGATAGATCATAGAAAACAACCCAAGTAAGGCTTAGGAGTGAATGTCATAAAAGATTCTAATTATGTGCAAAGTGTCAATGCTTGTGCTCATGCAGGGTTTGCAGCTCAAGACTTCATTAATATATAGAATTAAAGGTTTCGAATTTGTGGAAAAGAAAGAAAGATGGGTGGTTGGTTGGCTGTGTAAGAGGTAGTGCGTTTTGAGAAAGTTTAACTCTCAGTTCCAGGTTTCCCCCACAATCTAAATGAGTTTGACACACCTCCAAAGTCCAAGAGTCACAAAGACCAAACTAGTGTTAGGAGGTTCAGGCGAAAATGGTGGTCTTGAGAGTCAAAGACCAATGAAGAAAGACACGGAGGGTGTGTGCTAATGTGCTTCACTTGGTCCTTGGACACTTCCAATTTAGAAAATTTGAATTGAGGAGTTTGTGTTTGATGGGAGAGTGAGTATGGTGTTAGAACCAACATTTAACTTGGTTTTTGGTTTAGGAGAATTCTACGTAATGCAATGAGTTTCCAAAAAGTGATTAGAAATCAACGAGTTAATGTAATGACACCACTAGAATAATGGTTTTGGCATTTGGGTAGTGAGTGTTATAACTCCAGAGATTAATAAGATGTCAGCAACACCACGCAATGCCTCTGTGTTAGCAGCTTCTGCTGTTAAACAATGCTTTGATCAAACCATATGTACGTCTACCCTCTCTTCCCACTCTTATTATTATTATTATTTATACACACACATATATATAGTGTGTATTAGATTAATTAAAAAATCTGTTCTTTCATAGATAGGTTAAGATTTTTGCTATCCTCACAGCTGGAATGTGTTGTAGGAAATCATATCATTGCCCAAAACTAATGACTACTAATCAAATATATTCACGAAAAATAGAAGAATTAGAGGTTTTTGTTTTTTATTTTTAAAAATATTTTTTCTTTTTAAAGTAAAAAAAATAAAATTTACTTATTAATATAAGTTTTATTTTTATTTTCTTTTTAAAATTATTTTTAAATGTAATTTTTAAAAATTAAAATTTAAAACAAAAACAAACAGGTCCTTAGTCATTAGGACAACATTATCTTTTATGCATCTAAATTTTTAATATAAAAAAATTTACTCTTGTAAAATGAAGAGAAGCATATAACAAAAACTAAGAATAGATATATATTTATTATTTATTTGAATTAAAATATTTTACTAATGATAAATTGGTCTTCATCTTTTTATTTTATAAAATTTTTAATTTTAGACAAATTAAATTCAATATAAAGGAAATTTCTTATTTTTTACATCTACTAAAGAATACCAAAACAATGTGCTTAAAATTATAAATTAAAATCAAATAATTATATTATATATTTTATAAAATAATGGTAATAATAAAAAATATAAATTAAATGAATATTGTAAATAAAAATATTAAATTAAATACGATTTAAGAATTAATTTAATAAAAAAATTCATTAATAATTGTAAGACTGCACTAAAAGATGTCATTTATTAATAATTTAATATTAAATTAGTTATCGTGTAGATTTTTGTAACAAAAATTAAACTATTAGATTGACATTATGAATTTATACTAATAATATGATGTACTATACTAATATAATTATTAATACACATTATTAATATATTAAATGTTAATATAAGGTAATATATATTATTATAAATTTTAAAAATTATATTAATAATTTTATTTTTATATTAGACGAAAATAATTAGACTAACAAATGTTACTATTTTTTTCTAATTAGTTTAATCTAAATCTAAATTTAAAATCTTACTTAACTAATACCAAACTACTTAATATTAAGATAAAGTCGTGCACTTAAATATGCTAGATAAGTCTACTACTAAAGATTTTTTTACATACATACAAACTTAAACTCATTCATATCCGATATCAACAGAAGCGAAGATCCGCTCAAGAATTTGCTCTCGAACCTTTCGGTTTTAAAGGAAAAGTAGAGAGGTTATCTATAAAGTTATCCAAATAGTCCATGATATTGCCCTAATGTTGTAAGGCAAAGGACAAGCGTTGGTTGATTTCTTGGAAGCTCACCCAGTCTCAACAGTTCTCTGCTCTAACCAGCTGATCTACTTGATGAAACAGTTTTATATGCTAAAGTTCTGCATACTGGAGCACTAGAGCGGGGACAAAGATTGTTTTTATGAAGACTTTGCTTAAACGATAGATTTCAAAGTTTTGTTTGAGTGTGACATAATTTTTTATTATATATTTTTAAAACATTAGATTTCATTGTTAAATTATATTTTAAATTTAAAAAAATTAATTTAATCACTTTAAATAATATATGTTGATTTTTCTTTTCTAAATCCCGTTACCTATGTTCCCAAATTAAATATTTTTAAACTTTCGTTTTAATTAAAGATTTTTCTTTCTTTCTTGTTTTAAACTATTTTAAATTCACCTTAAAATATTAAATCCCTGTATGAATAATAGAATCTTTATTCTTTAAAGTGATGCAAATTTCAATTATACCCATCCTTTTAAAATACGTAATTTCACCATTGTTTTACGCTATTTATCTTGCTTTGTACAAAAAAAAAACTCAAATTATTTTAAATATTTCTTTTAATTTAATATTTTAACTTTCCTCTAAATACATTTAGATCATATGAGCCAAAACAATTGGGTATGAAAATATATTTCGGGTTGGAAACATATTTTGAAAGATGAAAATGTCTTTTTTTATTATTATTGAAAAATGAATATGTCAATTAATTTAAATATTTTCAAAAGACCAAATTAATGTTAAAGAAAGACATAATTGGCATTTTCATCTTCTACAGACAAAACATGATTATTCATAACTTCTAGAGATAAGGGTAAATAGTATAGTAATTTGATATCTTAATGAGAAAGTAGGACAATGATAAGAAAAGTTTCTTGGAAACTCTTAGAAGACAATGGAATAGAAATTGGAAACAAATGAATTGAAGTTTGATGACTCTTTTACCTTCTTGAAGAGTTCCTTTCTTTCACTATGCTGAAGCAGCTCTGCTAGAAATATAATACAAATTACGGTTCAGTGAGTAGATGCTGTGGTTCACTTGAATGAATGTGTCCACATAATATATAATGGAAGCCATAGAGTTTCACAGATATTCTTCAAACAGAATAAGGTTCCCTCTATTATTAACAGTATACTCAAAGCATATTTGTCAATTGCTTTAGTCAAAATCATTTGCTTTTATGTGAATCCGATCAGAAACTAACCTGTAAGATAGTACCAACCTTTCTCCACGTTGAATTGTAATGTTCAAGTTTCTTTGTTTTTTTACAAGTATTTTATTGTGTTTTGAGCATCATTGTTATAATATCTTTAGTAAAAGTTATTATTCATTCTTAATATTTTTTAAGCATTATTGTAATAAATATTTTTATAAAAATTAAAATATAAAAGTTATTTTGTAAATAAGTGTTAATATATTATAAGCACAGTTACATCTTATCATAATTTAAAAATATATTTGTATCTTATTATGATTTTAATCATTGATTTTTTTGTCAATAATTATAAAAGCATGCTATATTTTAAAGTATGTCTAATAAAAAAAATGCTGGCCATGCAACTTCTTTAAACTTTGACCATTTTGTAAATCATTGTTATAAAGTTTAAAATATTCTCTATTATTATATAAGGTATAAATGTTATCTAAATAAACCACTTCATTTACTTTTTTGGGAAAAGTGAATTGACCAATTATTTGTAACTTTTGAAAATTAAGTTGAATAATTAAAAGAAGATTTGTCATTGCTAAGAACAGATCTTGTTGATCTCATATGTGGTTCCAAAGGGACAGTGAGACAATACAATAAAGTAATTAGGCTTTGGGCTTTTTTTCATAATGTAGAATCAAGTGTAAGAAGAATGTAGCATAGTTGGGAAAAAATATTTTCATTTTGGCTATGAAAGACTTTTGAGAAAACCTAATGGAATAGATGGTGTGGAGAGTGCACTATTAAGTGGAAGCCTATCAGATCAATAAGCCATTTTTGTATTCATAAACCCCACAATAATTTATTATTTTTTCCTTCCACTCAAAGAAATATTTGTATATTTCACAAAATAATAGAAATGACAAGTCGTTTACATTGCTCAATAAAAAAAATTATATAATGATTATTTTTATATAAAAGTTTTTAAATGAGAGGATGATAATTTATAAATTCTTTAAAATTCTCGTAATTATATATTTTTAAATTCTTTAAACGATTGAATAAAGGCAGTGCTTTAGAAAAAGAAAATTAATTTTTTTAAAAAATAAGTAAATGATTTGAGTGTTTATTTATAAATACGATAATTAAAAGGGTAAATTGTAATTTTATGACCTAGTTTTAGTTTGATTTTTTTAATTAACTTGGTCTTATGCGTAATTTTTATGACTTTTAAAAAAAATATTTATCCAAATTATGGCTTCATGTAAATTTTTTTCATTATTATTATTATTATTATTATTATTATTATTTCATTTTTAACTATATTTTTTGAATAATGAGATTATAGACTACAATTTTTTGTTTATCAAATATTTATTTTGTTCTTTCTCTTTGTTTTAGACCTTCAGATTATTTTTAGCTTATAATATTTTTTAATCTTAATAGCAAAAAATAAAAATAAAAACTGATTTTTAGAAGAGAAAAGACGGTGCTTGTTTATGAAAAAAAAATTAAACATGAAAAGTCACCATTAATATTTAATGTTTTTTAAATTAATAAATTAAAATAAAAAGTAAAGGTAAACAAATATTAACATAAAATGATAACTTAGAATTAAATTGAATAAGAAAATAAAAGTTTAGATTTAATACCTTAAAATTTTATATTTAATATGATGTCAAATTTGCTTAATCATGCTTCAATGAAAACCTCCTCATTCCATTAGCTCACTTGTATATTTTAGCAAAAGAAGTTTAGCATTTGCCTTTTTGTAGTGTTTGAAAATGTTTAAACAACTAATGAATTGTTTTCTTAAATATTAATCAATTTTAGACACTTCCTAATTTGTATAAAAAATAACACATTGATCCCCAAATGCTATTAATTAAATTTTGATAGATATTTTTCAATTTTTCAAAAAAGAGTTATGAGTAAATATAAGTTGATCACAAATGGCCCTCATGCACCAAATGAGCTTACTCCAGAGTTGTCTTTTCCATAAAAATAATAAGATTATAAAAAGGCATCCAATATTTTGATAAATAAATAAAAAAAAAGCATCCAATATGTTCTTGAAAGATAACACTATATAAATTTTTATACAGGGGTAATATATATATTCAGAGAATTTAATAATTTGAAGTGAGTGTGACTTTGTTTCCATTAGTGGTCTAAGATGCTTAGATTATTAAAATTGCAAGTGAATGAAGTGCTTCTAATGGCATAGATTCCATCTCATTTCATTTGATCTTTAAATTTTGTTCTCATAATTTATAAATGCGGGATAAAATGAAAATCACTATTTTTTTTTTTTCAAAATCTTTATAAAATCACTATTTATAAAAAAAAAATTAAAAAAAAAAACACTCTTGCAACTATATTTTTTTGTTGACAAAATTACCCTTGCTTTTCTCTCTGACTCCAGTAACTGCAACTTTCAACCCGAGCTCTCAGATGGTGTTCGCAAGGTTTGCCTTTGTCACATTGAAAAATAAAATTTAGATTCGAGTATTTATGCGTTTTTTTACTCATCAATTTTTATATTTTATTTCAATGATTTACCATAATATTAAATAAAAACATTTTATTAAAATGAATTTTATTTTTAATTAATAAACAGGAGAAACAACGTCAATAAAACAGTACCTAATTTCTCTGCGTGGAGAAATGACCATTTGCTTTTTATTTAATTCCTTACTTCATTTTTAAAGTGAATCAGATTATGGGATTGCTTCATTCCAAAAAAAATTTATTTTTTATTACAAGACTGTCATATTATTTTTATTTTTAAAAATATGGTTAAAAAATTATGAAAGTAATGAAATATTACTTTCAATATTTTTAAATAAGGTGAGATTTTTATAACAAAAAAATTAAGATCAAATTCTTTAGGTACTTGTAATATTTAATTTTAATTATAGAAATCTTAGCGGCAGCTTATAATAAGTGTAAAATTTGAATAAATTTTTACATGAATTTAAACATCTAATTGTTTCAATGATTTGAATGTAAATATTAATTCTCTTTTTATTAGAAGAATTTAAATTTAATTAACTTATTTAATTTAAAAATTGAGATGAAAATTTATTCTAATCCCTATTAATTTTTAGGAACAGGTAAATAAAAAGTTGACTCAAATTATTTTTTGTTCAAACAAGAATCCATCATTAAACTTGAGCTTTTGCCTTATTTTCGTTCAAACAAAAAGTTTTTGCTTGAGCAATAATACATTTTTAGCTTAAGCAAGACTTTATAACTTGAGCAATTGAAAGAAAATCGAAAGAAAGGGGTATTGAAGAGGGAAAAACAAAGCAACTAAATCTATATTATTTCTTTTATTTTTTCTTTCTTTTATTATAATAGCTACCGTGAATAGTCAAAAGCTTTTTAAGATTTGATGTAATTTTATATTTTAAAATATTTTAATGTTTTATATATAGTATTTTCATTTCATAAATGTTGTGGTTTCATTTTATTTTTAATACTTAATTTATTTTACGTAATAATTTTTTGATTTAGGATTTAAAGCTTAATTAAAAAATAAACTTTGAAATCAAATATGATAGTAAAAATATGTTTCATTATATTAATTTTTAACTTTTGTTTTTAATGCTGGAAGATACATTGAATAATTGAAAAATTATTATCCATTAAATACTCTTAGGCTTCCATTGAATAATTGAAAAATCATTATTCATTAAATACTTTTAGAAACCTTGTATATGAAAAATCGATAAAAAAACATTAAATGGGTGCATCTATATTAATAAATTTGTACTTAAATATTTATTCATCAAAATATAAAAAAGTAAAAATAATAAAATTCAATCTCATTTCAACTCATAATTTGTTCATATTTAAACTCACTGGTTCTTAACTGACTATAACTCAAACAAATTATGTAAACATTTATATGAAGTCTTAATTAAAATAATAAAAATTATTGATATCTCTTCTAATCTTTGTAAATAAGACAACCCTACTCATTTACTAAAAAATGTTCATTTTTAGCTTCTTTCGTTTTCCTTTTGAGTTTAGAAATAAAGTCAGAGAACTACACAGAATTTTTGTTTTAACCCAATTCTGGTGTTTGAAAAAACGTCAAAAAACCAGCAAATGTAAATTCAATACATATAATATAGAAGTTACAACTAATAATGTTAAAACAAACATAGTCTCATACTCATTTGAATGTAAATCCAAATATGCTGTAAATAGGCACCATCAGAATCGCACATCAATCTTCCAAAATGTATGCAAGAGCTAGCTGATATAAAGGACACCACAAACTACAGCCACAAAATTAGATATCTAAACACACTTCGATTCTTCCCCTTCAGATAAATTAAAAGGTCAATGGAACCATCAACCATGCAAGTTCCTCAGCAGCCTGTCTCTCTAAGACAAGAAAACCACCACCTACCGTTGCTTTTCCTTTCAAGTTATCCTCCAGTTTTTGTTAGCATAGTCGTGCAAGGAAATGGAACACAATACAAGTATTCCAATTGTGACAAATGGAGGGTTGATGGCAAAAGGCAAGAGATGAAGCTCAGTGAGCTACAACTTGGTTACTTGGTAAAAGCCTAAAAGCCATTACGGGGGAAAAGCAACCACAACACTGCCTCCTGCTTTTGTCACGTGAGAAACAGGACTTAAAATGACCACCAAAGCACCAACAAGATGTTTGTTTTTCACCCATTTTTTTTACTGCAACTTATACAAAAGATATGAAAGATACTACTAAAGAAATTTATATTCCTTTACGAATATTACTTAGCAAATGACATGCATCGTTACTCAATTAACAGTGAACCGTGAAGAAATCCCATGATATATTTTTTCTGTTGGTTCATTTCATGCTCTGAACGAGGGGAAGCCTCACTACATGCATATGAGAATCCAATCCCATAAAGAGTTAGCAAATGATGCGCTGCATTTATGGAAGAGCGGGAGGGAACTATTCATGGAAATTGCATGGCCTATTATGCATATGATGTCCCATTGGTCAGACCATAGAAAAGAACACCATTTCCTTCAGTACATCTTCATGATATTTGTGTCAAATGTTTGTGGGTCTGTGATAGCACATGACGTATCTTCCAACTATGTTCTTTACAGGAAGTGGCCCCCTATTCATCATCCAAGAGGTAATGTTCAAAATGAGCAAGAGGTAAAAAATTCTTCACACTGTCTATGTACTACAAGTGTTTCTCTAAAACCATGTTTTTTCATTTCATTATAAGAAAACATATCTCCTCAAAACTAAAATGATACACTAATGCAAAAATTTATTTAGAAAATAGATCTATCTTATTGTACATCAATACATTCAGAGAACCTAACCTCTCCCTAAAGCTAAAGTAATGGAAAAGGAAAAATGAGAGTACAGTAACTTGTATTTGTAGCAGTAGTTACTTACCACACATGGGAATCATTACTATTGTTACGATTATCTCCCAACACATAAACATGGCCTTTAGGTACATGCTGCAGGGATACAAGTTACATGAGCAAAAGAAAAATATGAATCAATAAATAACTATAGAATTACGATAAGTCATTTGAATTCACAGAACAAAAGTAAAAGGGATGGACAAAACAGGTGACGGTAAAGAGGCCATCCTTAATTAGCATGTTAACCCAGAAAGCCTTCATGCTCACAACTGTTATCTCATATTTATCAGAAAGGTGCATAAAGTGAAAAGAGCACAGTTGGCTATTAAGCAAAGCCGTTTATCCTGGCAATTAGGACTGTAAAGTCCAACTTGACTCGTGGAAAAAAGATGTTGGTCATGCTTGACAAATTTATTCAAGTAAGCCAAATTTACCTGAGTTCCATTTGTTTTAAAAAATATGAAGCTTAGGTTTGACTTGTTTATGGCATAGTTATTTTTCCTTAATCAATTTTCTCTGAGTAATTTAGTATTCAACAAATACCTTCATACCAGAAAGTGAAGTAAAATAGTTATAAAATATTATTATGTATTCATAAATACAACTTAAGATTGAAAATTGAAACCTTTGATGATAAAAATTGTGGAATCTTTTAAGTTTCCAAATAAATATAATAAATAAAATAACATTACAACTATCTTGGTAATATATGCATAAACGAGCTATTTGCAAACTAACAATGTTAAGCCTACAAAATTTGAACTTGACTCATTCAAATAACCGAATATAACCCATTTAACGAGCTGAGCTTTTTACTGATAACTCATTTACATCCCTATTGGCAATTTTTACCCCATCATGTTCATTAATGTGATCTGTGATCCCATATAATTGTTGAATGAAAAGTAAAATAAAAAAGACCATTAACAATTAACAAGGATCTCACAGTTAATGGCATTGTGTATGTTGGTGGCCCTGCTATGAAATCTTCCTCCTGTGCAACACCGTTGATGTAGAGTGCCCCATGCTGAACCTGCCAAGTGTTGGAAGATTCAAGTGAGAAAAACTGACAATATTTGTGGAAATGTTTGGGTAGCAATGTTGGCTTTATCAAATTCCCAAGTAGGTACATAACATTGATATAATGCACAAAGAAAGGGAGTTTCTAAAAAATTTATACCTCAACAGTGTCTCCTGCTTTTGCTACAATTCTCTTAATAAAAACAGCATCTTTGTTTCCTCCAGAAAGCTACATAGAAAACCAATCATGTAACTGAATTGGGTCATCAGTTGCTTCCTAGAGATCTGCAAGTAGGATACAGATTCTATACCACCACAACTTACCTGTTTTGGATCCCGAAATGTTACAATATCATGTATAGCAGGACTCCTGATGTAATATGAAGCCTGGGGAAGTTTGCAAGATAATTAAAATTAAAACATTAAACACAACGCAAGTAGAAAAATAGAGAGAAGACCAGAAAATATCCATCGATATTATTTATAAAGTGTTTCTTACCAGAATGAAAATCTAACACATAATGTAATAAACTATCAACCTTTATAAGTTGTTTAATTCAAAAATTGTTTCTCAGTAAGGAAGAGTACCCCTCCTAGCTATTATAGCCATTGACGGAAATAAAGAAGAAGAACAAAGCCAATAAGCCTTAACCAAAAAATTTCTGTTAAATATGCAAATCCTTGACAAAGCCAAATGCAATACTCCTTCTGGTCTCTCTCTTTTCAATCACTTATTCAGTTTTATCTTATACTAACATTAAAAAGAATAAGTTTTTTCACTAATCTACAACAGCTTCAAACTTCTGTCCTAATAGATCTAGTTTCTCTATCCAAAACTTGTGTTTGTACTTCGTTCTATTGAAACACACAAAAAGCATGACAGATGGCATGTTTTCGTCAATAATCGAAACTTCAATGCTATAGGTCTAAGTATTCATCACAACACATCATATGGATGAAGTTCAGAGACTAAAACCATTCAAAGGTAAGCCTTAGCAGATGATTTTGGTAGATTAAAATACTTTATGAAAAAAGTTTTTTCTCAAAACAGCTCTATTTGATGAAATGAGATTCTCCGTCAATTTCAAGTTCTTTCCCTTTAATTTTGTGCACTGCTTGATTAAAAATCAAGAATGAAAAGGAAAATAACTAAGCAGAAGGCTAGCTAAGATAGTGTCAGCTACGCTATCCAGAGACCTCTGTGCGATCTGGAAATGTTGAATAAATGATAATGATGAAAAGATCAATTCACTAGGACAATTGATGCAAAACATCTTGAAGGCTTTGCTTTTAGTACGATAGAATCAACTACCACAACAATATTGGAAGCCTCAGTAGACAACCAAGAACTTAATATTACAGGTGCCAATTATTTTACGTCAAACCAAGGAAAAATAATCAACATTCTCCTTCAGCTGCAACGATGCATGCTTATTATCAAAAAGGAAGAACAACTGAATGAAAATCTAATTTTTTGAAAGCTGAAAATGAAAGAAAAATGCATAATTAAGGGTTATAACTACCAATGAAGTAAGTACTAAAAGAAAGCTGAAAATTTACTATAATATTTTGTGTTCAACTACATTAATAATAATAATAATAATAATAATAATAGTAATAATAACCATAAGAAGTCAATAAATAACATTATTTTATTAAAAATCATAACATTTAACGGTATTAATGCATTTAATTACATAATTTTCAATAAAAACATTCAACATATGGATTCTAATTATCTGCAATGTTACACGAGATAGAAAAACTAATAATAATAGCAAGGAGGTATTCCACTTATAGAAAAAGGTAAAGATTTCCATCCTATATGAATATTCCCATTAGATATGAAGATAGATGCGCATCAAGTTGCAAATAGAATGTTCTAGTATTCCAAATCCTAGTACTACGTTGAACAGGGAGATGATACATAAAGGTAGATCATGAAGCAAGGAAAGAAACAGAAAAGGAATGAAGGATTGAGTACCTTTTCCACAAGAATTCGATCGCCAACACGAAGGGTGGGGTACATGGAAGATGAAGGTATGTAGCGAAGCTCCGAGAACAGAGACCAAAGAAGCACAACCACCAAAAGCCTCATGAAGCCATCGAGACCCGGCCATCGAAGGAACCCCCAACTCTGACACGGCATCCATTTCAGTGAAGGGTAAGTCATCAGAAAGTGGTACAATGCAGAAGGCCTCAAGAAACTCATCATGCAAACTGCATATACCAACCACAAAAAAAATGAAGATTTCAACTCGTGATTAAATTAAAATAAACTCAAAACTTGGATCAAAGGTTCATCGCAATTTGTACCGTGAATTCAAGAGCTGCAGAGTGCGAAATGAGTTCTCCCTTTTGAGTGAAACTAGCGAAATCAGATTTTAACTCTTTAGTGACTAGTGAGTGATGTGATCACCGTTAAAAATTCCCAAAGTTTCAGAGTGAGAGGGTATTGTGTTTCCGAAACTTAATGGCTAAGTTTCCACATAAAGCAGCCTACGCGGTTTCTGACAGTACCACTATGTTTTTGTCTATCATTATGTAAGTCAAACCCGGAGAACAAATGCTATAATTCAACCCAAAAATGGATTATGTAACTACCCAACTAACCATGTTTTCCTTATTTATTAGACAAGTAGGGAAATGTTAAATTTTTACATTTTGATAATGTAAATTAAAGCAATGCTTGTGGTTTGTTTACAAGAAATAAATAAATAATTGAGAATAATCACATACGACTACATTTCATAGCATGTAACAGTTTCAATTCATAACTTGTATATCCTTGCTCAGTGATAAAAGTGCATCGTTACTGAATAACGTTTCTAAGGATCGAGTATATTTTGTTCTTCAAAATATTTTATGAACAAACAGATACTATCATTAGCGTAATAAAAACCTGAAATTTTTTATTTTTGTCAACAAAATCTGAACTTTCTCAATGAATCTAGTTGCATTTTTGTCTTGGGCAGGATCTACCCTTTTTTTTTCTGAATGTCTGAATGATGACCAGGATGTACGCACATTTGACTCTTGCAAAAATCTTTCAGCCCAAGTACAGTAGTAGCCCAACCACCTGATTATGAAACTGAAAATGTTATGGACCAAAAATAAAAAAAGGCAAAATGTGGGTCAAGATCATAAGGGGGTTGCTTTTTGCACCATTTTTATTTTAATATATTTGCACCCATTAAACTTTAAAATTCGTTGCTAAAATACTCTTTTATTAACTGCCAGGGTCATATAGTTTCCTTGTTCTATTTGCACCCCATTTCAAAAAGAGTTTGTTGATATTACTATCGTCATACAATTCCCTTTGATGATTGCTCCACCGGTTAGGGAGAAACAGAGAGCATTGTGTCGAAGGCATGCCCTCCAGAGGCCGGCAATGAGGTTTTGAAGTTTTCCAACAAGCTGAATTGTCAATTAGTGTCATGTTGTACAACTTCAATTCATATGACAGGAAGGAATGTAGCAAATATAGCTCATTATGGTTAGTGGAAGATAAAATAATAATAATCATGCATTTCACTAGCTTTCGACAATTTATTACAAAAGTTTATTAAACAAAACACATGTACTTGTGGTGGCCACTGTCTGGGAAGAACCCCAAACACCGACAGCGTTTGATTCCCCCTCATTTTAGCCAAAGAATTTAATTCCATTTTTGTTTTTGGGCAGTATCTACTTTTTGTTGACCAGGATATACGAACATTTGACTACAGCCAAAGTACAGTAGTAGCCCAACCCAACTGATTTTGAAACTGAAAGTATTATGGACCAAAAATAAAAGGCAAAAAATGGGGGTCAATAACATAACTATTCATACACATGGAACACAGCAGTCACTGGGAAGAGGCCCAAACATGGATAATTGGATAGTGTTTGATTCCAATTCCCCCTTGTGTTCTCACAGCACTCTTGAAAGAAATATCTGCAGCAGACGTCACTGCATACCTAAACTATTTCAACAAGAATAGCATCTTTGAAAATAGCTTAATAACGACGATTGCATACCGTTCGAAGCAAAGAAAGGAAATAAAAAAAAAAAGACTGGTCCTCTAATATGCCTACATTTGTTATAAACTTAATAAATATTTGTGATGAATAAAATTGCAAAGATATTGGCGCAGCAGAGACATGGAAGGATAAAAATTGACACATACGATAAAGGACATTTTAGGTTGGCCCCACTTTTATCCTCTTCAAAACTGCACTTGTACTCATCATATCATCATCATCATCATCACCATTTCCGTTCACCAGGGAGAGCGATGAAAGCACGCTACTTACCTTTTCAGTGGGTACTGCCACTGTTACCCCTCCTTCTATGCTGTGCGACGGAGGAGTCTTCTACTACTTCCACAAGCATCATCTTCACCACACTTGGCAGAGCTTATTACGCCTTTGACATCTATTCCCTCCCAATTCAACAACAACCGCATATCCCTAACAAAGAATTACGTCTCACCGATGGCCACTCCGTCAATTTTAACGGCCACTTCATTTCCAACAACTCCGCTGTCCAACTCCCCACCACCCAAACCCCTCCACTCCAACTGGTTTACATAACCGAGAGAAACGGCTCCCCCACCATATACTACGACGCCGTTTATCCCCACTCTTCCACAGCCGCCAGAAGGTCCGCTCTTGAATCTGTTAGCTCTAATAGAATCCAATTCCCTCTGTTACCCAATTCGCTAACTGACACCCAAGTTTCCATCAAAGATAAGCCCAGCCTAACCCCCGATGGCCAATATTTGGTATACGTGTCCACCCACGAGAACCCGGGCCTCCCACGGGCCAGTTGGGCCGCCGTTTACTCCACCCACCTCCAATCGGGCCTCACTCAAAGGCTCACCCCCTACGGAGTTGCTGATTTCAGCCCAGCCCTCTCTCCCTCCGGACTATGGACCGCCGTTGCTTCTTACGGCCCAGACGGTTGGGCCGGCGAGGTAGAGGACCTCACTACGGACATCTACGTTTTCCTAACACGCGACGGAACTCAACGAGTCAAGGTCGTCCAACACGGTGGCTGGCCCTCCTGGATCGACGATCGAACTCTTTACTTCCACAGGAGAGGCCAAGACCAGTGGTGGAGTATCTACAAAGCAACAGTCCCCGCCGACGGTCCCGTTTCCACTGACTCGGTCATGGTCGAACGAGTCACCCCGCCGGGTCTCCACGCGTTCACACCTGCAACCTCCCCGGGCAACAACGACTTCATCGCCGTTGCAACGAGAAGGCCTGGCTCGAGTTTCCGTCACATCGAGCTATTCGACCTGGTTAACAACGAGTTCAGAGAGCTAACTAGGTTGGTCTCGCCCCAAGCTCATCACCTCAACCCGTTCATCTCGCCCGATTCAACCCGGGTCGGGTACCACAAGTGCAGAGGAGAACCCAACAGAAAGGATAGAAGCAGCAGCCCCCAGTTGTTGCTCGAGAATGTTCGGAGCCCCGTGCCTGGTTTAACTCTCTTCCGGTTCGTCGGTTCGTTTCCGGTTTTCTCACCCTCCGGCGACCGAATCGCTTACGTTGAGATGCCGGGCGTTTACGTGGTGAACCGGGACGGTTCGAACCTGCGTAAGGTTTTGAACGTGATGGCCTTCTCGACGGCTTGGGATCCTGTTCGACCCGGTGTCATCTACACTGCCGTCGGAGAAACGTTTGCTCCGGAGAGCTCGCAGGTTGACATAATATCCATCGACGTTGACCGAAAGGACAGCCTTAAGCGTTTGACCCTTGACGGGAAGAACAACGCATTTCCCTCACCATCTCCGGACGGAAAATGGATTGTGTTCCGGTCGGGTAGGACGGGTCATAAGAACTTGTACATAATGGACGCTGTTGGTGGAGAACAAAAGGGGCTTAGAAGGTTGACGGAGGGTGCATGGACGGACACCATGTGCAACTGGTCACCGGACGGAGAATGGATCGCATTTGCATCGGACCGGCACGACCCGGGTAGTGGGAGCTTCGAATTGTACCTGATCCACCCGAATGGAACCGGGTTGAAGAAGCTGAGACAAAGCGGGTCGGGTGGGAGGATAAACCACCCGTATTTTAGCCCGGATGGGAAGAGTATAACGTTTACTTCTGACTATGCGGGTATATCAGCGGAGCCAATCTCGAACCCGCATCACTACCAACCCTATGGTGAAATATTCACCGTTAGCTTAGACGGTTCTGGTCTCCAGAGATTGACCCATAATTCGTATGAGGATGGAACACCCGCTTGGTCGCCCAAGTACATACCCCCAGTTAATGTTGAGAGGCCAAAGGGAGCCTATTGCTCTTTTGAAGATTGTCATTGGCTCAACCACATGCCCACTGTGGTGCCTGCTTATGCTACTATGGCTGCACCCGCTGTATCAAACGCTCAGTGTGGTCTGTAAATGCTGTGTTGATATAATGAGTTTCCGTAATGTATGATATGATACGTCAATAGATGTGGGCTAAACCGCTATGTGAAAGATAGTAGACTGAGCATGCTTTGTTAGTGTAATTTTGATGTCCAAACACTTATAAGGCAAATAAATAACTTCCCCTCCACTTCTTCTGTAGACTGACTGAATTTTGAGGTACTCGATAGAAGCAACACCCGAAAAAGGAGCACATGAAAATTAACATACCACATTTGCTGTTTTTAAATGACAGCAAACTTTTGTTTATATATGTCATATTTCAAAAGTAAAGTAGACTCGCTTATTCATCATATTCATCAGCCCAGATTGTCATGCTTACAAATGCACTTTTAAATTTGTCAGGACAAAACTTAGGACTACCTTAGTACTTTTAATGTTGTTTAAATAAATTTCAAGTTTTACCACAATAAATTGTGTTTATAAGAAAGGTTGGTTGAAAACCTGCATCAAAATAAAATTGCAACTGGACTAGATAAATTGGACAAAATTTTACACATTGGCTCCTTTTAGCCATTAATGATGCCGAAGCAGTAGCTAATAATACAGATTGATTCTTGAAGCGTTGATTTTTTGTGAACTTGTGGCATAGCAGGTACAAGAATTCTAATTAAGATGATGGGGGGTTGACAGCTACATTGTACAGTGTAAGAGAAGCATATTCTCTCGAGACACAGAGTTATGTCAATCTAAGCCTATCCCAACCGGAAGTAAGACTGTCATCCTGCTCAATTCTGGAAAAATTCTGGAGGTATTGAAGGAGGGCAGTACTTCCTGGCCACATATTTGTACTGAAACACAGATAAATTATGAGAACGCACTCAAACAAATGTAAGCGTGTGCTTTAAAGAAATGAGGCTTGTGTTTACCTTATGCTGACTGTATTTTTCCCTAACTGCAGGCAAATTAGAGTTAGGACTGTTGCAACAAAGCCGATGCAGATCCTTTACACAAACACACAGATCAGAAGGTTGGTAGAGTGTGTAATGCTGCAATGTCGAATTCTGTTGCAAGAAACAAAAACAGTCGAGTCAAACAAATATCCTAAAACAAATAATGTACACATAATCTTTGTTGTTAGCATCATACCCATGGTTTCTTCGAAGGGAAAAGAATGAATTTTGCCAGGAAAATTGCAGAAGCGGCTACAAGTGATGGAGCATGACAAAGCATGTTGTACTCCAATAGAGACAATTCGGCAATATAGTTTGTCAAGCACTCTAGTTGCAGGGAAGGGACCTGAGAAATTCAAAAATAAAACACGAGAAAGGAATCAGTACTTCAGAAATGGAATTCATAGTAATTATAAATAGGTGCAATCACTATATAAATGCGGTACAAGAACAACAAATATGCAAATATCAAACCTACAAACAATGCTATCTTCTTATATGGCAATGACAAATAACACCATTGCCATTATATTATGTTTCTATTTTACTATAACTCGAAATTAATTTTGACAGAGTATTTCACAGAATCTAAACTAATATTTGTTCATCTAACAATATACAACTAGTAGCGTATGCTTTTGGTTACTTAAGATAGCTCGCTAGCTTATATTTTCATCGGTGACTCTTATTGAAGACAACAGCCATCTCGCAATGTTTACACTTGAATACAAATGTGTTGTAATATACCCCCAGTGTTTAGAAAAGCCAATAATGGTATATGAACCTTAGAAGCATATGCATGGTGTTGATGACATTTCTAACATACTATTTGGAGTAAATATACTCGTAATAGCAAAGCGATGTGCCTATCATCAAAATGCTCCAGCACTGTTTGAACATTTCCTATTTATTACACAGGTGCATAAACAATAGACAATTGACCAACTTAAGCGAGGAAGATACCTCGTCAACTCCTTGAGCTGCACGAACAAATCTTCTGTAAATCATACCAACAAAGAAAAAAAATTTATATTAGATCAGCATCAAAGATTTTCAAACGGTCAATCTGTTAGTCATGTGTTAACTTACTACCTTAGGAAACACTTAATTGTTGGGGCTGTCATTTCGAACTTCAAAAAATTCAAGAGAGCAGATTCCATCTGCAAAACCTGCATCAAATGATTTTGGACTGATGGTTGAGATGTGCACACTTCAAAATCACATGCCATAAACAGATGAGAGTAAGCCGCAAAAGTTAACCAACCAAACAATTCAACCCATACCTCTTCTTTGAAGTATGTGTTATCAGTTATGTAACAAAATTCCTCCACCTGAGGTGCACAAATCTCCTCATATTTGCTGCCAACAAGAACCAAAAACCGAATTAATTTATTGTTATTGAATGCCTTCGAATGCTTGAAAGAAAATTCGTAGGAACGCCATCAATCAAAAAAATATGAGGGACTTGTATGCTTCCTTACGAGGCAATCATCATGGAGGCAACACCAAGTAGTTGTAACTTTTGCCTATTCATCACGTTCCCTGAAAGATACCGATCAATGTAGTTTACTGTCAAATACAATGTATCAGGTACTAGTCTATACTCTTCAGCCACCTGCAATTGGAAATTGATGTTTAGAACATAGCCATATACACCAATTAATTACATAATAATAATAATACTAATAATAATAATAATATCTAAATTTTTTAACTTCCCATGTGTTTGCAGGGGATGTTAAAATTCACATGTGACAAAACATTACCTCCACAAGCCAGTCAATCAATATAGCACGCATGCTGGGATTTATGTCCTTCTGAACGCTTTCCATGAAGTCTGTGGAAGGCCTTTTCTTCGCCTAAAATTTCATAAATAGGAAAAGATCAGACCACTTTCAATAAATTATAATCATTTTGTTAGCTACATTTGGCATGTTTAAGTAGAGAAAACTAAAATAAACTATAATAACAAGATAACTGTAACAGGGAAAATGAAGCTTTACCTCAGATGCACGCAGGTGCTTGTAGATATCACAAGCAAAGGATGCACAGAGCTGTGGATCCGTGTAATTATTATCGACACTGACAATTTTGTCCCCCTTTTCCAACTCAACAAGTATGTCTCTACTACAGATGTTACCTGCAAACACATGAACAAGACAATAACACTACATTAGAATATAAATATGAACCAAATAATTTTTAAATGAAAGTCAAGTCAACTGGACTTGGCTACACGGAAACAATAAAAAAACAAAATGAAACCTGCTGGGTCTGTAGTATCAGAGATGTTTAAATTGCAGAATGTCTTCCTCTCAATTGAATCAACTGCTGCAACATCACTATTGTCGACATACTCAATGTCAGGACTCTTGAAAGAATCACAAGAAGACATTGACTCGTCCATTGAAACTGACATGCCATCTGATTTACTAGGTGAAACATCCATGGTGCTCGAAACATGAACAGTGAGGGTTGCAACTGAAGGAGCAGCAGCTCCATTCTTTTCTAAGATTGAAGTAGCCTTAGGAAAAACAACAGCACTGGTAGATTTAACACTAGGCAAAGAGGGTCTTTTATTCCCTGAAACTGCTGAACTAGTGAAGCATGGTGGAACTTCTTTCTTGGTCTTAGCAACCTTAGTTCCGCATGGCACCTAGCAATGCAAAATTCAATCAAATCACAACCCATTATAAAACCATAACTTGGTAACAACAAGTGATAAAAAAAAAAAAAAAAGAACGAATCTTTGCAGCACCACTAAAAAATAAACAAGAATAGTGTTTTTCTTTTTCTTCTGTTGTTATTACTTTGTCATGCAATTGTTGTAAGCAGTAGCTAAAGGGTGAATACCAAAGAGGAAGAGGATGATGAGTTGCGAGAAGCAATGGTGTTGGTGAGGTTAGTGAGGGGAGGTCGCTTCTTGGCCATAACCTTGGCCACGTTGTTTTCTGAAGAGGAAACAGTTGCATGGCGCTTCGCTAGAGATGATGTGGTTGAAGACGAAAACGATGAACGACGATTCTGGTTCGACATTTTGCTTTATTTCTTTATTCTTGGCTCTATACAAAATTGAAGAACCAAGGAAGAAGAGAAACAAAGGAAGAGAGAGAGAGAGAGAGAGAGAGAGAGAGAGAGAGAGAGAGAAGCGTTACTGATTGTGCTCTGATTTCAAAGAGAGCCTTTTGTGCTTTTGTTTTGTTTGCTTCTTTATTTGGCAGAGAAGAAAAGAGTGAGTGTGTAATAAATTTTGTATAATTTATAAAATGAAATAACGAGGCGGGTTTCAAATTGAGGACAGATCTGGGCCGTTGATCGGACTGGGTAAGGAGCGGGGCGTAAATGTGGGCCCCCACTGCTTTTCAAATTTCCTGCACTCGAGCGATCTGATTGGCTATTACGGCCACGTAAGCAATGCACAGACCGTGAAATTGAAGCTTTCGGTTTGAATTCAAATTCAAACGGTCACTGGATCTGTCGTTTCCTGCTTCGACTTTGCCCAGCCAAATGAGTCTCAATTCCCAACCATGAATGCATGATCGAGCCACGTTTACCATTTTTTTAATCCAAGCTGTGTTATTCAATTAATTTTAAAGTTTATTTAAATAGATTATATATTTATAATTATTTGATAATTAATTATATCAATCTTTTACTTGGATATGTCGAATGAAAAGTTTTTTACATTGATTTATCATATTTTTAAGCTGTAATTATAAAAATATATAAAATTATTTTCATTTTAGTCCTTATAATTTATTTTTTATTTTAATTTTTATATTTATAAAAATTATTATTTTTTATATATTTCATTGATATGATTTTTAAAAAATAATGTATATCACAAAAGTTATCGTGTGATAACATTTACATTGATTACGTTCTCATTAAGCACTAATTAAGAATTAAATAAATAGTTTTTAAAAATATACAAAAATTGTAAAGATCCAAATTAAAATAAACTAAATGTTTTTAATTATGAACTTTATAAATAAAACTAATATCAACCAAACACACACTTAACTGGACTTTAAATATATTCTTTGATTTTAGACTCAAATTTAAATTTTCATTTTTTAAGGAAACAAAATCTTTGACTTTTTTACGTGGTGCATTTAGTGTATGTTTGAATTATTTACATAATTAAAGTAGATCGTACTTAAAATACTGTTTATTCTCTAACTTTATTTTTTAATAAAATTATTAAAATAACATGATATATATATATATATATATTATATTTAATTTAATATATATATATATATTTAAAATGTAAATCATATAATCTAATTCCTATTTAAATTTTTATTTTCAATAAATTTTGATTTATACATTTTATTAAAAATACATTTATGATTATTGCTTTAGAATTATTTGTGCACTCATAGTTAGTGTATCAGAAAAAATAGTTTAAGAGACATTTAAAAAATAATTTTATTATTTATCATTACTGTATTTCGTTACATGTGTAGTTAATTTGTCGTTAATAAATAATATTTTAATTGCTACATCTTTGAATTTGAATGAACTTGTTTGAAAAGATATTGTGTTTAAGTGAACTGATGCACTTGAAAAAAAAATATTTAAAAGATAAATTAATCAATGCATTGTTGCTTTTTTTTTTGCTATATTTAATAAAATTATTAAAAACAAACGTCATTATTCTTATATTAGAATATGAGTTGTATTGACACAGAATTTCAAACTAATTGCCTATTTTAATGAAAAAACTTAGTAGAATATCATTGAATTATCCTATATATGATATAGAGTTATATATATTAGTGAGAACTTTACAAAATTAGAAGTATTATTTGAAGTCAAAAGAGTTCATTATCTATTTTGACCATTATATTTAAAGTTTCTAAAATCTCAAACTAACATTTGCAAGAGACATGTCAATTAGTTAGAATTCATTGAGATTGAAATATAACAAAGGTAAAGAAAATATCGTAACTTATGTATATAATATATACTGTACTCAGTTTATTGTAAACTAAATTATTTGATTTTAAGCTTGTAAAAGATTAATACGCCACTAATTCCGATTTTAATCAAGTGTGTTATAATTGTTTCAAACATGCTTTTGGAGACCATAAACATGATAATTTAAAAAAAAATAAAAATGAATGTGCTTATTTATTTTCTACGTGAAATGTTATATAAAAGAACTCATGGAAGCCAATTAATGAAATATTTTAGAGTACAAGGGACTTTAAATATATTGAATGAAGATATGTGAATTCTAAAGTTATATCCAGTAACTTATAAATGCCTTGACAGTTGACAATCACATGTATTTTTTAATTACATTATTATATTTTGACATAACTCTTATAGATAATTAGAAAAAGTTATAACATCATTATTGTTACATTAAGATTTACTAACATAAAAGTGAATGTGATGTGATATGTAAATAAAAGTAATATTACTGAAATTTAATTAAAATATAATATTAGTGTAAAACAGTACATTACGATCATTTAATTATGAGTTTTTCACGTTAACGATAATTAGTAGTTTTTATAATAATTATTTTTAATTAGTTAATACTGTAAAAAATTTTACACTCACAATATAGTCAAATTAAACTCATACCGTTGTTATATTTATTAGTATTTTTTTTTTCTTACGTTATATGGAGATTAATAAAATTAATTTTATTTACACTAGTAAATAATATAAATCAATGTAAAAATAATATTAAAACTAATCAATTACAAGATATGTAATTCTTCAAAATTATTTTAACTAAATTTACAATATAAAAAATATAATAAACGTAATATATATATATATATATATATATATATATAATATTTGAAGTTTCTAAAAAATAAACCCTTCTCTTACATAAAAATTTAAATAAAAATATCGATAAAAATAATCTGTATTGTATTTTTTTTTATTGTAATATTATGCATCTTGCATTTTAAATAAAGTTCTTAATAAAAATTACACAATTTTAAAAACTGAGACTTAATTATAAAAAAAAAAACTTGAAAGAAAGAAAAAACCACACAACTCAAAATAGGGAGATAAATATGCAATTAAGGAGAAAATCCAACATGTATGCATTTTAATTTTATTTTATTTTTTACCTGACGCAACATGATATAAATGAGCGGAATCACAGATCCCCGACCACCTAATAATTTTTTGCAATCAAGCCGTAGAAAAATTGTCAGGCTGACACTTTATTGAAATATGAGACGCCATTTTCCAAAATAATAATAATTAGGATAAGGGGAAACTCCTGTACTTATTTTCATGGCTGATTAAACCCCAAACAATATATTACAATACGCATGCAATTTCAACTTATATACCATTTTATGTAACAAAGTCTAAAAGAAGGGGAAACTGTACACTGCAGAGAGAAAGTAAGCAACGACTATGGAGGATATGTGTTTAGATAGACACGGCACAGTAACTTGAATATCCTATAATTAGCATAGTAACTTGAACATCCAAGAATTGACACAGAATTAGTTTACGAAAATTTCCATATAGCAAGAGCACCGCACCCGTTGACTGCAATGATATAGAAGTTCCAAAGCGGACAGCGCATGGCACATCGTATTTAGTATCCAGGCTTAGCAGCGGAATACCTCTAGAGGTATTGATGGATTACAATATTTCTTTGCCACAAACTTGAACTGCATGCGCACGTAAAACGTGAAACGACATGAAATAAGTTAGAAATTAATGGTCATCCCCACGACATTCCAGTCGTATTTAATAATGAACAAAAAAATAACCCCAAATGCAAGCAAGCCAATTGCTGACTCCCACAGTTTGAGAGCAAGACACTCAATGTAGATTCAGCTATAAATATATGGGGAAACTTATGTAAGTCAATAGATGATTTAACTTGCACGCCCTGCTTCTTAACAAACGATTAAAATTCAAATAGAAACTCAAGAAACAAAAACCCTTGTTTTGAGTGGATGAGAATAGTAACTGCTGACCCAGATTTCATAACCAGGTTGAATCAATCTAATTTCTAAATAGATAACCCTATACCCTTTACACTTTCTAATATCTTTCATCGAATGAAACTGGGCCTCTCTTGAAGTCTAGACCATCGTATTGTAATCGAATCAATCTAGTTTCTAAATGGATAGTTTACACCGTTTAAAATTGTGGCTACTGATATGTATGGTTACTTTCATCAAGTTGGTTTCCGGCTTAATTTAATCATGTTATCAACAATTGCTATTAATTGTAATCATAATTACTTAATCAGATGGTATACTGCTTTATGTAACCCGATTTTACTACACTTAACACAAGAAAGACCAAAGTCCAGGGTATTCTGACCTTATGCTGACTGTATTTCTCCCTGATGGCAGGTAAATTATGACAGCCATCACAACACAACCAATGCAATCCTTTGACACATTCATGCAATTCTGATGCTTGGTAACCTGTGTAATGCCTTAGCGCAGAATTCTATGACAAAACATATACATAGTTGCACATCATAATTACACAGGTCTATGAAAAGAAAAATATTCCTCAGTAAAATAGGTTTCCGGTAATACATACCCAAGGTTTCTTCCTAGGAAGTAGCATGTATTTAGCCAGGAAAGTGGCTGATGCAGCTATTAATGATGGGTTGTACTTAAGCATGCCATACTCTAGAAGCGATAGCTCTGCAAGATAATCTGCCAAATACTCCAACTGCATCACTGGAACCTAAAAACAGTATGAAGTGACCACCGTCCACCGTAAAGTGTCAGTCGTTGTTATTAAACTCTAAAAGAGGGAAAGAAAGAATCTAAATCAAACTACATACCTCGCAGGTTCGTTGGGCAACAATGATGAAGCGTCTGCATAGGGATGAGCGCAATTCACAAGTCATTTCATTAGTTGTTGGGCAACTTACTAGTTACTCCCACTTGCACTTGTCAATAATCAATAACAAGGAAAAAACTAGTCATTACCTCAAAAAACATCTAACAGTGGGAGCTGTCATTTCAAACTTCAAGAACTTCAGCACAGCAGATTCCATCTGCAACACCTGCAGTAATATCACTCATATTTTTAGTAGAACAAGGCAACGGAAAGACATCTAATGCTGCAGATGTGAATCGAGAAAATAAAATTCAAACCTGCTCCTTAGAATATGTATTATCAGTTACATAACAGAAGTCTTCCACCTTAGGGGCACAGATCTCCTCGTATTTTCTGGCAAAATCAAATTAACATTTTTATATTATATAATAGATATATAAATGCATGACAAACAGAGGACATAGGAGAAGAAGAAACACACGTGTATACTTAGACAAATTAAATGGATTTTGCTTAAGAAACAAGCGTTAAGAGATTAGAACCCTACGCAGCAATCATCATACAGGCAACACCAAGTAATTGCAATCGCTGCCTATTCATTGCATTGCCAGAAAGATAGCGATCAATGTAGTTAACTGTCAAAAATAGCGTATCAGGTAGAAGACTGTACTCTTCGGCAACCTACAATGTGAAGACAATATTGAATATAAGAACTTAAGGAGGGATTTAATTCTTCTCACGTTCTCTATCATGTTATTGGACAAAAGAGCAAGTTTAATGCACCCTATACAGAGAATAGTGGATTCTATAATAATTACTTATTTTCTCGCGTCTTTCTATCTCATAACATAAGTGGAGTCAAATTCCTTAAAAAACTAGCACAAAGAAATATAACTTCGACAATTTAAATTTTATAATGAAACAGAAAGCCCATTTATCAGGAAATAATAAGAGTACATGATTTATCATAATTGTAATCATGTATTATATGAACAATTCTGTGATATTGGGCGATCGAGAATAAGAAATTCCCTGGAATAAACATCACCCTGACAATACCGTCACCCACCATAGTTTACCTCCACAAGCCAATCAATAAGTATTGCCCGCATGCTAGCATTGAGGTCTTTCTGTATGTTCTCCATGAAGTCCATAGACGGCCTTTTGATTTCCTAAAACCAGATATTAGACCAAAATAAAACACAAAAACAAACAGAGAGAAAGGATTCCGTTCTAAGCCACATGCATAACCGCAGAAGTATTACGATAGATAGCTCTGTTTAAAACTTCCAAAAGTAATATCTCATCTTAATTTAATTCTTTATCTTGTCAAAATAAAGGACAGTGCCTTTTTGAGTGGGCCCAAATCATCCTCATAAGGTACCCAGAGAATTCAATCACAATTTTTTGCTACTATTTTCCACTCATTATGTCAAGTTATCATTATTCTATGTCAAACTCAAATTAACAGAAATTACCAATTGGGAGAAGAAAAAACCAGAGAAGAAGCTACAAATGATGCATTTTTGCTTTAACTCTGAAGTTTACATAATATTCTTCCTGATGAAGACGACTTTTACAATTATACTGAATCTTTATCAGAAACTTTTAGCCATGCTTTACGACCTGAACTACTTTTGAATTCACTATTTATTAATTCAGCTGTGATTGAACCTTTATTCATGTCGGTGATAATTACACACACAATATATTACGGACATCAAATTGTTTAAAAGTTTGATAAAATTTTAAATTAGCATAAACAAAAATACAATCTTTTATGATTGAATAATAACATTGTATCATTACTTATTTTAAGTGTATATATATATATATACACACAGTAAAAAAGAAATTTTCAGACTAATATAAATCTAAAAATTTTTATACTTGATCTAAGCTTTTCATTTAACTTATATCTATTAATTAGAGAAATATTAAATTATAATTCGTTATCTGTAAATTAAATAAAAAGCTCATATTAAATGTAAGAGTTTTTAAACTTTTATATATATATATATATATATATATATATATATATATATATATATATATATATATATATATATATATAGCGTTGTATGACCTTGGCTACCTAAGCTTACCATATAAGCAGCAAAGGTCGCAAAATTTTCAACTTTGCAAATAATATCCAATTACAATAGTTAGATAGCAAAGAAACTTTCGATAAACACCAACATAATTGAAAAATAACATTAACTATATTAGATTTTAGAACATTGAGAGATATAAGATACGTTTGAATACACAACTTATTTAAACACTTATTCATGATTTATGTCATAAATTTAATAATAAAATTTATTAGGATGTTAAAAACAACTCATCAAAATTATAAGCTATTTTTTATAAATTGTTCATAAATTCTTTCAAATCAACCCATTATTATATTTTGTATTATATAAGTTCTTCACATTCATCGGAAACCCCTTTCATGAGAATATTTTGTTAAAAAACAATTAAAAAAATAATAGTTTCTTCAAAATATTTTTAAAAATATTAATACAAAACATAAGAATCTAACATTATCAACTTAACATTTCTCCTAAACTTACAAAAACCTCCGTACTAAATGCCTTTTAGGAGGTGGAAAAATGAGAAAATTGAGTAAAAAAATGTGTTATTTAAATAAATAAAAATAAGAGAAAATTTTTTTCTCAAAAATGTAAATTATATTTAAAAAATTGAAACAATTATAATAAAAATATATAATATTTTTTCTTAATAAATTTTTTATGTTGTGTAAAATTTATTTAAAAATAAAACTAAATAAATAAATAAATAAACCACATTTATCTCTTTACCCCCGTTACCACCCTAAGTAGGAAATTTTTTTTACAGTGAGTGCCACAATAAATTTAATTTTCTTCCTCTTCTTTTTCTCTCAATCAAACACACGTACTATTCTTCTTTCTTCCTAGTTCTCTCTCTCATTACTCTCTTTTCTCCAAATATAGCAATCCAAAGAATACCGTATGCCAAAGCTGCACAAAACAATCAAAATAGCTGTACAAGTGAAACAGACAAACGTAGTTTGAGAAGCAATTCAATTTGATTTTCAAATTGAATTAACATGTCGCATTTTTTTAAGATGAGATATTCTATAATGCTACCTACCTTACATACATTCACATGTAATACTTTAGGAAGCTGACATGTTCGAGAATTCGCTTACATTTTCGTTATTCATTTGCAGTAAAAAGGATTGAAGTCCTATTTATTATTTAAACATTTCAATATGCCATAGCTATTTGACGAACACAAAAAAGATATTTCTGAGGATAGAAATACATCATATGAAAAAAAACTGCTATTCTGCTAGAATTACAACATGTGATTGAAACAGTAAAATAGATGAAGATGTCAAACCTCAGATACACGCAAATATTCAAAGATTTCCCGGACAATGGATGCACAGAATTGTGGGTCCTTGATGTTGTAGTCAATATCCACAACTTCATTTGCTTCTTCTATCTTCTCAGTGGGATCACACCCGCAAATTCTCCCTAAAATCAGGGGGAGGATGCATGTGAAGGGCAGTAAAACAAGTATTCCAGATTAGAACTTGTACTTATTGAAAAAAATTGAATCCATAATATTTAGCCAAAGCATAGAAAGGGGCCTAGTAAAATTCAGCCTTTAATAAATGAACCTGCTATTTTTGAAGAGTCTGAAATATTGAGAATGTCAATTGTCCTATTCTCAATTGATTTGGTGGATACGACGTTATCGCTGTTAATATATTCAAATTCCGGACTCTTCATAGAATCACTGGTTGACATGCTCTCACTTAGTGAAACTGAACCACTAAAGGATTTACTTGGAGAAATGTCCATCAATTTCGGAGGACGGATCACGCCATTAAAATCAGGACAAACAGCACCATCAGTGCTTGGAGCAAGGAAGATTTCAACCCCATCCTTGGGTCGACTACTGCTGTTCGAACGTCCTTCTTTAGAAAGTACCAACCCACTTGATTTTTCACTCAATGACGGTTGCAAAGTGTCCCCGGATATAACCATTTTCTGCGAACCGGCAATAAAATCCTTCTTCGTCTTGGCAGCTCTGGACACGCATGGAACCTTCAAAAAATAATAATAGTACAGAAATCAACGCAAGTTCTATACATGCACGAATGCAACTTACCCAGGACCCAATAAATCAAAATTCTAAGAAAATAAAATTTGAGTATATTGTATATAATTCACGGACAAGTGTTCGACATTCAAGGCATACACGATGATAGTCCAAAGTGAATGACAATGCTAATTGCCAAGTCTTTTGATAAACAAAGACATGATTCATGCTTCTTATTACATCATTCTCATAAGATGCACGTATATGCAACGCTCTAATTCACATGCAATTTCGCTAGATGAGTACCAATAAACAGAACAAACGTAATCACGAATGTTTCAACATCAATCACAACATAACAATTTATCGATAAACATAAACGAATAAAAAAAGACAGAACAAGTACCATAGGTTTGGAGAGAGAGACATTTCGGTTATTAGTTACGTCGGTGAGAGCGGAACGCTTCTTCGTCGAGGGGTTCTTCACGGCAGTGACCTTGCCTGAAGTTTCTGAAACGGAGGACTTATTCTCAGAAGACGACGGCAAACGCCGGTTTCGGGTAAACATTTCGCGCTTAAACAAAATAGAACCCTAATCGCGGCAATAAACGCCAAATAGGGTCAGTTTCGTTCGCAAAAAAAAGTAAGGAACCGCATAAACAGAGAAGTGAGGTATTTGGATTTGGTGGGATAAGAATGAAGAATGGAGAGGAAGAAAACTCAAAGCTAGAGCTTGATGGATGATTGAGAAAGACGAACCTAGGTTTTCAGATTGTAGGAAAAGCCCTTTTTCAGAGGATCCTTGCTTCTGTAACAGAACGCGCATGGAAGGAAGTTTGAGTTCGAATATTTGTTTGCGAAAGCGCGAAATGTGCCGAGTTTAGCCGAACAATTCTCACCGTCGATTGGATTCGAAGGGAGATCTAACCGTCCACAGTCCCCATGGGTTGTTAACGTACGGTCGTGTGTCGGGCAAAGCAAACTCTATCCCTTCGTCAAACTGAAAAATAAAAATCCCTCAGCAAACTTCTATAATATTTGTTTCTTCGCAGCCACGACAATATTTGGTGGATTTGAAGAAAAATAGTATATTTCATTTATTGTTTTTCTCTTGTTTTTTATAATTATATTGATTTAATCGTTTTTTTGGTGGATAAATGTTGGTCGTTGCTAAAATAACTAGCTACTCCAAATAACAACTAAGATGGTAGATGGATCCATTTCGTTTAAATGATAAATAAATTTAAATCATATATTTTTATATTAAAAAACTGTAAAAATTAACTCTTTAACTGTAAAGTAAAAGTATTTGCTTCTGTACTCGAAATCTTAAATAACATCTTATTGTTGTGCTCATATTCTCTAAAGTTCCACATCTGTCAATTTGGAGAAGGGAGAGGGAGAAAACCATTACAAATATGAGGTTTGATGTGAGTATTAAAAAACTATAACAACAAGATTCTCTTCATTGTATAAGGGGCTCGAGTAAGTAGTGAGTTAGAGAGGATTTGCAATTTTTTTGTCTTAAAAATTACAAGTTGAGTAATAAAATATTTGTTGAGTATTTGTGGATGTAGGCCTTGAGGTGGTTCAACCATGTTAAATATTTTGTGCGCTTTTATTTCTTTTACTGTGGATGTGTGTTTTCTTTTACTGTGGATGTGTGCTTTCACTATTGAAGTTTTTGTGCAGAATTTCTTTTACCCATCACTTATGTCATATTTGTATAGTTGATTATTTACGAGAATTATAAATTAAAAAAAATATTTGTCTTTTGAAATAGACCAGTAAATATTACCATCTTTTATATTTTTTTGACATTTAACGCCTAATGTAAATCCATTGCTATTAACCTAACTGTGGTTACAAAGCAAGCATTAACCTAGCTAAAAACAATGTAATGAAAGGGTGTTATGATTTCGATCACAGTAGTGATTAACAACGGCTTTATCGTGCCAGCATCTTATGTGATTCTCACGATATTTGTTCAATGCAAATAGAGTTGACTGCATGAACCCTTGTGTAGCTGTTATGTGGAACATATAAATTGCTGCAATTGAACCTGTAACACATAACTACAAGCTATTCGTATAGCCCACGATATTAAACATAAAGTGATGCTATCTTTCCACAAAAGCTATCGTGCAATTGTAAAAAGTTTGTTTAGTGTATGAATATATGTTTCTATTCTCTATCGGTGATCTTTTTAAATTGATGTTATGTTTTGTAATATTTTTTAAAAGGTTAGTTATTTTATTTTATTAACACAGTAGACCACGTTTTAATTTAAGTTTTATTTACAGTGCACTATTAATATAAAAAATAAAATAAAATTATAAATACACCATTTATTAATTTTTTAAAACTATGATTGAGATTGCAATACCTCGTTTAAGTCCGTGATTAAATGGGTCAAGTCACATAAGCTCATTGTTTATGTTTAGAAATCCACATAAACATGCAGTTAAACAGGTCAACTTGTGGGACACCCAACATTCATTTATTTATTTTATATCATTTCATCATTCTTACTTTAAAATAATTAAAAATGTATTTTTTATTTTAACGTGCTAATATTTTTCTTCTTTTAGGTTAAATGGGCTGACCTGCTAAGCTCACGTATATTTGAATAGTTTTACTAGCAGGCATGCAAGCCAATTCACACAGACTTGCATCACAAGTACTCATTTTAAATGTATGGTACCTTGCTTTCTTTTTTTAGATTTCTTATTTCTTTCAATTTATATAAATTTATTTTTCCTTTAGTAAATTAATATTTCATACATAGTTTTCTCGTTTTAATCAATATTTATTTTATCTATTTTTAAATTTTTAATAAATTTACTTGTTTTTTAGTTTCTTAAATAAAATTTCTAATAGAAAGTCTTATAAAAAAAATAAAAAACGGAAGGCCTTTTGAAATATATAAGAAACATATCCAAATTAAATTACAAAATATTAAGCTAATTTGGTTTGATTTTGACATTATGTTTAAAATGAATTGAATCAAATATCTTTATCTATATTTCATATGCAAAATTAATTGTACTAACTATTTTTTTATATATTTATAAAAAAATTTATGATCACTAAGATTTAAAATACTTAAAGTCACTTATATTGTTGATAATTATGAATTATATTTAATAAAAAATTATTAAAATTACTTATAATATTTAATATAATTTAATAATTATAATTATAATTATTTCACAGTTATTACTTTTAAAAATTTTAAATAAAATTTATTAAATGTATCTATTTATTACTCTATATACTTGTAACAAAAAATATTATTTTTAAAATTTAAAATGTTTAAAGTCCCATATATTATTGATGACTTTGAATTGCATTTAATAAAAAATTATTAAAATTAATTATAATATTTTACATAACTTAAAAATTAAAATAATAATTTATTCATAATTATTATATCTAAATTGTGTTTAAATAGAATTAATTACATTTATTAAAATAGTACTAACAAATTTACTATAAATTATATTTACTAAAAATTTTAAAATTTATTATATATAAAAAGTGATAAATTTTACCGTAAATTGTTGAAATTATAAAATAATATTAATTAAATTGTATGAAAAATAAGTTCACAACAATTGAATAAAAATTCCAAGTTAATTGAAAATAAAATTAAATCATTATTTTAATATTATTCAAATTTAAATTGTATTAATTTAAATTATTTTATTAATTAGTTTAATATATTGAATATTTAAAATGTATATTAAAAAAACTACACATATTTATAGACCTATTGTTTTATATTGTATGTTATTAAATTATATTTCTCATGAAAAGACAAATAAATTATAATAAAGATAAAAATATAACTTTTATTACATTAATTTTTTATCTTTTTATTCTTCATATTTCACTAAATAAATATTCATCTTTACCTATACAAATAGTATTTACACATCTTTTAAAAATTTGTAAGTAATTCTTACTACCATCTTACTTAATTTGTTTATAATTTTGCAACCATGTCATCATACTCAAAAATTAACTATCAAACTAAGTATATATGTTTTGTAAGTTGATATTTTTATTTTGTTTAACTAAATTATATTCATATATTTTATTTAAAATTATTGAATAAGCATAAAATTACATTATTTTTAAGTAATATTATATATTATATTTTATCTTTAACTAGTTATTATGTATTAAAATCTATCAATATTTTATTAACTAATCTAACTTACAATATTATTGATTTAAATTATCTAAAATTATGTCATGAAGTTGATATATTGTTGTTTTATTATTTATAATAATTTGTATTTAATTAGAATACAACTTTAAAAAGACAAAACAAATAATGCAAGAGACATTACTTGAAGATTTAAAAGATTAAGTATTAGCATATAAATAATGTTAAGATTTTGTATTATTTAAAAGGTGAGATATATTTATTAAGACATGTAAAATTGATCACATTTACTCATGCTACATGTATTTATGACTAAACTTGTAATTATTAAGATTTGAAATGCTAAAAGTCATATATAATATTAATAGTATGAATGTTACAATATTAAAAAAAAAATATCACATAAAGTTTCAGTGACGTTGATAGTTAAAATGTGTTATGGTGCATGTTAAAAATTAAAATACAAATTGATTATGAACTGCATATAATGGAAGTTTATTAAAATCAATTATAATATTTTACACTACTTAAAAATTTAAATTATAATTAATTTATAATTATTACTTTTGAATTATATTTAACAAAAATTTATTAGAATTGATTATATATAAAAATTTCACAACAGAAGTGAGTTATACAATGTTAAAAATAGAAACTTAAAAAGATTTTATTGAAATTAATTAGATGTGAAAAATAAAAAAAAATTAGCACAAAATGTTAAAAAATAATAATAATAATTAAAATTGTAAAAAATAACTTTATGAAAATTGAACAAAACTCTCTAATTATCATTTTATTAAAAATAAAATTATACCGTATTTTAATATCTTATTCAAATGTAAACGATAATGATTTAAATAATTTTATTAATTAGTTGAATATATTATATATTTTTAAACATACATTACAAATTAAAAAATGACACACACTTACAAAATTATTATTATTTATTATATATTATTAAATTATTTTTATGATAAAAAATACCAATTAAAAGACAATTGTTATTACATTATTTTATCTTCTTTTGATATAAACTAAAATTAAATTTTAACTACAAAAATTTGAAATTTACCTACAAAAATTGATAACATGTTAGTAAAATTGCTGGGAAACTTGGGCGGGAAAAATGCCCTGGGAAATGGCACTGGTGAGTGATGACATGTATTGGGGGTTGGGGACCCTAATCTCAAATTAAAAGCAGAGAACCCTGAAACTCCTCCATCTTCCATTTACGATATTCCACCGTTCCATTTCGGACTCTTCATTCGTGAATCGCGATTTTGATTCCTTCTTCCTTCCTCTTCATTATTGGCCTTCTTGTTTCGCATGTTCTCGTCGTTCCACTGAAGCTTCCTACCGTTGAAGAGTTTCGTTTCAGTCCTACAACATGTATTTGCTTTCTTCTTTCATTCTCTTGATCAATCCATTCAGAATTTCATTACCAGTATTTATTCTTACCTTTCATTCATTTTTGAAGCCTAGTTCTACTCATAGATAACGTACAGCTAGTATGAAGGCTCTAAGGAACTAAAATGCAATGTTTAAGGTTATAGCTGTTTAGGTATATTGTTTATTTACACTAATCACACTGACTAGTAAGTTTGCTTTCACTGCTGTGGAATTCAGGTTGAAGTTAGGAAACTACAAACATAACTTGTCTTGATATATTATGATATGCAATCTCCTAGTAGCTACTACTTATATTGGTGTTTTTGTGCATCAGTGCCTGGTTGGTTACTGTCTTAACATGTTTTAAACTTTTTATTACCTTTTTTAATAGTGCTTGAGAATAGATGGCGCCACTCTTCCAGAGCTCACAGCCATGGGTCGAGAAATAGTAATGTGTTTTTGTTTTTAATTTCATTTTTTTAATCTATTTCTTAGTTTAGCAAATCTAATTTTTTTCCTCTTAACCCAGCCGTCCAAAGCAAGTGAAAGATGTTGCCCACCAAGATGAAGTGGTTCGAGTGCTAATGAACACCCTTGAAACTGGAAGTGTAATCACCCTTTCTAAATCCATTTTTTTATTCCACTACTAGTCTATTACTACTCATTTTATCCCATTGACTTGTGTTGGCCTCATATTACAGTGCCCTCACATGCTCTTCTATGGTCCTCCTGGCACTGGAAAAACAACTACTGCCCTTGCAATTTCCCATCAACTTTTTGGGTATGCCTCTTTTGTTTATTTTCACAATTAGCAGATATCTTGTCTTTCTCTGACCGTAAGTGAATTTCTTTAGCCCGTGTGTGGAGGCAACTCTAGCAGCTGCCAACTTTGGCTGCTGATAGAAACGAGATCAGAGACTTGAAAGATTTTTTTTTTTGTTGATCAAATTCCTCATTCCCAATATCATGCTAGTGTAATAGCAGAATTGAAAATTTCACTTTAATATATGGTTTGTTTCACTCTTCAAAAATTTTCTGTTTAGCTTTTATTAGTACAATCAGTTAATGAAACTGTTTAAATAAAAAAGGAAAAGCAAAGATTATCTTGGGAATATTTTCAGGTTAAGCAAAAATGTAGTCAATAAAGTTATATGACCAAATTTTTGGATGTTACATACTTTACTTTTGAACTCATGACATGTTGAGTCATTGAGAACCATGGACTATGGAAGTTCATGCACCACTTGCATAACAATCTGTTGTAATAGATTTACCAGAAAAAAGCTATTTATGAAATGGTTGGAACAAATGACGCAAAATTGTGCATTAGAGGATCAATTTGAAAACTTTAGTTATCAAAATGTCAATTTTTTTTTTGTTCTATGACCTGAAATTCGTAGGTAGTAAATAAATGCATCTGTTCTCTCCCTTTACCTAAACTTATGTGATAATAGGTACATGGACTTTTAAGATTTATCTCCTTCCTGGACTATTATGTTATGCTGATAATTTTGACAACCATGCATTACAGGCCTGAGCTCTATAAGTCTAGGGTGCTGGAGCTTAATGCAAGTGATGACAGAGGGATTAATGTTGTTCGAACAAAGATAAAAGATTTTGCTGCTGTGGCTGTTGGTAGAAATCAGCACAAGAAGTATGTAAAACTGAATTCCCTTTCAAGACATTTTTTCTTCTTTTACAATTTGTATAACTTCCTCTACATTTAATGTTTGAATATTTCAGTGGTTATCCTTGTCCTCCATTTAAGATTATTGTTCTAGATGAGGCAGATTCAATGACTGAAGATGCTCAGGCATGTTTGCTATGTTTTTCATTTCTAACTTTACATGTCTCTTAAAGTGCTATTGTTTCACACCATCTGCAATTTCTGTACAGAATGCCCTGAGGCGTACAATGGAAACCTACTCTAAAGTTACAAGGTTCTTTTTTATATGCAACTACATTAGCAGGTACCTTGTCTTCCACACTAACATTTACTGGTTACTTTGTTTAGTTTTTTAATCTTGCATCTTTAAGGAGGTGATGAGAAATGTAGGCACAGCACCATTATAAACACGATTTTCATCAATTTTTTTCTATGTTCAGTGGTTTGCAAGTATAAGGTCTGGTTCTATTATATATCTCTCATTTACTATTTTAAACCAATTGTTTTGTTTGATTAAACAAACATTTTTACTATTCTGATTATGGCATACTCCAGTTTTCTCACATCATCAGCTAGAAAATTACAAGGATTGTTTTATTGGTTTGTTAAGCACCACACAACTGTTGAGGATTTTCCCCTTTGTAAGCTTCATTTAAAGTCGGCAGAAAAATCATAAAGTTAAAATAATATATTGATATAGTCTTTTTGCCCATCGTTTCTCTCAATACTTCATCGAGGATAGGATAGGTGACACATGAATTTCACATGTTATAATTATAAGAAATCAGGGTTTAACTTACTCCCCAAAGTTTACTCAAGAGAGAAGGATTGCCTAGCTTTATAACAAGTATCTTGGCCATATTCTTACCAGTGTAGAACATCTTAACACATTGCTTTAAGCCTAGGACTCGATATCTTGCGCATAAAGTTTACAAGATTAAACATTTGTGGGTGGTCCAACGTCAACTAGATAGGTTTTCATAATACCATATTAGGAAATAGAGCTTAACTCACTTTCAAAAGCTAGCTTAAGAGAGGAGACTTTCCTAAGCCTTATAAGGAGTATCTTGACCATATTCTTTGTCAATTTGAAATATCTTAACAAGAATGTTGTCATTTTTTTTGTAGGATTATAGAACCACTCGCTTCAAGGTGTGCAAAATTCAGGTTCAAGCCATTATCGGAAGAAATCATGAGCAACAGGATATCTTACATTTGTAAAGAAGAAGGAATCTGTCTTGATCCTGAGGTGGGAATCGTAGTACTTGTACAATGTAGTTTATTCTTAATGGTTTCAATTTTTGTTGACATAATAATGGATTATTTTAAGTATCTTTGCTTCTATAGGCTCTTTCAACCCTTAGTTCTATTTCTCAAGGAGATCTTCGTCGGGCAATCACATACTTGCAGGTGAGAAACATGACCTGATTAGCATAGTATATTTTCAAACATGCAAGTCATACTACTTCTATTTTAACAATTTTACATGATGTTTATTTTTCTTGTATTTTTCATTGGCAATTTAACTGAACCTGTTTACTTTGAGTGAATTGTGGGTGTATAATGTGTGTTAACAGTGCTGCTATTTAGGGAACAAGTGGTATAAACAAAACTGTTAATTTCATTAATTTTCCTTAGAAAGGTCATTTTGTTGTTGCCTGTTGTTTAATTTGTAGGAATTCACACCTTCATCTTTTTGTTCTTATCTAGTCTAGCTCAATAATTAAAGTCAATGGATAGATGATGCAGTGGTGAGGCTACAAGCTCCTGGTTGAAGGGGAGAACCTCTACTGTAAATGGGAGTTGTTTGATTGGTCAAATGCATGCTTTCATCTTTTAATGCTGGCTTGATATTAAAATGAACAGAAAATTGATGCAGTAGAGAGTCCACAAACACGAGGCTGATAGGGGAGCCTCTACTTTAAATGGGAGATGTATTACACATAGGATTTTGTTGCCTTAAGAATTATGCTTCTGTTAAAACTTAGTAGAATATAGATTTGATATGGGTACTTATTTGCCACTTGTTCTATCCTTTAGAAAATACTTCTATACTTTGTTCCATGTAGATTTTGCTTTAATCTTTAATGCAAAATTAATTTATTAGCATAAAATGGGATTATCTTATGCACTATAGTTGGATACAAATATGCTATTACCAAGAGTTGTGAATTTATTTCTTAAATTAAGGCAATCTTTACTGAAAATAAAGAATTGTTTAGTATATCACATCTATGTATATAGTATTGATTATTTGAACTAACATAGTATTAACATTGCAGTCTGCTGCTCGCTTATTTGGATCTTCCATTTCTTCAGAGGATCTGATTTCTGTGTCAGGGGTAGGTTGTCGCTCTAATTTCTCGTGGCTAGTTCTGTTTTCTATTTTTTAAAAGAAAACAATATACATTTAAAATATTAAAGTTGTTTGTGAGCATTATTTTATGTGGTGTTTGCGTGTCTGATGATGTACATTGTTTTAAGGATTGACATAATTCTTGTCCCAAGTGTTTTTTCCTCTTGCTTTTTTAATCGTATGGATAAAAAGGTTTTTCCCTAATCAATAATGTTGTGCCTTGATATCTAAGTTCACAAATTTCCAGTCTATATGCCATTTTGTGAAACATAGGATGTCAACATTGCATATATTCCTTTAAGTGTCTTATTGAGGTCTTTTATTCATGCTGTGTGCCACTTTTTTGCAAGATTAACTAGGTTTCAATTTAATTGGTTGTGTTCAACATTTCTGGTAATTTTTGTGATAGAGGAATATTTCTTTTTCTCCCTTGCTGTTGTCCTGACTTCTAAAACCTCAATCTATCAGGTTGTTCCAGCAAAGGTTGTAGAGGCACTTCTTAAAGCTTGCAAAAGTGGTAATTTTGATTTAGCAAACAAGGAAGTTAACAATTTTATTGCGGAGGGATATCCAGCTTCTCAGATGCTTACACAGGTATTGGTTTTGCCAGTTTCATTGGGGATTTCTTGTCAATAACTGTGCTTACTCAGTCTTTTACTATGTAGCTGATTTGGGTTTTTCTTTTTTTCTCCTTTTCCAGTTATTTGAGGCCATTGTTGAAGAAAATGACATATCAGATGAACAGAAAGCAAGAATATCCAAGAAGCTTGGTGAAGCAGATAAGGTTACTATGATTCCTTAGGAATTAATATACACACTAACCCCCATCTCTTTTTCCTTTTGCCGTTCCTGGACATGATGTTATCACATTATTCTTTTTTTTAGTTGGTATTTCAAGAGCTTGATAAGTCTGCTTAAATGCATATTTTGGGTACAACTCTTACTTATTGCTGGTGGATTGCAGTGCCTAGTTGATGGTGCCGATGAATACTTGCAACTTCTTGATGTGGTCAGCAACACAATGCAAGCTTTTTGTAACATGCCGGAAGGATTTGCTTGCGATGGTTAAACGTTAGATAGTCAGCTTGTCAAATGGGGCAATTATTCTGCTGTAAAGAAAAGGGAACTGATATAATTTTGTATCACGAGATAAGATTTGGTACCCGTTGCTAACTTGCTTTATGTAAAATTGGATTTTGAAGAATTCATCCTTCATATTTGCACTCAAGTAAATGGTCTCGTAACGGCAAATATTAGACAGCAGCATAGGACATTTCTGAGTGCAAAATTAGCGCCGCTGCTGATAACGTGAATATGTAACGGAACAATTGTGCTGTTTTTGCAGTCATTTAAAGAAAGGACTTTTCTTTCAAGTCCTTTTTTTTTCAGTGTCGTTCCAGAACGAATTCATTGTAAATTACGAATTGAAGTTCAGCTTCAATTCATTTCGTTGGCGCCTTTTTTATTCAATGATTTTATCAGTATGGAACTTAGTATAAATAAAAAGAATATATATTTTCATCCTAATTCGTTAGATAATATTCAGATAATCGTTGGACTAGGGTTTGTGCAGAATTTTGTATTTCTACTAGTAGGAATTTGTTCATGCATAAAGCTTTAGTATTTGTTTCATTAAAATATAAACGTCATTAAACGCGAAACAATTTAACACTATTGTACATGAGCCTCAGGAATCTAATAAAAATGAAAGTCCGAACCATTCTGAACAATATAACATCATAATATTGTACCCTTTCCACTTTAACATACAGCCCCTACGCTGAACCCATTGCAAAAAACAGTCAATAATGAGGAACTAAGTAAATTTAACATATTCCCCACTGGCCACTTCTTGACCACAACAACAGCAATAACAGCCATTTTTTCAACTAGGTTTCCACCCAACAAAAAAAGAAGGAAAGACAACGAGTAGCTGACGACAAGCTTACATTGGCAAAAACTATATGAACCCCTGCTAAAGCCATAGCTGGTAAATGAAAGACATGAGATATTCATTCAAATAGGGTATAGTTGAAATTTTCCACATGACAAAATAGTCACAAGTTATCCCTTAAAGAACGTATTACCTAGCTTGAAATATTAAGGAGACAAACCAGTATACCACAGTCCCAAAGAGCACCTTTCATATCTTAAATTCACTTTCAGGAGTAACCCAATACCAAAGAAATTTGAATTCTTGCCTCCCTATGACGAAGTCAAGAATACTAAAGAAAGAACCTTTTAAGTATTAAAAACAGTCCAACTGGTTCATAATATGTTATTTGAAATAAAAACATTTCCAACATATGACATTTTAAATTCAATCTGAGTAGTTTCTTCCCTGCCTCTGCACATATCACAAGTAATATATACCCCAAGTAATTCGTGTTATCCAAAGGGTGCGGTTATCACTTATTTCGCATGAAACACGAAGGTGTTCCTTCCTGCCTCTGCCCATAATGAAGGGAAATCATGCATAAATATACCGGAGTTTCAAATTTTTGCCTCATTCCACCTTCAGGAGTCAAAGATCAGAAGGTGCAGCCATGGCCAACAAATATCAAACGTCAGGTAACCTGAACAAAGATCAGCATTATATGAATGATGATAACACGGAAATGAGTGCATAAAGCACAGTACATGCATGCACAATTTATAGAGCACACAACTTGAAATTCGAACCCATTCAAATCACGAGGGAAAACCTAGGAACAATACATGGCAGCACAGGGCGTGCGTACAACACTAAAAGTCCTAACAGTTGCTTGTATCGTCCCGCCTGCACAATACACACAGAAAAACCAATCAGAAACGGCATAGAAAAAAACATTAGGACTGTGGTATTATGGTTTGGAAAAAACAGCATAGAAAAACAGCCAATGTGAAGTGATAGTAATAATGGAACTTAAAACTAAACCAGACCATATGGGGCACTATAAAATGTTGATAACAACATATGGGAGAAAATTCAGGGAGGAACAACAGTGCAGCTTAAATCAATGCGGTATAATTGGCGAACATAAAATAATGTTAGGCACATTGGGGACACGAACCAAAGTGGAAGAATAATAAATTAACTGAAAAACAAAACAAAGAAACTTATGAAGCTGGGAGAAAAACAAAATGATGTTACGAAGCTACTAATTAATCCAACTGAACGGTCATAAACGAGGACTAATAAGCACGCTGAATATTATTATTGAAGCGGTAATTGCTGAAAATGATATTCTTTTACCACATGAAGAAAATGATTTATTAACTTTGGTCTTGCACGGCAGTGTTATTACGAGCCACTAAGCATCTTCTAGTAGACTAGACTGGTAGTACTCATAACTGTAATTGAGGTCATTGTTGGGCCTACCTAACCTTGTCTTACTCAACTGGTCTTAGAACTCCCTTTTCCCTTTCAAATACACCCAAAAACCAAAATGATTACACGTGCTCCAACTCGTCCATTTTAATTCAAATCCTGAGGAGAAATGTACCAAATAATAGAATTCTCAAAAGACGTTTCAATTTTAAATTTTGACGCCAAAAAGTCTTAAACACAAAGCTTAGTCACATGGCATGTACTTACTTTTTCTAATAGAGCTGCTCAAAACTGCAACAAAGTCACAGAGAGTGTGGGTCAAGCCCGTAGTCCCCACTAATCCATGCCTTTGATTTCGCCGGCACAGCACCTAATCACCGCTCATCAAATCACAGTATAAATACACCATTAGTTTTTAAAAGAGATATAGAAATTAGAATAATAATAAGCTGAAAAGAATGGGTTTAAGTGTAGAGATTGATGAAGGTGATTGTTGTAACTTTAAGAAGGAAGGAGCAGTTCCTTTCAAATGGGAGATCAAACCGGGAACTCCCATAGTTCAACAAAAGCATCACCACCGCCAGCACCAGAAACCGGAATCGCAGTTACTGAAGCTCAGGCCACCGCCACCTGCCGGTTCCTACCTGTTATCTCCGATGGAGCCTCGGACTCCGTCATTCCGCTCCACTCCGAGGGCCCGGTCGGAGCGGTGGCGGTTCGAGCGCCCACTTCTTGCCCGGGCCGAGAGCGTGTCGTCGGGTTGTTTCTTCTCGCCATTTCTCAGGCGATTACGGAGTAGGAAGAGGGTTACGAAGCGAGTGGTTGAAGAGGATTATACGCCGGAGTTAGAGACGCTTGGTCGGTGGTCCCTGTCGTCGAGGAAGTCGCTCTCGCCGTTTCGGGCCTCAACGACGTCGTCTTCTGTGGCCTCGTCGCCCCGACCCGTCGGTGATGCTGAATGGGCCGGGTTTGGGCTTTTCTGAAAAAGTAGTGCTTTACTTACTGGATCATTTTAAACTTTTTCCTTTTTGGGTTTGGCGCGTGTGCGGAAAAAGGTTACGAGGAGTTCTGTAGATATTAAATTATAAATAAATATCCGAAAGATCAGTACCGTTTTAGAAAAGAAAAATAAAGGGTCTTTTACCTTTCTTAATTCTTCATGATTAGGCCTCTCTTTGGGTCATATCTGCTGCCAGTTTTCTATAAATTTAGTATTATAATTATATAACTTATTAATGTTAATAGCTTTTTTAGAGATTAAATTTTATTAATTTAAGTTTCTATTAAATAAATTTAATTTATAAAATTTTATAAGATTTAAAATAATTAATTCTTGAATTAATTTTATTTAATATATACTACAATATATTTTTAAAAATATATCATCTATAAGTTTTCGTATATATGAATGTTAAAATTTGATAACTATTAAGATGATATCACACACATGTAATAATTAGTTGTTAACTTCTTTACTAATGGTTAAAATACCTTATACAAATAAGGTTTAATTATGCTTATTTAAATATGTTTTTGTGCATTTAGTTTCGTCTAGGTGTGATTTTTCTAGCTGATTAAATAGTTCTATTTTTAAAATTATATAAATTTAGTTTCTCTGTTATTTTATCCTACTTAAAAATTTTAAATTGTTGTTTTTATTTAAATATTTAAAATTTTGAAAAAAAATTGAAGATTTTTTTTTAAATGTAAGCTTAAGATTTGAAGGAAACTTATTTTGAACTTTTTAATATTTTACTTAAAATTTGATATTCAGGTTGATATGTTTTGATGAAAAAAGTTTAAAATAATTTAATTGATTTAATTTATTAAGTTTTTAATAAAAATAAAAATAAAAATTAGTATTTTTAAATAGAAAAAATATAATTTTAAAAATATAGAAACTTAATAAGTCAAAAAAGTTAAAGAAACTAAACTTACACAGGGCAAACTAAAAAGAAGTTAATTAATTAGTGTTAAAAAGAAATTAATTAAAAGTACAATTAATTCCTTTTTTGTTTTTTTTTAACTTTCATACTTCAATATATTTACGGCAGTCCATCTTAATCCTTTGGGGGAATTTAGTTTGTAGATTTTGGTCTCTCTGAAGCTAAATATTTACACTGCATCTTGTCCACATTATATTTGAAAGAACGTATTTTGTGAATAAATAATTAAATTATGTGATTTATCACTGGATCATAATTAAGTAGTAAGTACCGTTAAGTTAAATCTAAAACTAATAAATGATCAAGATATTTAAACGCATAATAATATTAATTAGTTATATTAAGTTGGCTCATATATTTCTTTCTTTTTTGTAACATAGGCCTTTAATTTAAAAGTATAACTAGTTACAGGCCAGTAATAATTAAAGAATAAATTTACTACCAAATGATTAAATAATATAGATTTAATTACTTCCATACATACATACACACACATATATATATATTATTAATAGTTTAAAAAAGTTAAAATCTCTTATTAACATAATTTAAAATAAATATTACAAAAACATAATAAATAAGGAAATAATATAATAAAAACCTAAAATAATAGTAATGCTATTGTCACAGTCAAAGATAAGAACTATGATAACACTTTAATATCTTATATTTTACATTATTATTTTATAATTATTTTTTTATTTTTGTTTTCAACCAATATAATTTATTTACTATATTTTTAGCATGTAATTATTTTTATTATAATAATGATATAATGTTTGAAGCATTAAAATTTTTTAGACTTAATTTACTAAATAAAAAATATTATTTAATAACTAAATTAATAAAATTTAATATATGTAAAATTAATTAAAAATAAAGCTTATTAAACTTATTTCACTCAATAATTCTTTCTAAATAAAATATTTACACTGCAATCTTGTTCATATTTCCTTTGAAAGAACTTATTGTAAACAAACAAGAAATTGTGTGTGTGATAGTCACTTAATTCATTGCAGAAATTTCTAATGACCCCTTTGAAAATTAAGTTTTGATTTATTTATTTAGTGGGATTTCATTATTTGTTCATACACTAAAACACTTTAGACACAAGATAATTGAATATTAGACTTTATTTATTTAGGAGTTAGTTTTTGGAGAAAGAAAGGAGGAAAAAGAATTTTTTTTAATAATTATCTTTATTTAAAAAAGTTTAAATTAAAAAAATTAAACTTTCTAAAACACTCCTAACTACATTTTTATTTTTTATTTTTCAATTTAAATTTTTTTCATTAACCCTCTTTTCTCTCTTTTCTTTTCTCCTCTCCTCTCTTAGGCTTCAAAATATCTTCTTCTTTCTGACCGGAAACAACAAAATCTTAGAAAATAAATAAATTTAATGTTAATTAAAATAAGAAATAAAAGAAATATAAATTGGAAATATACAAATATAATTGTATTAAACATTTGAATAAATTTATAATCCCAAACCTAATTTGGCAACTAGAAAATCAAGTAAGGACTTGGATCAAATCCGTTCATGAAAGTTCAACTGTGGGAAAAACAGAGCAATTAACGGGAATTGATGATCACACAACAATTATTCATGATATATTCATCACTAAAAAGCGACACTGTTTTCATTGGTTTCTGATTTTCATGCATCATTATCAGTAATTTTACACCCAATTCAAGAAGATATGGTAACAAAATAAGTTGCACCATTACAGCAAATGACATGCAGAGAAGAATAAGTAATGGTTACTTATAGAAGCTACCACTATAACAAATGGTTGAGCTAGCGTCAGTTTATCGAACACTATCTTCTCGGTTGCTTAATATATATAGGGGTGTGATTTACCAAAAATTAAATATGGTGTCTGGATCACTAATTCTTATGATAACTGAATGAACAAAAATATGATTGCAAAAACTGTTTAAGATGACGACTATTAAATGAACATATTCTCACTTCGCTGGAAAATGTCAACTCGCAAGAAAAACTATAATATTCACCATAGCTCTCTAAGCTAGTTTTAAATTTGTAATAAATCATAGACACCATCATCAGTAGCTTCAGAGTTGGATTAGCACTAACTACTAAGAGAGCATACTTAAATAAGCTTGACCGTGCTGATAAGATCCTGCTACTTGGCGATCTAGTGACTCAAGAAAGACAAGTACTTCTCAAATAAGGGACATTTATATTTTCATACATATCGTGATGACTCAAGAAAGACAAGTACTTTTCATTCCAAGGACATTTTATTTTCATATATGATAGTTTGATGACAACAGACTAAAGGAATAGTAAATGTTTATTACCTACGTACCCATGTTTGACTACAATTGATATTAAAAAATAATAATACATCAGTACTAGTAGAATGATGGTACATTGAATGCTCTTCTGTTTTTAACAACCAAGAAGATTATTACATACACAAGGGTAGGCCTTTGATTGCTACAAATTCAAGAAAAACTTGATTATTTCCGGTGAATTTAAATTTATAGAAAAATTTGTAAAACAATGGTAAAAATGATTTTAAAAAGTTATGTTGAAGATTTTTTTAATGATAATTTGTATATAATTTTGCAGAAAATTAATAAATTTTTAGTAGTTTGTGTTTTCTATAATGGATAACATTTTTAATGAATGGGTAAGCGGTAGGACAATGACTGTTTCCTTATCCAATGATCTGTTTAGTAACAAGTCAACCTTGCAGGATCAATATTCTAAATCATTACCAGAGTTGACAGTAGCTGAAGTACAATCCAACACACTTCAAAAGCTAGAACGTTTCTATTTTCTATGTACGCTGGCTACAAAGCAAAACATTAGCCACTGTTTATGACTCCAGCAGAAGATAGAAGAAGTCCATCTCTCATTGCTTTGAGGAAGAGCCACGTCATAACTTAATTTTCGGATTATTTTCCCAGATATTCAAAATGAAAATTGTAATGAAGCATGGTTTTTATTATTATCTTTTAAATCTGAATGAATCATGCTGTCTTGCATGTAACATGTTATCGTTGCACACTAGAGAACTAGAAAATATCAAACATATGACCCTAATATTTCAAACCGTGTCCCTGAAAAATGCTTAAAGGCAGCATTTGGTTACTGTCACTAAACACTAAAAATAGAAATACTAGTGTTTCTTTTTTTAAGAAATACATTGGTGTCTTTTAAATTTGTATCTCCTGTCTCCTGAGTCCTTTGTATTTTTGTTTTTTTAACAAGACACTAGCTAAACATGATACGCACCTCCATATCTCTATCTAAGTGTCTCTATCTCGCAACCAAACACTACCCAAAAGTATGCCACGTCTTGCAAGTTGCACCTTATGAACAAGCTAATAAACATGCATTTGTGCAGGCCACTTTATTATAAATTTATTATATTTAAAATCAGCAATAAATTTAATGCCAAAGCCTTAGTCTTATTCAACGTAGCTAATTGCTTTTATTCAATTTATGTTGTCATTGATTGCTTTCATACTTATATATGCTAATCAATTTATCGTTTCCGTACAAATGGGTAAATTTTGATAAACAAACTGATGGAACTCCAACGTCACGTTAATGAATCGAATAATAAATTTTATAAAATCGACAATATAATGGGGTATGGTATCTCTCAGAATCTACTCATGATTTAATTTGTTTCGTTGATAAAAATAACTTTTAAACAAACTTATGATAGATAGCTTCCAAAATATAGAATTATTGTTCCATGTAACGTGTTGAGATTGTATATAACTCTGCTATTAACAATTTGATATACAAATCATGAATCGTACATTGGAGTTCATTAATTACTAATTAAAAAGAGATAATTTTTTTCATAAATTAATAAACAAAATTTCCAAATTCTGTGGAACTAAATGACTTGCTTATTTCTATTTCATACATTGACCAGATGAACTATCTATACTCATGACCACTAATTTGTCTTGCTGTCCAATTTTCATTTTCTATTTATCTTTCGTAAGCAAAAACTTTCGTCGGAGTATAAATATTATATATGGGAAGTACTAGCTGTTTAAATTATGTGTCAATACATTATTGAATAATAGTACGTATAATTTTTTTAATAATTATATTGCTTCATATTTAAATTCTTTTATGCGTTGAAAACATCTACATATTATTGTAACTTAGAACCTACTTTCTCTTAAGTGAAATTATAAAATTAAGAGTTTTCATTTTGACATATTGTACGTATAAATTATTTTACATTATCATTTAAACTTATATTGGCTATCTTATTCAATAAATGTTTACTATGATTAACAACTCTGAGATATTAAATTCATTTAATAATACAACAGTACACTATTTAAGGCGTAAAATTGTTTTATAAACACTAAGATTTATCAAATATTAAATTCCAAATTAATTACATGAAAAACCTAATGCTCGAATAACTACAAAACCATATAGACAAGTTTGCGATGGCTTTCGTAAGGCTCTTCCCCACAAAATAAAGTATGATGCAAGAGAGAAAAGTGGCATGCAACACGACTGCAAATATTCATATACAGTGTATATTACCTAGTCAAAGAAAAATGATCGTTTTAGTTAATACACGGTGTTATTTATTCCATTAATCAATCTTTTGGAAGTGTGTGTTCTTTCAAATTTTGGTATTTGTTTTGGAGGAGTGCTTAACAACATGTTATTTGATAAATATTTTTAATTATTAATTAAAGTTTATTAAATATGAATGTAAATTATTAATTAAAAGTAATAAAGTATGTTATCAACATTTTTCTTTGTTTTAATAAAAAATATTGTATTTATTAAATTTTGAACTTTGCATTAGGAAAATTGGCTCATATAAAGATTAATTTGTGATAACACAATCTGGGTAGATATGTAAATGTACGGTTAGAGTAAATAAATATAGAATTAATTCACAATACGGTTCTCAACTTCATCGATAGTATATGATTCTGAAAATTTTACTTTAGACAAAAGTGTCACGAATTAGAGTCATTCGCAGTTAAAAATATAATAGTAAATGATCCTACCCTCAAATAATTTTTATGTAGTGATTTAAAGTACATATATATAATTATTTGAATGATTAAAGGAAGAACCGTACGGCTTGCGGTTTTGTTTAAAATGGATATATTTATACATTTTTTCTTATTATATCTAATAGATATATAAATTAGTTCTCTTATCAATTTTACATTTTGGAGGAATGCTTTTAGGATATATCTATTACCATATTTATATGTATATTATCATTCATTTTTAAAAGTTATTTTTGTATGAAAATATTCTTTTTCTTATAACTTATTAATAATAAAAATATTTTACATATTTTTTAAAATTAAAGTAACAATAGACATATGCATATGACAATAAATACTCTCATAATTTTTAATATAATATTGATGCTTTTTTCGTATGTTATAAGTGCCAAGGAATATGAAATGTAACATAAGAGACCTTTATTATAATGTTATAGGAAATTGAATTATAGAGTACTTTTTTTTTAAAGAGAATTTTACTTACTGATGATCACATTTGATTTGAGGATTAGTCTCAATTATGTATAAGCAGCCATTTATTTATTTAAAGAAAAAATTTGGGACTTCGTTGACAAGCAGCCATATATATATATATATATATATATATATATATATATATATATATATATATGTTAAATCTTCACCTAACATCAAATAATTAAGAAAATTAGTTTTTGATAACATGATTTAACACAATTCCTTAGAAATTATACTTTTTTCACTTCCAATGAATGCCTGTAGGAGTGATGGTAAAAGGTAAAGAGAGATTAAAAAGTTTTAAATAATTAATAAATGAGGTGAAAAAAATATAAAAAGTTTTTTTTTTGCAGGCCTAATTAAATTAAACTACAAAATTTACGTTGCCTATTTCATGCAAATGGAGAGTAATAATAATTTGATATAGATATATTAGTCAGATATTACATTCATAATATTTTTATATATGTTTCTTTTAAATAAGGGAGAAATTAAAAACATGAGAAAGAAATATATAATAAAATAAGTGAGATACTCTAGAAGTTTTGATATAATTTTATTAAATAAATATAATAACTCAATCCTATAATAGAACATTCACACACTGACACACAGATCTATATAAACATTCTTAACTGACATGATTCATGCTAAATTTGTTTGGACAGCGACTGATTTGATTAAATTATCATCAATTAAGTTATATCTGTGTTCTATACTTGGAATTTTCCATTGTTCCAATGTTGATGCAACTCGTTGTGATTGGATGAGGATAAAAATGAGGGAGCAAGTACTACCTAATCCATTGATAAGCTACATAGCATTGGAATAAAAATATTATAGGAACATAACTGAGAAATGAAGAAAAAATAAAAATATTATTATTATTATTATTATTATTACTACTACTACTATTATTATTATCATTATGAGATTCTTATAGTATTGTAGTAATATTTTTAAATAAAAATATATAAATAACTCAGATTTAGTAAAGAAAAAAGATTCAAAATATAAGTAGTTAAAATTTAAAATGAAAATCATGTAAAAAATATTTAATGAAAAATATTATAATAAACAGAACGTTTTAAAAATAATTGAAGTTGAGAAACATTAACCTATTATATTTATTAGTGAATATATTTATTATATGTATAATTTAATATTATGATAAATTAATTTTTTTATTTTTATATAAAAATAGATATAATAATTCATCATGGAGTGATAATGTAAAAAAGTTATAATGTTAATGCATTATAGTAAAATTTATATAAGAAAAGGTAGTATTAAATAATTGTGAACTCACATGTGAATAAAAGGAAAAGATTATTATATAAATATCACATTAACGTAAGCATAAAATATTTAAAATGACAAAGTATTTGATATTTTTAGATTGAAGAAAAAACTATTGACGATATGTTTTGTCGAATTATAAGTTAAGTAGACATAAAAAAAAAATCAGTAGAATAATTACAACTATTAACGATTTTGTAAACATGGCAGAATGAGCCGTACATCTTCCAAACAATTTTCAGCATTTCCTTCCTTAAACAATATAAAGGAATATATATATAATTGTTAGAGTAAACAAAGAACTAAGGTAAAGATTAAATTCATGGCAAGTGTTAACACCAACATGTGGTGTGGTTACGGTGAAGAAAGCGACATGCAGCTGAGGAAAAGGCATGAAAATGGAACTCTAAGATGTCTGAACGCCAAACAAGGGATAGTCATTTGGTCATCACTCTTTCGCTATAAATAAATACTCTGATATGCATACTTTTTATTCAATCATTCTTTCGTAGCATTTCATTGACACAGACAACAGTGATTGATGGCAAACTTAATGCAACAGCAACATCCAACAAGGCTTGGAGGGAGCAATCGCATAGTTGCTGTTGAAGTCACTTCTGGCAACCTTCCAAATCCTACACCAGAGGCCTCCACAGATCATGAGGTCCCTCTCTTTCTTTCTTGCTTCCTGTGTCTGTTTTTTATAAGCTATTTTTTGAACACTCTTAAATAGCTTCATCTTTAATTTAACATTGATGCATCAATGAGACAGAAACCTGGGTGGAGAAAGTTCCTGTCCTATGTTGGTCCAGGATTCCTTGTTTCCTTGGCTTACCTTGATCCTGGGAACAGTAAGTCTCTTGCTGTGTATATGCATATACAGCTATGTGTGTGATTTTGTGTGTGCTTATTGGCCTTTTGTCACTGTGCAGTGGAAACTGATCTGCAAGCAGGAGCTAACCACAGATATGAGGTATAACATTTAAGTTTTTGTTATTTTGTAAGAAACAGATACTTATTGGATTTTCTGTAAGCTAAGATATAATATCTAAAATTGAAATGAATGATGGTATTCAGCTGCTGTGGGTAATTCTCATTGGATTGGTGTTTGCGCTTATAATTCAGTCGTTGGCTGCAAATCTCGGCGTAACCACGGGTTAGATCCAATGCTTATTTCCTTCTTCTGTGAACTTAAATTTAATTATCTTCTTATTTTACTTGATTAAGATTTATGTCTTTCACCTCTTATATTAAATAACTTCTTTCACCACATATGCCTCACTCACTCACATATTCATATATGTATACACACCAACCCTTCTTCCTGTCTAATGAAGTTGGAAAAATAAAGTTTCACAGAAGAAAACGCGATTCACTACCCTTTGAAATAAAAAATATTTTTTTTTATAATGTTATTTAATTTTTCCTTTTTCTTTCTATCTAATTAACATCTCAAAATTAGGTGTCAGCATATTTCTTATAAAAAAATGTGATCCACCGTAGACATAAGAAGAGAAGAGAGGGAATTAAAAGAATGAGATAAAATTATTAAATTTATCAAAATACTATCAAAATGATTATAATCAAAATTATTTTGATAAAATGCATTTTCTCTCTAATAAAATATTATTGTGATTTGAATTTTGCAGGGAAACACCTTTCAGAAATATGTAAAGTGGAGTACCCATTATTTGTGAAGTACTGCTTATGGTTATTAGCAGAGCTTGCTGTCATAGCTGCAGATATACCTGAAGGTTTTGATTTGTTTTTCTACTTTCTTTTCACCTTTTTTTTCCTCCTTTCAATTAAAATCATATAAATAAATATTAAGTCAAGAAGAAGTTTGTGTGAAGTTTTAATTTTGTTTTTAGAAAATATTTACTTTTTTAAAAAAGAAAAAAATTGTTATAAAGTTGACAATATATATAGACACAAATACAAGTTGAACTACTATACATTTTTATACTCATTAATTTTTATCTAAAATTTGATTGTTGTAGTGATTGGCACAGCATTTGCGTTGAACATACTCTTCCACATTCCAGTATGGGCAGGAGTTCTGGTGACTGGGTGCAGCACCCTCTTATTTTTGGGTCTGCAAAGATTTGGGGTAATTTAGCTTTTTGTAATAATTAAAAAATATGAACATATGATATATATCATTTAAGATATACAATTTCCTAATAATATTTAATTTAAGATTTTGGTTGTTTATCAATTGAAAACAGATAAGAATCAACAAAGAGAATTTAAATTTGTCTTATTCTCAAATATGTGGCTTTCACTCCAACTTTTTCTATTTTTATGGAACTGCTACTTTTATTTTCATCCAGTTTATCACGGCCTCCTACTATTATATTTAAATATTTATGAGTTAATATAATAATATGCCTTCTCTATTAAAAATAGAATATTGTCTTTTATAGTTCCTACCATTTGTGTAATTTTGAAGAATAAAAAGAAAAAATAGATTTCATAATTTAAAAAAAAAATTAAGTATGGTTTAAAAAAATAACAAATCGTTTATTTTAAAGTTGAGCAGAATTACTTTTAATAATATTGATTTGAATCACTGAATATAACTAATATTATGTTTCAAATTTAACTCTAACTTTCATATTAAAAACAGTAGTTTTAAAATTAGACTGACCATTAAATCAGTGAAAGAATTAGTATATAGTATATTGATTCAATAGTTTTAAAAATACCTTAGAATAAACATTTTTTAATAAAATAAAAAACAATATTTTATTATAAAATAATCTATTTAAACCAATTTTTTATCCTAAATCTTATGTAATTTTGATCGATTTTGTCTGCTTTAACTATTTTTCATTTTACTGATTTTTTGAACCGAACGAACAAGTTAATTAACTAATTTCTCTCATCTAATTTGGATTGAATAACTATGATTAAAACATGTCACTGTTGGAGAAATTGATTATATAAATTAACCTGGTATATATATTTTCAACTACAACTAGTTGAACTCTAAATGTCACAAATTGGCTTAAAATTGTTTCTCTTAGGCATTGATAAGAACTTATTTGGGTGTTTGGACAGGTAAGGAAGTTAGAACTGCTGATATCGATTTTAGTTTTTATAATGGCCGGATGTTTCTTTGGGGAAATGAGTTACGTAAAGCCTCCTGCTTCTGATGTATTGAAAGGGATGTTTGTCCCAAAACTCAGCGGTCAAGGAGCCACAGGCGACGCCATTGCCCTTTTGGGTGCTCTTGTCATGCCGTACGTAAAAAATAATTTTAATTTCTGTATTTAATTTTATGTACTAATGTATCATTCAAAATAAATATTGTTAAGTTTGCATAATTATCTCTTTGAATATTCATTACCTGAAATTTTGCTTTTGACAAAATGCAGTCACAATCTTTTCCTCCACTCTGCGTTGGTGCTCTCCAGAAAAGTACCCAGTTCCGTGCGTGGAATCAATGTAAGACACTTGAGAAAAAAAAACTATCATGAGTGAAAAACTTTTAATTTGGAAAAAACAAAACAGTTCAAATGCACATCTAATTTAGCTTTGCTAGTATACTATGCATAAACTCACACGTGTTTGCTTTATTACGCAGGATGCATGTAGATATTTTCTCATAGAAAGTGGGTTCGCCCTATTTGTGGCATTTCTGATCAATATTGCAATGGTTTCTGTGTCTGGCAGTGTTTGCTCTGTCAGCAACCTTTCTGCAGAAAACGTTGATCACTGCAGTGATCTTACCCTTAACTCTGCTTCCTTTCTTCTCAAGGTTCGTAATTTGATTGCCCTAGTCAAGTTATAATATTAAGTTTAAGGATGAGAAAGCCCTAGACTCTTGCTTTTGATATTCTACTGTAAAATTAAATGCCTAATTTTCAGCGCCAAGTTATCTCATAGGATGTTCATTGCTTGTAGAATGTGTTAGGAAAATCAAGCTCAACCATTTATGCCATTGCATTGCTAGCCTCAGGACAAAGTTCAGCTATAACTGGAACCTATGCAGGGCAATACATCATGCAGGTCATCTAGGAATATCATTTAAAACACTTTCATTTCAATTTTTTTTAATAACACACACGTTTTGATGAAGGATTTACTGAATAGGGATTGTTGTATATTGGTGCTATTAGGGTTTTTTGGACTTAAAGATGAAAAGATGGATTAGAAACTTTATGACAAGAAGCATTGCCATAACACCTAGTCTTATTGTAGCCATCATTGGTGGTCCTACTGGAGCTGGTCGGCTAATCATTATCGCATCGGTTTGTATATTCAATTCATTCTTTCTTTGTTTAACATGTGTGTGTGTATATATATATATATATATATATATATGCATTAAACTATTCACGCACACTAACTGACTGAAATTATTTTGCAGATGATACTTTCTTTTGAGCTTCCATTCGCTTTAATACCACTCCTGAAGTTCAGCAGCAGTAGTACTAAGATGGGACCTCACAAGAATTCTATGATTGTGAGTTGTTTTCTATCTTGTTTATGTATGTATGCTAATTTAAGTTGGATTACAAGAATGAGAGAATTTTATCCCATTTGATGGTTACTGGCCATTAACCCAGAATAAGGTTAGAGATAAAGACATTCTTAATTAAAAATTAGAGAAAGAATATGACACAATTTTCTTGCAGATCATTGTCATCTCATGGTTACTAGGCTTTGGAATCATCGGTATCAATATATACTACCTCAGCACATCCTTTGTGGGTTGGCTAATTCATAGCAGTCTACCAAAGGTGGCAAATGTGTTCATTGGAATCATAGTGTTTCCACTAATGGCACTTTATGTTGTTGCAGTAATCTACTTAACTTTCAGAAAAGACACTGTAAAGACATTTATAGAGACAAAGAATGAACCAGCAATGCAAACCCACATGGAAAAGGGATTTATGAATAATGGTCAGTTAGAGTTGAGTCATGTTCCTTATAGAGAAGACTTAGCTGATATCCCATTACCAGAATAGGAGACCAATCTATAAATTGAATGCATCACAACGAGAAGGAATTTTGTCCATAAGTATGAAAAGTCACGTTGCTTTCAAGTTATTCTAAAGAGTAACGAGACGGTTGGTTCTCATAAATAATTGATTGGAAGTGATTGTGATGTTAGGACCTTCAGAATCCTCTTCTTTTGTCACATATGTTCCTGTTGTGCGTTATACTGTACTAATGTATGTTTTATAGTTTTTATAATATTGCCTCAAGTTTACACGAAAACCAGTTCATTGTAACCCACACAGTCAACTGGCCTTGAAATTTTTTGAATAAGAAAACCCATGAGTAAGTAGCTCTGTCCTTTTCTCCATTCAGGGGGAAGGCATAACTGAAGGTGAGACCTTACAGCTTGTACTGTTGTATTGCAACCATTTTCTCTTAAGAAAGTGAATTGTGTTCTCTTGTGTTTTTCTACCCTACCTCTGGCTCTACATGTTTTTAGGCAAATTTTGACTCATCATAAAGTTTACATCATGTGTCCATGAGACAAAATCCACCAAGATATAATCAGATTGAGTAACATGGACTAGATTGTACAACAGCACAGGCATTAGAGACACACGTCACCATGGCCTGGTAATCTAACTAAAAAGATTTATGAAGACAACAATTTTTCATGGTATATTAAGTCCACACAAACGAAAATAGAACTGTAGAACATCAAAAGCTACTTGTTTCCTTAATCCAACTTCAGCTTTAATTGCAACCAATACAGGCTCCATAATAACTTACACGCCACAATAAGCTAATTTCCTCTTCATTTCCTGAAATCAATGACCATATAAGATTGCACCATTGAAGTCCCAAAACTTATGCTTACTTCCCTAATTAGTCTCAACTAGTTATTCCCTGATACAGATCTTAACAGCGGACGAATGGTTGTGGGCTAAGCATTACTAGGGACATTAAACGTGGCATTTAAAGAGGTTGATTGTGATTGTTGCATCGTAGATGGGGCAATCTTTGCCCCAACCTAAACATGGTTTAGAAAAGATACGACCTAGGCATGGGGTATGAAAAATTTTAAAAGTTACAAGACTCAATATGATTAAAACATTAGAGTAACATAAATTAATATTAAAAAAACAATCTTAAATCAAAATAAAAAATTAACTAGTACGGTTTTATAATAAAATAATTTATTAATGAAAAAATACCACCTATTATGTAACATCTAACTTAATTATGTTTTTTAATTTTTTAAATTTTTTGTGAAATAAAAATAATTAAAAGTAATAACACAATGTTAAGAATGCAAATTCGAAAGTCTCCATTTCAAAAGGAGTTTTAAAATCACTGTAAATGAATGTGATTCTTAAGAGTATAAATAATATCAAATTTTAAAAATAAAATGTGAACTTCTCTCACAATTTTTCTATATTTTTTTCATTTGAGTCTCAGTAATTTAGTTTTTTTGTAATAATTAAAAAATATAAATATATGATATATATCATTTTAGATATTACAATCTCCTTTATTATTTAATCTCCATTCATTTTTTTCATTGTTTGTCAATTGGAAGCAGTTAACGATTATGCTTCTAATTAACGATTAGCAAAAGAGAATTTGAATTTGTCTCAAATTTATCTGTAGTTTTGAAGAATGAGAAGGAAAAAAAAAAGATTTCATAATTTAATAAAAATTAAGTATAAGTTTTAAAAATTAGTAAATATTTATATTAAAGTTTAGTATAATTAATTTTAATAATATTAATTTGAATCACTGAACATAATTAGTAGTATGTTTCAAAATTAACTTCAGCTATAAATTTTACATTAAAAACAATAGTTTTATAACTAGACTGACCATTGAATTAGTGAAACATTAATTTATAGTATATTCATTCAATAGTACTTAAACCAAAGAAAAAAAAAACAACAAAATATGTTTTTTAATATTATGTAATATATTAAGTAATAAACCTTATATTAAATTATAAAAATTTAAGTTAACTGAAGTTTTAAATTAACATAAAATGAATATATTGCATATCTTATAAGCTAAAAGAATTATAATAAATAGTTAATGATAATAATGTGTATGTAAAACCTTTTCCGAGCCGGTCGTCGCTCTCTTCAACGTAAGTACATCACGTATTGCACTCAAACTTTTGAAAAAGACTATTTTAAAAAAACCAGAATGGTCGACCCTCCGTGTTAATTTTGATTTAATGTCTGTATTATAAAAGCAGCCCAACACAAATGAAACTAATAGCAAGGATGAATGGCCACCTTAAAGCCCAATATGTGTTGCATACCTCAGGGTCTTCTTATTTGATGAATTTTTTATATATTTCCTTTCTTATTTTTGTACAGCTCATGTCTTCTAGAAAGAATTGGTTATGCTGAGTCATTACGTTATTTCTGTCATATATTTTTAGAGCTTGTTATAGGATAGCAATATTCACCTTTCTGTTAGAATTTTTGTAGATTTCTTAAGATTTGCTGAGCTGTAAAATAGTGCTAGCCTTTTATATATACACACATTGTACAATGCAAAAATAGTGAATGCAAAACATCTATCAATACTCTCAATTTATACTGTTATTACAAGTTCTTTTATGGTATCAGAGCTCCATCAGAGCTTTGCTGCTACCCACAAATGCCGAAACATACCTCTCCTTCTTCAACCCATAATCCTCCATCAACACCACGTCTTCACAAACCACCCCTGTCAATGATAGTGCATCTTTTCAAGATCCAGCACTAAACCCGTCTAATTCATTCTACATACACCCAAGCGAGAGTCCTTCCACTGTGATTGTCAGTCCCGTGCTCATCGGAAGTAATTATCACTCATGGTCTCGTTCCTTCAAAATGGCCCTTGTCTCTAAAAACAAAATGGATTTCTTAGATGGCTCCATTGTTGTCCCTGCCACTACAGATCCCCTATATTCAGCTTGGGAGAGCTGCAACACATTGATCATGTCTTGGATTCTTAATTCTGTCTCTCAGTCCATAGCTCAGAGTGTGATTTACCTTGATCATGCCTCTGAGATATGGAAAGATTTGAGGAAGCGTTTCTCCCAAAGTGATTTACTCCGCATTGCTGAACTCTAGGAGGAAGTTTATGCTTTAAAACAAAGGGCATCAATCTGTCACTGATTATTTCACTAGCCTGAAATCCTTATGGGAAGAGCTTGATAATTATCGACCCTTCATTCCATGTAATTGCCCAGTCAAAACCTACCATCATCAAGACTTTATCATTTATTTTTTGAAAGGGCTTGATGAGCGTTTCTCTGTTGCTCGTTCCCAAATTCTTCTCATGGACCCATTGCCCTCAATTAATCGAATTTTCTCTATGGTTATCCAGCACGAACGTCAAATCCTCAACCCTGTAAGCATCCTTGCTGACCACCAGGTTCTCTTCAACTCCACTGAAAACCGTCGCCTATTAGCTAGCCGAGGGTCAGCCAATGGAGGACGCGGAACATCGCAGAAGATATGCACCTATTGTGGACGAAGTAGCCACACAATTGAAATTTGTTACGCTAAGCATGGTTATCCACCAGGCCACCCTCGTTACCCAGGGCGTCCCCGCTTCCATGATCGTAGCTCTGGTAGTGCTGCCATCAATAACGCTGTGTCTGATGCAAGACAATCTTCTGCAGAAGGAGTTCTTAAGGATGATTCAGAACGGGCCGGGTTTCATCTCTCCCCAGACCAATATCAAAGTCTATTGGCTCTCCTCCAACCAATTACGGGTTTAGGCCCAATCTTGCCAATGTCACTCAAGCTATTGAGCCATATAACACCATTTCTGGTGACCCAATGTCAGGTAACCATTTTCCTTTCTACTTGACCCAAAGTAAGCATGCGTCTTTATCCCAACAGAATCACCACACAGCACACACAACGTCTTCCATTCCACGCAATAGCTCTTGGATATTAGATTCTGGGGCAACTGATCATATCACTTCATCTTTTAATCAATTTGAAAATTATTCTCAAATTAATCCGATCATTATTAAACTTCCAAATGGGTCATCAGTCATGTCTAAATTTTCAGGTACAATTAGACTTTCTTCTTCTCTCACTCTTTACAATGTTCTTGATGTTCCTAATTTCAATTTTAATTTAATTTCCATTTCCAAATTAATTTCTACTCTTTCTTGTAAACTAATCTTTTATGATAATCTCTGTGAAATTCAGGATCTGAGCTCATTGAAGATGATTGGTTTGGCTAAATTAGAAGAGAGTCTTTACAATTTAGTGATTGGCAAAAATGAGTGTTGTTCACTTCCTCCAAATTCTCTTGTTAATTCCTTTATAGCCACCCCTGTCACCATGACCAATATTTGGCATTTCCGTTTAGGACATTTGTTTGGAAAACGTTTGAATATATTAAATCAAGATTTCCCTTTCATCTCTAAACACACCATGGAAACGTGTGATGTTTGCCATTTGGCCAAACAAAAGAAATTATCTTATTCTATAAGTATGAGCAAAGCATCCAAAATTTTTGAGTTACTACATTTGGACATTTGGAGTCCCTTTTCAAAAATTTCTATACATGGTCATAAATATTTTTTAACTATTCTTGATGACTATAGTCGTTACACTTGGGTTATATTACTAAAAACCAAAGTTGAAGTCCAAAATAGTGTTCAAAATTTTGTCAATCTTGCTGAAAACCAATTTGATACAAGAGTTAAAATCATTCGATCTGATAATGGTCCTGAATTTTTTATGACAAATTTTTATAGATCTAAAAGAATTTTACATCAACGAAGTTGCGTGGAAACATCCCAACAAAATGGGAGAGTAGAAAGAAAGCATCAACACATATTAAACGTAGCTAGAGTTTTAATGTTTCAATCTAATATTCCAAGTAATTTTTGGTCTTATGCCATAAGTCATGCTGTTTATTTAATAAATAGAGTTCTATCTCTTATTATAAATAATAAATCTCCTTTTCAACTTTTGTTTAACAAACCACCAAATTTTGCAATACTCAAGGTTTTTGGATGTTTATGTTATGCATCATCTTCCATTACTCATAGAAATAAGTTTGATCCACGCTCACGACGTGGTGTGTTTTTGGGTTTCCAAACTGGGGTAAAAGGAACTATAATATTGGATCTTAATAACAGAAATTTTTACATCTAGAAATGTCCTATTTGATGAAATGCAATTTCCCTTTCATAAACAAAAGCAGCCCATTACTTCTCCCTTTTCTTGGCCTATTGGACCGCCAACACATCTTCAGCCCATTTCTCATGAGTCAACCAATGACCTTGGCCAGCAGGATACATTGCCCACCCCAAACTCCTCAGCCCAACCATTTAGCCCATCTATACACCCTCCCTGTGCTACTCCACCGACGTTATCACCTCACTCTACCCCTACTCTCAAATCCCTAACTGTACCCCATTCACCCAAACCTTGTCGCTCAACCCGTGTTTCTCATCCTCCACCCAAACTTGCTGATTATTATTGTAACACCTCTTCTAATTTGTCATCACCATCATCGTCGACATGCTCATATCCAATTTCTACATTTGTTGATTTTTCACGCTTGTCACCTTCTCATCATCGTTTCATCTTGTCTCTCTCCACTGAGTCTGAACCATGTGGGTACGAGGAGGCCAACACCATTCCTTACTGGCAACAAGCTATGAAGGCTGAAGTAGAGGCTCTGGAACTAAATCAAACTTGGGCTATCATTGATATTCCTCAACACATAAAACCCATTGGATGTAAATGGGTTTATAAGATCAAGAGATTTCCTGATGGAACAGTTGAACGTTATAAAGCACGCCTCGTTGCTAAGGGATATGCACAGACCGAAGGCATTGACTATTTTGATACTTTTTCCCCAGTGGTCAAGATTACTACAATCAGAATGGTTCTTGCTCTAGCCTCAAGCAAGCGATGGCCAGTGCAACAGCTTGATGTCAACAATGCTTTCCTACATGGTGATTTAAACGAAGATGTTTACATGACGCTCCCTCCCAGTATGTCCACTTCACGTCCTAACCAATGTTGTAAATTGTTGAAATCTTTGTATGGCCTCAAATAGGCTAGTCGTAAGTGGTATGAGAAGTTATCTGTCTTACTCCTGTCATGTGGGTATGTGCAAGCTCACTCTGATCACAGTCTTTTTATCAAATCTGTTGGTGAAAATTTTATTGCTCTGATTGTTTATGTTGATGATATTGTCCTCACTGAAAATTCCTCCGCGGAAATGAACATCATTAAAGGCATTCTTCATTCTACTTTTCGAATTAAGGATCTTGGGATTCTTAAGTATTTTCTGGGTATCGAAGTTGCCTACTCTGAGCAGGGCATTTCTCTATGTCAACGTAAGTATTGCCTTGACTTGTTGCAAGATTCTGGCTTGTTGGGTTCTAAACCAGTTTTCACACCCATGAACTATGCTCTCTGACTCCATCATGACTCAGGTGCTGTTTATCCTAATGCTTTGGCTTATCGGCGATTAATTGAGCGTTTACTGTATCTTACGAATACTAGGCCTGACATTGTGTTTGCAACCCAGCAATTAAGTCAATTTATGAATACTCTAACCCAGGCTCACTTCAAAGCAGCAACACGTGTTTTGAAATATCTCAAAGACTGTCCTGGTAAAGGATTATTTTTTTCCAGAGATTCTCCCATTCAACTTCTTGGCTTCAGTGATGCTGACTGGGGAGGCTGCCTTGATTCTAGAAAATTAGTCACAGGTTATTGTTTTTTTCTTGGAAAATCTCTTATTTCTTGGAAAACAAAGAAACAAACCACAGTTTCTCGATCTTCTTCTGAGGCCGAATATAGGGCCCTTGCCTCAACTACATGTGAACTACAGTGGCTCACCTATCTGCTACAAGACTTGAAAATTTCTTGTTCTAAGCCTGCTGTTTTGTATTGCAACAACCAGAGTGCTCTACACATAGCAGCCAATCCAGTTTTTCATGAGCATACAAAGCACCTTGATATCGATTGCCATTTGGATCAGGAGAAGGTTCAAGCAGGACTCATGAAACTGCTACCAATCTCTTCCAAAGGGCAACTTGCTGATGTGTTTACAAAAGCTCTCTTACCAAGGCCTTTTGGTGATATTCTTTCTAAGCTGGGGTTAATTGACATTTTTCAACCACCTCCAGCTTGTGAGGGGATATTAGAAAAGCAGCCCAACACAAATGAAACTAATAGCAAGGATGAATGACCACCTTGAAGCCCAATATGTGTTGCATACCTCAGGGTCTTATCTGATGAATTTTTGATATATTTCCTTTCTTATTTTTGTACAGCTCATGTCTTCTAGAAAGAATTGGTTATGCTGAGTCATTATGTTATTTCTGTCATATATTTTTAGAGCTTGTTACAGGATAGCAATATTCACCTTTCTGTTAGAATTTTTGTAAATTTCTTGAGATTTGCTGAGCTGTAAAATAGTGCTAGCCTTTTATATATACACACATTGTACAATGCAAAAATAGTGAATGCAAAACATCTATCAATACTCTCAATTTATACTGTTATTACAAGTTCTTTTAGTCTGTGGTAGTAAATCACATAATTTGAATATCTTAAATGATATATATCATATTTTCATATTTCTTAATTATTACCAAAAAAACTAAATTGCTATGAGAGTCAAATGAAGAAAATATGAAAAAATTGTGAGAGAAGTTCATATATTTTATTTTTAAATTTTGATATTATTTATACTCCTATGAATTCACATTCAATGGTGCAATCTTATATGGTCATTGATTTCAGGAAATGAAAAGGAAATTAACTGATTATCTTGCAGCAATAAATGTCAACCGCTTTCTACGATATGAAAGTGCAACGGTCAGCAATTCAATATTGAATTTACTGGAAAATCTTTAGGTATCAGCAAACAGTAGTTAAAGTCACTGCCAACTCCACAAGGTTGAGCTCAGCAGTTCTGCATGCTAAACTTAAGTTGATATTTCATCAGCAATTTCTTACCACATTCTATTGTCGACCACAGCAGAAATAATGCCTTTCAGTGTCTCCTGCATAACATTGAAATATGAGGGGTTTATTTATTGTTTCTTCTCCTTTCCCGTGACGAAGAGAAAATCAGTAAAGCGTACCGCAGAATGGTCTTTAAGACCAAGTGACAGCACCAATGGCCGGGAGGAGCCAGACACGCTGCAAATCAGGAATTGGAGAGTCAATATGATTACCTAAAACGAATTACTAAAGTATACATGCACAAGGGTCATATATTAACAACTATTTTAAAATATCTCTTTTTAAGGGATCTTTGAAACTCATGTTAATTTTGAGAAGTTAACAGAAGTTGAACACAACGGAAAATAAGAGTTCATCATAACTAGGAAGAATAGCAGAATACTTACCTCATATGTTCAATCAGCTGGCGTGCGCATGCTACTAACATTGGCTGCATCAATGCATTCGGTGGATAAGAAGCACAAACTTCATAGAAAAGATCAAGGAGAACAAATATTTCCAGACATAGGCAAGCCTACCTCATCCCGTTTGCCAAATATAACAGAAACATTGAATGTTGGATTAATAGAAACCGCTTCTTCCTTCCTGGCAATGAAAACACACATACACAACTGTGTGAGCAACCCTTCTCTTAAGCATCACTACTTTAAAAGTGCACGATGATCCAGAATTTCAAGCTGAAAAAAAAAAAAAGGATTCTCTTAAGTTTTAGTTCTCATACGACTACCAAGTCCAGTGCCATTAATACTTATCCACAATGAAGCAGATGCACTAGCCAATTGCCATATTAAAAATATGTAAGAAGAAGGGATGAGGGTAAATGCTTTCGGTGTGTCCAGCCATATAGCCCAACAGATGTCCAGAAAAAACAAAGCATCAATTTGGCAGAAGATGAACAATTGGAGGAAGATGAGAGATTTGTGAAGACCAACTCTCAGAAAGGAGAAACGCTACGGGAAGGTGAACCAGTTGAATTTACATGTCAGATGCTTGATTATCTCTCTCTTAAGTAGGGGGCATTACACAACCACGAACCACAGAGCTTTGTCATGTGGGTAGGTCCCATGTACTCATCATGATTGATAGCAGGGCAGGTAATACCTCCATTACTCGGGTGTTAGTAAAACACTTGGGATAAAATGTATCCCCAACCACCCCATCTGGAGTTAGGTTAGGGAATGGGCAAAAGAAATTTCCCAAGGGTGCTGTGAAGATTTGATGTTGTCAATATCTTATCATGTCTAGAGGAGATTTTACTCATTTGAGTTAGGAGGAGTGGATCCAACTTTAGGCTTGGTATGTTTGGAAACCACAGGTGACAAGAAGGTTAACTGGACATCTCTACCATAGTCCTTTGTCCATTAGGGGATGGCTATTCTAATCTAAGGTGACCTGAGTCTAACTAAGGCAATGCTATCCAATAAAGCTCTGCATAAATTGTCAGATGTGGAATTCTCTTCAGTACCATTTGTTCTCTCTGAAATTGTTGCTCAAAATTTTATTTGTAAAGAAATATAAAGGAAAACAATGAAGTCATATGCAGACCTGGCATACAATATTGTCCCCATGGTTCCTATTTGAGTGGCAATAACCTGAGAAGTACTCAGAACGTTTAGAACAGTCACCATAAAAACAGATCAAAGCTCCACCAGAACTCACCAGAAAATGATCTTCATAACTCGAAATCATAATCTCTGTTTCATTTCCCTGAAAAGTAAGCAATTATTCAATATTAATTATCAACATTTTAATATTAATATCCCCTAATAATTATTAAATTAAATATTGAAAGATAGTTTTACGGGATCATTTAGGATCCCTCTCATTTTACGTCAAAACACTCCCTGTTTCACTTCATCAATTCTAACCACATTTATTTAGAATCTTGTCAACGCCTATGATTGTGCCACCTAACTACAATTTTGTTTTATTTGAACAGACATAATTGATATTGCGCTTTATTTGTCAAACTTTACATAATTGGTCTCAGGGCCAAATATAAGAGGAGGGTTTAGGCACTCATAATCAACACAAACTATTTGTAGAGTCTCGTGACATGGATCGGAGTCTGTCCTTCATAGGTTATTCTTCCTCTCTTCCTAATTCCTACCTTTCCCTTGCCATTGCTCCAACACATACATGTGGCAGAGCTTTGTGTGAATTGCTCGGGATGTTCTAAGGAAATCATTGTATCTAATATAGAGTGACTAGGCAACCTAGCTGCATTCTTGAGTTGTTTTTCGTAACCCTTCTAATAACATCTATAATTTTCTATTTTGTAGGATAAAATATACTATTTTCTCTTGATTGTTCTTTCCTCATTTCTCTCTAATGAAATTAATTTTTCTAAATATAAAAAAAATCAAAATCTTTTTTCCTACAAATAAAATCTACTACAGATGATTTTTTCCAACTTCAATATTTTCTGAAAATTTTCAAACCCAAAGAGCAGCAGAAAGAGAAATGAGTGAGGGAAATGCATACCTTGATTTGCCGAGAGAAATTCAGTTGGGACACAGGGAACTGTGGGGCTAAAGAAGTGTTACTGCCTATATTCATTGACCAGGTCACTACTACTACTTGGTTTACGAGGATTAGCTGCAAGGTTTTCACAGGTCACGTTTCACTCACCGGTCACTTGTACTGCATAAAATAAAACAAATACAATAAAGTATATAACTATATAACTATATATATATAGGTACAAAATGTCGCAATTTTACCAAGTTCGAAAAAATACATGTTCAGAATTACTAAAAAATAGTTCAGAATTACAAATAAATAACACCAGCTCACGTTTCAAACTTTTTTTTTTTTGAAGATGAACTTTGTTAATGTACATTTGATGATGGCATCTTATTTCTCAAGGAAAAATAGCACCGAAGCACAAAGTAGTACTAATTAACATACTAATACAACATATAGATTGGTCATATTTTGTTATTCATTTTCTTTTAACCGACACTAGTTCAATCCTTCTATTATCACATTATACAAAGACCTAAAACCATCACCTCAAACTGAACCATCCACGTGACTAGAAAATTCTAGCTGTAGTGTAAAAATAAAGCATAAAAAATAATAATTGCTGTTGTTACTAAGTTCAAAATCACTAATTTTATATTTCTTTGCAAACAAAACTTTGAGCAACAATTTCTGAGAGAACAAATGCTGTTCAGGAGTTAGACAGCTAAGGAGGAAATCTTGATTAATTGTACTTGATAAAATCTGGCACCCTCTGTTCAAGTTCTAAAATCATGAAAACATGTCATTTTCATTGCCATTATAATTCGACCAACAAGTGCAGCAAATAAACTTCATTAAATGTAGATTAAAAGGCAACGGAATGCTAATTTAAGGGAAGATAAACAACGATTTACTTACATGAAACAGAGGTAGGAGGTGGATAATTAATTAGCTTTGTGCAGGTAACATTACACCCAAGTTCGCTGCCGAAGTATCATTGATCGAGCAGATTAATCACCGTGAGAGAGGATCAATTTCACTCTTCAAACATATTCCTAGTTCGTAGTGTATAATAAAGGAAGAAATTCGCTAACCTGAAAGAACAAATTCAGTGGGATTGTTCTATGTGATGCGCAATTCACCGCTAGCCAGAAGTTTTGCACCCTACCATAACGAAGTACGAAGCCAAGTTATCACGTTTGATTCGTGTTAGTTTTCGGGGCAGGGCTGACCCGTGGATTGTCCCTAGCCTGACCCGGAATGTTATGGGCTATTTAATTTTGGGCCGGACTAGTTTCTTTGGGTTGCTTTTTACACTTTTTTGTTTGTTTATTTATTTATTATTCTGTACATACCCCAAACGGCAGGTTCTCTCTCCTCGTCGGTGGCGAAGCTCACCGCGTCATCAAGGTGCATCCCTTCCGACAAGGATTTTCACTTCTACCGCAACTTCGAGGAGTTCAAGGTCCCCGTCGAGGTAATCGCGCGGGAATCACAGGTTGATGGTCGAGGCCATTGGCGCCGCCGCACGCGGCATTCCCCGTTCACGTCGATGACGCATATGACTGGCTTGTGAACTTGAACGACTGCGTTTTGGAGCTGTTTGATGCTTCTGCGGACGAGTTTCGGAAGGTTCGGCAGCAGGAGGAGGAAACTGGGCGTCCGGCGAAGCATTTTATGGAGGAAGACGGGTTTCGATTGGTTTCTGGGAGGAAGAAGAAAGGGGGAAGAGGGAGCGTGACGGCGATGGCGACAATGACAACTGAGTCTGAGACAAATACGGGTTCGGCTTTGGCGATGCCTGGAGTTACGGTGGATTTAATTTCCCGAAATCTCTTCACAAATGCTTCCGGAAACTAATTTCCAGAACGTTTAGTTTCGGAATTTAATTTCCGGTAGGCGTTGAATGTGAACTCCTCGCTTGTCCAAAGCTATCTTTTGTTTGAAGGGGTGAAGTATACGAAATTGATAAATAACTTACCTTATGCGAAAATGTTGCTTCATTTTCGTGGAGCAGTGAGAAGAGGTGAAGTATTTTTTAAGCATTTTTTAAAACAAGAAGTGAGAACAAGAAGCCATAAAGTGAACGGACAAAAGTTGTAATAAGGGTATTTTTAAAACAAAATTTATAAAGAAAATAGTATATGGGGAAAAAAATGAGAAGAGTTTTTTTTTTTTTCCCTATTTTTTATGGTAAGAGTATTTTTTTCTATTTTTTTTACCAAAAAACAAAGAAAGAAAGAAAAAAACTGGGTGCAGAAAGCAAAGCGCATGTGTTGATCAAAGCAAAGATTAGCCCTTGCGCTGATGCCCTTATTGACACTGATTCTCAATTATTGGTTGTAAGTGCTTATAAATTTGGGTCGTTGCTAAAAGTTTGGACCCTTTCGCATTTTTGTGTGATTTGCCCAAAGTCAGTGGGTAAACCGGTTTAACTCAAGTCTCACTGTCAAATTGTCTTGAAAATTCTTGAACAATAAAACCCTACGTTGTTGTTTCAATTTATCCACATTCACATCGAAGGCACATCTTACACAAAGAACTCATTCTTTTTCTGTACCATTTGTATTTCAACCATTTTCAGTAGCATTATGTTGATTTATTCCAAATTTTCTCCTCCATGAGAAGCTTCATTTGATTATTTTATTTAAAGTGAAACTGCTTTATTTCTAAATAACACGAGATTCAATTATTTCGAACTTATTTGCAGACAAATGCGGGACACTGGCTAAAACCAGAGAACAGTAGAGGAGACAAACCGCACAATAGATACAAAACCAAGTAACGTGGACTGCAAGAAACAGCACGAGCAGTGAAGACAAAAAGTCAGCATAGCGTGTGGTCCTTATTCATCCAAGTATCTTTTTATTGTAATCTGACTAAACAAGATTAGTGCCACTTAATAAATTTTCAAAGTAGGTACCTAAAGACCACAAGAAAGAAACAAGAATTATGAAACATCAAATGCTACTTATTTCCTTTAAGCAACAGTTTCACAATCAATAACTTTTTTGGCACATCCACCTAACTTCCTCCTTACTTCTGAAATCAAAGACCAAATACAATTACACCTTCGAAGTTTCAAAACTTACATCTACTCCCCTAATTAACCTAAACCAGAGTTAGTTCCTGATACAGGCCTCAACAATGGATGATTGGTAGTGGACTGCACATTACTAGGGGCATTGAACATGGCACTTGAAGAAGCTGATTGCGACTGCTGTATCATAGATAGGGGCAATCTTTGTCCCAATCCAAACATTGAAGGTCGTGGGGCAAAGGACATATGTGGATGAACTGGTTGGTTGTTGCCATACCCCGAGATGCTGGGCTGTGAGGAAGAAGCAGAGATCATTTGTTGCCTATTGTTGCCATTACTAGCCATTGAAGGACCAACACCAGATGCGTTCATTGAGGGTGTGGCTCCTGTATTTCCAAGACGTGCCGATATTATGCGGGACCGTTCACCAGCAAACCTCTGCTTTGTTCTCTCCATTTGTTCACATTCTTTCATCAACAATGTTTCAATTTCTGCAAACTGTTTCAGCTTCAATTCCAATCTTTTCAACTGTCAAGAACAGCAAGCCACTAACACAAGTTAAACACATCAAAATACTACTGGTTCTGCACTTGATTTTGAGTAATCCCCAATTACTTAATTTATGTTATTCTGTAGAAAAATGTTTAACTAACTTCACATCTATGCATACCATCCAGATAGAAATGGAGAGAAGAGAGATGAAGTATATCAATATTTTAGTTGAATCAACTGGAATTGAAGAATTAAAAAAAAACAGTGATACCTGATGATTAACAATATTAGCACATAACCTCTGAATTTCTCGTTCTTCATGATCAGCAAATAATTTAGCTTTCATTGCTGCAGCAGAGAGGCCTGCTTTAGCAGCATCTTCAACTTTCTCAGCAGAAAGAGGGGTTGTCCTACCCTCATTTTGACCCCATGAACCAATTACTTTTGCCTTATCCTCTGAAATCAAAAGAAGTATTGCTCAAGAAGAAAATAAAATATTGGTATTGGGTCTTGTAGAAGTTGGGCTAAGGATGTAGATCAATGACATAAAAAGCAGCAACCATAACTGACCAATATGATTGTTCGATGTTGCTGTTTCTCCTCTAGGCCCACCATCTCGACAATGTATGGTTTCTGGATTTGTCCTTCATATGTGAAAAATATGAATTTTAGCACAAAATTCATAAACTAGCAAACTACAAAGACAACAGTTCATGTTGAGCTTAATTTTTCCACTCTACCCGCCATACCATTCTACTATAGTTAATTTTGTCTTCCCTTTTTTTTGTGAGTGGGGTGGGGGGAGTAAGGTTCAGTTCCACGGCATAAGTTTTTAAGAAAAAATTGAAAAAGAGAGAGAGAAAAGGACAAAAGCACAAGATAGGATGTAAAGAAAAAACAGAGAGTAACAATCAAAGACCAAAAATTTCATTTAATAGAATTACATGCACTATGACAAATAAACTCACCTATTATCGTGTCCTGGTGCTTCCATCTGAGATGTGCTGCCAGAATTATCCTCTGACAATACTGCTAATGCTGCATGGGCACAAGAAGCAGCTACTCTTGGTCCAACAGCAGAGGCTAAAAAGGCAACCTTTAGAATACACCAACCAAAACAAAACATGTAAGAATCTCATCAAATGAACTGCAGAACACAAGTTTAATTTGTTGTGAAACTCTGTCAAAGAATCTAGATCACCCTTTTATGATTTTGATCAGAAAGAGTGATGATCAACATACATGCTCCTTCAAAGAGAACCGATGCAACTTGAAGAAACAAGTTATTTATGACAATTTTTTTAAAACTAGAATAAATAAGTTAAGGACACAATGCTAGGTGCAATAATAAATAACCACATCCTAGCCTAATAAACATGTTTTCAATTGTCTGTTACTTGAATAATAACTTAGGCTTATCATTAGCAGTCACCTACCAGAGCCATTACAGGATTTCCAGAATTAGCAAAAGGAAGCCGGCTGTTAGAATCTCTGATTTGATGGAAAGGTCCTGTGACAGCATATGTACAAAATCAAAACTATATAACAGTGAGTTGATTTAAAAGCATACAACAGACCTGCAGTATCTCCGTTTGAGTAACAATGCAGTCTTCCACTATCATCTCTATTCATCACACTGGATGAAGAAGACATGCTTGGAACATTGATATTTTCCAATTTCCCATCTTCCATGGGTAGACGGAGAAAATGAAGAATGCACTGTGCTTTTGACTTGGTACCAACATACTCAGCAATTTCATTCCAATTTTCATTGTAAATTTCCATTGCTTCAAGCAGCAGCAAAGTTTCTTGATCAGTCCAATTATCTCCATCTAGTTCACCATAATCCCTTGTTGAATCGACCCTCATAAAATCTATACTTGAATGACCAACGACAAATCTCCCATCATGAAAGCAATCAGTGCAGAGTAAAATATCAACCTGAAACAAGAGATGCTAATTACATATGACAGAATAAGCGTTCACAGTTATTCTGCAGCCTACTTAGTTGACAAGTGGTCTCATAGTTTACAAATTTTGAGTACATATATCAGGTAAAGAAATACTTAACACATAATATTGCCTAAGACTTTGAATAGTCTTCTTTAATCAGGCGGATAGACTCTCTCTCACACACACTCCAAATAATAAACACTTCTCAACCCCTTGGAAGGAGAATTCTCTCCTTTTCTGTTTGCCAACCATCACCACAGAAGCATTTTTTCACTTTCTCTCTTCTCAGTTTCCTCAGTACTCTTTTAAATCTAATACTTTGTTTTGGGGTTTGTAATAATTTCATCTGACCTGCAAGAACTCTTGATCAGAAAGAAATTGAACAAGGGGTAGAATGTTTTGGGAGTTTGGAGGAGTTTTGAAGACAATCAGTAACCACGATATGTGACTACACTCTCTGGATGCAAAGTTGAGGACTGAAATGAAATGCAGAGTGCAGGCACAAAACCTCAATGACATCATGAAGAATATACATCTGATCAAAGTTCTGAGACAGTAGTGTGCTTCATAGTAGTCAATAGCAGCCATAGCAGCCACTATTGCAGAGGAGTGGAGTGGCAAGTTGCCGCTATGAGGAGCTTGTAGCGTTGTGTTTCAGTGGAGTGGCCGCAAATAGCGGCCAAATTGCAGGAAAATCGCAGCCATCGTGGCTGCTATTTCATCTCTGGCCAAAACTCGACTTTTCCTCCCTTTCTGAACGTTGGACGACTTTAAATGGAGGCAATCTTGGGATTTCTCCTCCCTTTTACATTTTTTATATCTTCTTCTCCCTCACAAGCCTTAAGTTCTCATTCTCATCTCTCAGTTCTCTCTGGTTCTGTCCTTCCTAATCTTCATTCCCAATGATATTCTTGCTTCTGATGTCCTTCTTCGCTTCAGCGAGGCTTCTGACGCGCCAAAGTCGTTCTCCTATTATCTTCTTCATCTCCAACAAAGCTTCCAACATGACCCAGACATTTTCCAATCATCTTCATCTCCAATGAAGCTTCCGACATGACTTAAACGTTTCACGCCGTCTTCTTCAACTCTAGAGAAGCGTCTGATGTGACCCAGACATTTCCCGATCATCTTCATCTCCAACAAAACTTCTGATGAACCTACACATTTTCCAATGACTGACCAATTCTCTGTTTTCTGTTTTTTGTTTTCCTTCTCTGTTTTTTATTTCTTTTTCTGTATTTATTTTTCTCACTCTATTTGAATATTAATTTTATATTTTTCAACATATATTTGTGTGTAGCTTAATTTATATTAGGTATACTTAGAATTTTGCAGTCGGTCGCTCTGCACCACTATCTGGGATTGATTACTATGGTGTGCTTCCAAACTCCTCCCAGAATCTCGGCATTGAGCTATGGCAACAAGTTTCTAAGATATCTCAAGTAGAAGAATTCTCTCTTGTGGGGGGTCTATTGGAGAAGCTCCAATGAGCTAAACAAGCCTACATCACGGACCCAACGTGATTCAAGGGTAGTCATCTACAGGGCCAGTCAAGAGTGCCACTAGCCCAACCAATTACACAAATAGGAGAGCACAAGGAGAGGATAGAGTTCCAATATGCATTACAACCAACTCCAGTGCCAGTAGCACATGCCCACAAAGAAATACAGGAACTAGACAACTTCCATATCAGGAATATATCAAAAGAAGGGAAGAGGATGTAGATTTTTCAATGTGGCTAACCAATTTTTACCATGCACATGTGCTCAGAAAAAAGTATAAAGGTTACAATCTTGGCAGAGGAAGAACTAGTAAATAAGGATAGGGAGATTGTCCAAATATACGAGGTAAAAGCACAATGAGAAGGTGACCAGCAGGAGTACTCATGCACCAGGAATCACCAATTTCCACTTGAGGACAATGTTAAACACCTAAACATCAAGGGTGGCAATGATGGTGCCAAGACACAAGAATGAAAGAAGTAGAGCCAAAGCAGTTAGAGTAGTTACAAAACTAGTTAGGTGGTTAAATGTCACTACAGAATTGGTTAGATGGTCTGTGGATAGCTTAAATGGTAGGACAGGGTGGGTAGAAGGGGAACCATTCCGAAATTTTAATAGTGGAGAACTGAGCATTAGCACCGTTATAATAGAGGAAACTTTTGGCTGAAGGGGAAACCCTTGTAAGGAGTATTATCTCCCTACATTCATTCTACCATCAGATAAGAGTTCTTTCACTTTTTCTCTTCTCTATTTTCTCAGTTCACTCTCTCTGAAATCTAAGATACTGTATTTGAGTTCTTAACAGAGTACTTAATTTTTTAGCTTCAAAATAAAATGCTATCAAAGAACCATTGATAGTAGTAAAAACATCCAAACATGTCCATAAGCAGCTGATGCATGAAGATTAAATATAAATAAATATATGTATATAGGGAGACATCGGAGGAAACAAAACGATTTACATACAATTTTTATTGACTTGAAAAAGGCATGATTAGGTGCCAATAGAGGTTTTGTGGAAGAACCTAGAGAAGAAAGGTGTTTGTGATAAATATATTCAAACAATCAAGAAAATGTATGAGGGGGTCACAACTAGGTCAATTACACAAAATGAAGTCACAATCGATTTTCCTAAAACCACGAATGCACCAAGAGAAAGATTTGAGCCTTTATCTCTTTACCTAAGTATTGGATGTCCTTAAAGAGCAAATCCAAGAGTAAGTGCCACAATGTATGCTCTTTGTAGAGAATATAGTTCTAGTTGAAGAATCAAGAAAATAAGTGGGAAGTCTGAGATGAGAAAACTTGCTTCAGAAGAGCACAGCTTTCACTTAAGTAAAAATAAGACGGAATATACGATATGGGAGTTTAGTAAAAGGAGCAACAACCAAAGCATAAAGGTAAAACTTGGAGAACAAACCTTACCATAAGTTATGCAATCTAAGTATCTAGGGTACATTATATGGGATGATGGAGAAACAAAGGGAAATGTAAACCATAAGATTCAAGCAAGCTGGATGAAATGGAGCAGTGCCTTAGGTGCTATCTGTAGATAAAATGTACCACTCAAACTTGAAGGAAAATTTACTTTACAACCATAAGACCTATCATGTTGCATGGAACTAAATATTGGGCGATAAAAAGCCTATAAATAGAATAAACTTAATGAGATGAGAATGTGATAGGGTTTAAAACAAAAATTTTATTAAATTAGACAGAGTACATAAACACAAAATTCTTTAGATAAATTTCATTAACCGCCTTATAGCCAATGCTCTCCTCTGAGAAACAGTTCTCAGCCTTACAAAATAGAAAATACATCGTACAGCAGAAACCCCATACCCATTCCTATAACTACACATTACACAGCATACAATTAAATACCTGTTACATAACTGCCCCATTACAATTAAATAATTGCTGCAGCACCAATAACTGATACTAACTGCCCTATTACACAATGAAATAATTGCTGCATAACTGTCCTGCCATATAACTACCCTATTATTAATTCTGACCTCCTACTTTATTATATCTCCAAGAGTACACAAGCCAAATTTTGGGTTTATTCTCTGCATGATCAAGAACTTTACCTATATCTTGATTCTGGGTTCTAATAGAATATTGCATTGGATGAGGAGACGTGGTAGACAAGATAGAATTAGGACTGAATACATAAGGGAAAAAATTGGGGTAACACCTATAGTAGAAAAGATGGTAAAGTCTTGCCTTGGATGGTTACTGGTTAGAACATGCATGGGTAAGACCTCAAATAGCCCCAGCAAGGAAAGTAGATCAGTTTCAAGGTAGCCCAGTAGCTAGAGGCAAAAGGAAACCAAAAAAAAAATATAGAATAAACAATTAAGACAGATCTAGAAGTCTATAATCTGTCTATAGACATAATTTACAACAAAACATTATGATGTTGCTTTATCCATGTAACTAACCTCACCCCATAGAAAAAAACTTAGTTGTTGTTTAGGGTGAGATTACAAACACCATGAGTAAACAGAAGAGGTTGAAAGCTGAAATCCATGGAAGATAATAGAGTTGCTTCCCTTTGATTTAAGAGAAATAGGATATCATTTAAAAAAGAACAAATAAGGAATTTAGAAGGAATTTCAAGAACACTAACCTAATTTTTCTATTTATATTAATAATCTATGGAATTTATAGGATAACCTAGTACAAGCCCAACTTAATATACTACCAAAAATTAAGCCTCTTAAGACAATAAGAACCCTAAGATTATAATAAATGATGCATTGATCCTATCACCAAAAACAGTTCCACATCAGTGCTTATCCCAGTAAATTTATTAATAAACTTACACATAATTATTAACACAACAATCTAAGTAATTTAGTAATTGCTTATTGACTACTTGAGAATGCATTTCATAATACTAAACAAGCATGATTTCATAACAATAAACAAGCATGATAAAAAAAACACTTGGATTCGTGATGCAGCAACAAATCATCAGCATAGTATGTTTCCCTCCACATGGCATCCTCACAATATAGCACTTGATGCATCCTCACATGACAAATCAAATCTCACTTGTTTTCATTTTACCTTTTGCTTTGTTTGTGTATTGAGCCTGAGTAAAAGGAGAAATTATATGCCAGGTAGTGAAATGCAACATTTACAAAAACAATAATGCACTGTCTTGCATTTGTAAACCATTTACTCAATTTTTTTATTTTTGATTTTATCAACCAGTTTTAAGGGCAAGGAAGTGGATAGCTATTTATAGAAATGGGTGGAACTAGACATGGTGCAATAAATAATGTTTCTACTAAAGGTGGTCACCATCTCCAGGCTCCAGCAACTATGTAGTATTGGACGCTCAATGTTATGATAGCTCTCCATATCATGTAAGGAAGGTCAAACAGTGTTATTCAATAACTGAAGCACTTCCAATTCATATTTTCATCCAGGCAACCGTTACCCATATGATAAAAGCAATAGACAGCAGCCACAGGACCATGATATATCATTAAATTTCAAACAAAAATCCAACTTACCTCTTTTTGAGACTGATAGTATACAACGGGAAGAGGACGAGAACAATAATTGCAATGATTTTCAGATAGATGCTCTCTTATTCTGTCCTCCAGATCAGAGACATTGGCATTTTGCGCTGCCAACGATGAATAAATTTCGTCTGCTTTCAGCTTGCAATTGGGTTTGTCAAATTTGATCAAACTGTCAATCGATTTTAATGCCTCCGATGGCAAACGGACCTCTCCACCTGGCTCCTCCCTCAGGCAGGACACGGGATTCGGAGGCTCATTACTCGGTATCCGAACACAGTAATTGATGATTCCCCAGTGATCAAGGAACCTGACAATTCGAGTCAAATCTTCAACATCAACTCCAGCCACCAAACCCTGGCAATCAGAGACCATAATCCTCTTTCCTGGATCCTCCATGTGCAATGCAACAATATAGTTCCTACACTCCATGTACTTCTCAGGAGTATGATCCTGAGATTTTCCAGAAAAGAAATGAGGCACTGCTTGTCTCTCCAATCTATGCACTGTGGCTGGCGAAAACCAATCTGCGCACACAAATTCCAAAATCAACATCACCTCAACTTATTACCCAAAGCTCAAACACGAACCGAAGCCTCAAAATCTCAAACCAAACACAATAGGAATAAAATAACATGGATAGAGAAAAGAACCTGAATGCATTGGAACTACAAGAGTCTTATTTCCAAAACGCTTAACAACGCCACGACCTTCCAAAATTGGAGGAGGAGTGATAACATAAGAGGAATCTGAACGGTCCTGATCAAAAGCGGCGCTATCAGAGGGCACAGTAGAAAGCGCTTGAAGCTGACCATGAGACACATTCTCCAGAAACGGAGGGTTATGAAGCTGAGCCTTGTTATCTCCAGATTCTAGGGCTCGCTCCAAAGCCACAATTGAAGTAACAGAGGAATGTGGACGATTGACGGAACGCTTAATCACGAGTGGGAACTGCGAAATCTGAACAGCGTGGTCAGAGAGAACCTCAATCTCGGGATGCTGTTGGGAATTAGTGTGGTTGTTGGGGTTATGGTGGGTTTGTTCCTCGGAATCGTAGTCGCGGTCTTCGTCGGCATTGGGGTTTTCTTCTTCCTCCTCCTCGTCGTCGTCGTGCTTCTGGTGGCGCCGGTTGATTTGGGATTCTCTCTTGCGCTTCCTCCATCGGGTTCGGTTCTCTGCGAAAAAAGGGAAAAAGGAAATTGAGAATAGAAGTGAGAGATTGAAAATGAAATTTAAGAATCGCGCGAATTGGTTGGCATTATAGAAAGAGAGAGAGAGAGAGAGAGTGAGGGTTTTAGAGAGAAAGAGAAAACCTGAAGGAGAAGCTGGCATGGCAAGAAGAGAGAGAGGGGTTTAAGGGAGGGAGAGAAATTTTTGATTGTGGGGTCGTTGATTGGCGCAAAGGGTTCTGATTGTTGTTGGCAGAAATTTTTTTGAGTTTGAGGATCGATCTCTCTCTCTCTCTCTCCCTCTCCTCTCTCTCTTTCAACCCTTTTGTGTGATGTGTGAGGCAAATTTGGTTTGGGTTTGGGGCAAAAACAGTGTTGATGTGCGTTTCTGCGGATGTTACCAGAATCAGAATTGGGGCTGTAGGGTAAAATTCTGGCCGCCTCCCTTCGTTCGCGCGTGCTAAAAACGCGACTTTCTATTGGCCCGTGATGTCCACTTTAACGTTCAGATATTTAACATGCTATTTTGCTGGCTTTTTTATATGTATTTCCCTCGCTTTCTCAATTTTTGTGTCTTGTAATTTTGGATTTTCGTTTTATTTTACAATTAAATTTTATAATTTACCGGAATAAATAACGTTGCCGTTTAATGAAACTTTAATTACATGAGTTATGAAAATAAAAATCTAGTTTAAATTAAAATAATACTAAAAATATCTAAATATTACACTTGAAGTTTGTTTTTCTCCTTCGTTTGATCTGATTGATGTATAAATAAATAATGATCTTAATATGCGATGTACCCAAAAAAAAAAAAAGGGTTATTATTATAATAATGCCAATATTTCAGTTCTAAAAACAGAATATTTGAGCAGAAAAAGTGTTAAAAGAAGGAATAATTAAATGATGTTTGAAAGACAAAGCCATGAGATGTTTTGAAGGAAAAAATAAAGGATGTCTTGTAATAAATTGTGTCCAAAAAGAATCGGAATGATAAATTTTAACTCTGGTTTAGAAAAGGGTGTATGTTAGAAAAAGTGTTTTTATTAACATGTATTTTAAAAATATTAGTTAAAAAAAGAAACAAAATAATTCTTTTAGCATAATTTATGATAAAATTACTTTGAAAGGTGTTAATAATTCTTTTTTACAAGAGTTTTTATTTTAAAATTGTTCATTGGAGCACTAAAAACACTTATTAGGATTACATTTTAAGAAATAAAAAATATTAAAAATATCAATTAAAAGATTTAGTTAGGATTTTAATAATTTCAAAATTTTTATATATGTAAATTAATTTTATTATAAGTTTAAGTATTGTTGTTTTAATCAACAACTATAGCTAAATTTTATCCGCGAAAAAGTGTACAGAATGTCAAAACCAAAATCTGTATTTTAACTGTAATTATTTTCAAATAAAATAAATTGAAGTTTTTCCACATAAAATTATGTTAACTGGATTTAATAAATTTTAAAACTCATTAACACCCACTTTAAACTAATGAACACACACACACACATATGCATGTTTAATTAAATCAATTCTTTCAACAGCAAAAAATTACTGCGAAGTAAAGTTAGATTTTATATATTAACTTTTAAACCTCTCACATTCAGTTAAAAAATAACTTAATGTGTATCTTTATATTACAATCCAATACGTGGACAGACAACAGCAAGAGACTATTAATCTTTGTTTTCCGATAGTTAAGTTTTAAACAATACCCAAAATAATTGTAGTTAATTCAAAACTTTCAAAGATGAACAATGTTTTTAAAAAATGTCTGCATCGTTCATTTTTAATGAATTTGATTTATATGTTCGTTTTTAATTGGTTCCATTATTTTCTTTTTATTTTGGTATAGGTGTATTTTATTTTATTTTTAATTTAATTAAGTTGTTATACTTTTATACAAATTTACTCTATTTGTTAATTTTTTTTCTTACCTAAAACATTTAAAATGTAAATAAATTGAATATATTAAGATTTTTAAAACTTTCTTTTTCTGAAAACACATATTTAAACATCAAAATTTTGTCAATATATAAAAAAAAATTATTTTTAAATATTAATTTATCATCATAAAAAAACTTGTAAAAAAATCACTAATTTATTTACTTAAACATTTAAAATCATTTTATATAATAAATTTTCTCACAATATCCTCAAATATCTGGAAATAATAATAATAATGACAATAATATCAAATTTTCAAGTGTAATAAAATAAATGGAGGAACCAAAATTATACAATTTTTTGGCCTATGTCATGAAAGTTGTATAAGCTGAGATTTGAATTGTTAGTAGAATATTCATCTTGCGCAATAAACTTTTTTCCTTCAATAAAATACATGTCAAACATGTGAAAAAATAATATAAAAAATACACTTTAATGTTTAAGCCAATAAAAAAACTAAAAATTAATAATATATGTTAAAAGACATAGTTAAACTCATATAAGTCATCTTATTTTATAAAATAAGAAAGTTTAAATTAATATACTTTTATTTTATATATATTTTTTAATTTTAGTCTTACTAAACTTTATTTTAGCTTTAGTCTTTGAGTTTTAAAATATAGTACTTTTATTTTTTTAATTGATAAATAATAACATGTTTAACTAAAAAATTAATACATGACTGTGTTTTTAATAAATTCACATTTATAAAAAACAAAATAAAAGATTTATGAAAATATACGAAATAAAAAAATTATAAAAATTTAAAAATAAAAAACACATTTAAACATCAAAAAACAAAAGAATGTCTCCATATGTTGACGAAGAAAATAACATATTTAGATTTTATAATACCTTTGAATAATTAATTTAATCAAGTGCTTATTTTATAAAAAAAAAATTATACAATCTTATTATAAAAATTTATAAATAAATTAAAAATTTGTGAAAGTCTTTAATCTTTCCGAATGCCCACTTGGTTCTTTTTGATGGAGAAGGCTAAATGATGAATGACTTGATAAGCCGAAAAACCAAAAGTTAAATCGACTGACATAATATTATTTGAGAAATGCTAGAAATGATTCTCTCTTGTGAAATCTCTATCTCTCTACAATTCGGAAGTTTCACCACTACACAACAGTACTTGATATTCATGGTGGATTGAAATGGGTATTCTTGATCTTGGTTTGACAAAATCAATTAAGGCATTGATTGTGGAAATATATATAAAACAAATCTTAAGACATTCTATTATGTTGGAATATTAATTATGATTCTAATTTTTTTATATAAATTTTTTAATTATCTTAGTATTTTTTTTTCTTCCTCATCATTTTGTTATAAATTAGAACAATTTAAATTAAAGACAAGGTCTCAGCAGTTGGAGAGCAACATATTCAATTTCAAGCCAAGAAGTGAGTAGAAGTGAACAAGAAAGAATTGAAAGTTGGCGAGCAGCTTAACACCCTTTGGCCCAATGCTGGATTTGCATCAAGACAATGGTTCATCAAACTCAAAAATAACAAGAATATAATGGAATTAAAGAACACATAAAAATGAAATATAAGTCCTATGCCGTATGAAAGGATTTCAGGAGTTGAACATTTTCTACTATTTGAAAAACTGCAAAGGGACAAAAATAAAAATTGCAGAAGCTTAGCAGATGTAATAGATCCTGATAAAGTGTAGAAAGAATCACCAGGGAGTAAAAATAGTAAGTATATAGACAATAACAAGTATTAAAAAATACAGAAGAGAAAGGACGAGAACAAGATCAAGACTAGAACAAAGAAAACGAGACCAAGAACAACATCATGACCAAAAGCTAGAACAAAGTCAAGACCAAAACCAAGACCAACACATGAACACAAACGAAAGCAACAAGATCAGGATCAACAACAAGAGCAAGAAATTGAGACCAAGAGCAGGAACAAGAAATCAAGACCAAGATAAAAAAACAAAACATGAACACACACGAGTGAGAACAAGATCAAGACTTAGAAAACGAGACCAATAACGAGATCAAGACCAGAAACAAGAACAAGAAAAAAAGACCAAGATAAAGAATAAGAACATGAACTCAAATGAAAGCTAAGAACAAGAACACAAAAAAGACCAAGAGAATGAGACCAATAACGAGATCAAGACCAGAAACAAGAACAAGAAAAAAAGACCAAGACCAAGATAAAGAATAAGAACATGAATGAAAGCAAGAACAAGAACACAAAAAAGAGCAAAAAATGAGACCAATAACGAGATCAAGACCAGAAACAAGAACAAGAAAAAAAGAACCAAGACCAAGAATAAGAACATGAACAAAAAAGAAAGCAAGAACACAAATAAGACCAAGAGCAAGAGCAAGAGCAAGAAAACGAGACTAATAACGAGATCAAGACCAAAAGCAAGAACAAGAACACAAATAAGAAGACTAAGACCAAGAAAATTATGTGTTAGCATCATATATTTTTTTGCTAATAGTTAGCATCATATTTTGATAGTAATCTGTAGTAAGATAACTTATAGGATGTGTAGAGCATGCCGTTGATTCAGTAATGTCGGATCCTTGCATGGTGTTATTGCGGCTCAAGTCATTGAAGTGATCGAAACTGGAGACTCATTCATATTAAACTTAGTTTCATCTTAATTTTTTCCTATCATATCTCGCAATCTAAAATGATTGATTATATTTTGCAATGAATTAAGGAATGAGCCATGAAAACTAAAGGATGATACTGTGAAAAAATTGTGAGCTATTTCATGATGTAGAAATAAATAAACAATAACAACCGAATTTAGTAAGCAAGGTTGATTATATCATACATTCGGTTTAAATTTGAATAAAGACTAAAATTTTTAAAATATATTATTTATACTTAATTAAATATTTGTTGTATAAGAAAATTATAGAGTTTAATTTAGTATTCATATAATATTTTTGTTAAAATAACTAAAAAAGATTAGTTAAATTAAGCGGCTCAATATTATTTAAGTAATATATTTACTCATCACTTTTAGATACGCGACCTGAATCTGAATTACATTAAATGAAAAAAAATTTTAAAATATATTTAATAGACTATGTCATAAGCTAAAAGTAATAGTTTGTAAAAAAATAAAATTTTATAATAGCTAAGTATAAATTCTACAATTTTTATAGGACTAAACATTTAATTAAACTTTTTATTTATTATAAGATAATTTTTAATAAATTTGTTAATCTCTTTACACTTTAAACAAAATTAATTGTTAGTAAATTATTTTATTTAATGATTAATTAGAACTGATTTGAAAAAAAAAAACAGCTAGCAAAGTGTGATTTAACCTTATAATTTCAATAATATAATAATTTTTATGCTGTGAATCAATTAAAACAGATTTAAAATATATTATTTTTATATTAATTATATATAAAAAAATAATTCTGATACGTTATTCTATAATTAAATAATATTATTCTATAAATATTTATATATTTTTTTACTTAAATATAATGAATGAATTTATTATTGAAATTTTTTTACATACACAAAAATTTGAACTTAAATGATACCAAACTTCTTACTACTTGAATCAATTTTTATTAATAAAATATTTATATATTTAATATATTAAAGCTTAATTCTTAAATATATTGTGATAATGTTTTTAACGTATTGTCAAGATTCTATTAGTTATGCCTAACATCATTTTTGTGTTTTTGTCGACCATGATTTAGTAGCAACGAAATGAAATCATAAGAATGATTGAATCTAGGGTGTTCATGGATTAAATTTCCAAAAAACCAATCTAGATCCATTTAAAATCTAATCCATGAATTTTAAATCAATTCATTTTAATTTTTTTAAAATCGGTTTAAATTTAGTTTTAAAATTTTGATTTGGATTAAAATTGGTTTAAAATCTAATAAAAATATATTATAAATTTTTTTATATTAAAAATATTTAAATTTTATAATAACTAATATAAAATTATATTTATATATATTTTAATTTATTAATAATATAATTTTTTATTATTTTTATATTATATTAAACTAATAAATATTTATATATATTCTACTTTTTATCATCTATCTACCATACAAATTAAATTTTAAATTATTTTATTTTATTTTTTTAATTAATTTAAAAGTAATTTTAAAATTTGAATTTAATTTAAAATTAATTTAAAATTTAATTTTTAAGGTAATACTAATTTTTAATACATTTGTGAATTTAGTTTTTAAAGTAAAACTAATTTGTTGCTTACACGGTTGAATTAAATTAATGCATTTTAAGAATATTTTAATAATATTTATTAATTATATTATATTTTATAGAAATTTATAAAATATTTATACTTATTTTTAATAAACAGAGTTGATGATAAAAATTTAAATTAAAACCTATAAAAATAAAGATTAATAATATAAATGATGATAAAATTATTATGTTATAATATTTTAAAAAATAAATATAAATATAATAATAGTAATTAATTTAAAAATATTTATTATATTTTAATATCTTTAATATAATAATTATATTTTAAATTTTGTTGGCAAAATACATATAATTAGAGATTTGTGTACCTATAATGTTACGAATAAGCTGCAGTTCAATATTAAAGCTTTGTACTATATTGGATAGTTAGAAATAAAAAAATCTTTTTAGTTCCAAAATATTCAGTCATGATAATGGTCAAATCTTAATAAATTTTTTTATATAACTTTACACCTATTACAAGTAAGAATTAACAAAGGTAAGGGAAAGAGAATAAAAAAAAATAAAATTAAAGAAATTCAACGTACTTGCGATATTAGTTGTCAGATTTAAAATAAAAAAAAAGGAAAAAAATCAGTTTTCATGGATTACATATTCAAAATTTTTTTTATTATGAATTAGACGCCTCATTTTATTAAAATTCTAAAATTTTAAATCTGGTTAGATTAAATTATGAATTAGATTTCTAAATTTGAATTTTTTTTTACCCCTAATTGAATCTTTTCAAAGTCGGCGCATTATTATTATTTTTTCTTTTAAAATTTAAAATGTACGACAGTTACAAGTCCTGAAACAGTACCCTCCCGAATCCAACCCGACCCAATTTCGGGACAGTTTTACCGGGCGCTCTCCCTCCTGACCCGAGGGGGAAACGGGTGCACATGAACGCGTTGCATTGGAGGGCCATTCAAGTACCGGCGATGAAGAAGAGAAAAAGATCCCCAAAACAGGTGGCGCCACCTCCCTCGACGCCTCCATCGCCCCAAACCCAAACCCGCCACTCTCTCAACGCCACCAAATCATGGGCCTGGGCCCCTCTCAACCTGGCCCAGCAAGAACTCTCCCTGCCCCTCACCTTCCCCACGGGCCAAACCTTCCGTTGGAAAAACACCGCCCCTCTACAATACACCGGCGTCGTTGGGCCCCACCTTTTATCCCTCAAAAACCTCCAAAACGGCGACGTTTGCTACTGCCTTCACTCCCACTCCCACTCAGACGACGCCGTAACGGCCCTCCTTGATTTTCTAAACGCCAACGTTTCCCTCGCCGACACGTGGAAGGTTTTCTCCGCTTCCGATGCCAGGTTCGCCGAGCTCGCGCGCCACTTGGGTGGCGCCAGGGTGCTCCGGCAAGACCCTTTCGAGTGCCTTATTCAGTTTCTGTGTTCTTCCAATAACAACATTGCAAGGATCACCAAAATGGTCGATTACGTTTCGTCCTTGGGAACTTACGTTGGCCACGTTGGAGGCTATCAGTTCCACGCTTTCCCCAATTTGGAACAACTTTCATTGGTCTCTGAGCAACAACTCAGAAACGCTGGTTTTGGTTACAGGTTAATCGCATTCAGATAACCAGAATTACTCTGAGATATTATATTAGGTTTTTGAATGTGATTATCATTGTTCTTCTGTTGTTGCTAGGGCTAAATACATAATTGGCACGGTAAAGGCTTTGCAATCAAAACCTGGTGGAGGGGAAGAGTGGCTTCGGTCTCTTCGTAAATTGGATCTTGAAGATGTTATATCTGCACTTTCTACGTTACCTGGTGTGGGTCCTAAAGTGGCTGCTTGCATTGCTCTTTTCTCACTTGATCAACACCATGCCATTCCTGTTGACACTCACGTGTGGCAGGTAATTAACCCTTTGCCTTCAACAACGAGTGCTTCAAGTTGAAACTCGTCTCCATGTTATCACCATCAAGCTATTTTTTTTTTCTTTGCTAAACATTGTTGCTCCTGCGGCAAGCTTATCAACATAATCCATTATTGTGATGGAGTTTGGTGTTAAAATGTATAATGAAAGAGAATGTATTTGGATATATCATATATTCTAGATAAGATAGGAAGGCAAAGATGAAAGCAAATGAATGGATTTAGATTACCATTTAGTTGGAAATAAAATATATCTATAAATTTCATTGTGGCTTTAGGAGAATTCTTGATCCTCCTGTTTGTAGTTTCTACTTTCTTAATTGATTTCTTCTATACAAAAAATTATCATTTATGCTTTAATGACTGTTACATCATGTAGAATGTTCTGATTCAATTTCTCTTATTCTATACTGTTGAGTGTTAATTTGTATGTGTCATTTTGTAACTCGGGTAAGATTGCCACCAAGTATCTCTTACCTGAGCTTGCAGGTTCCCAGTTGACACCGAAGCTCTGCAATCGTGTTGCAGAGGCATTTGTAGCCAAATATGGTAAATATGCCGGCTGGGCACAAACTCTATTATTTATAGCTGAATTACCTTCACAAAAGGCCCTTCTACCTTCACATTTGTGGACTATCAAACAGCACAATCCTGCGAAGATAGAAGATGGCGAAGAAGAATTTGGTAAGAAAAGTAACTGTAGTCTTTTGATTCTTGAACTTCACCTCTCTGGCAGATATTAACTTTTTCTTTTTTCCGCTAGAGTGAGATCTACAAATGGTGTGGCTCTCAATGGACAAGGGTTAGGTGTGACATGCTGCTGTCAAGAATTCACAAGTTAGAATATGGTGATAACGGACTGCTATGTAGGTTATTCCATTATATAACTGTTGACTGCCTTGTCTGGCTTTCATTTTTCTTCTTTGCATTTTATTAGATTTGATTGATCTGTTGTAATTGATAATCAGTGTCTTTCTTCTTCATTAGAAAAGAAAAAAAGAAAGATTTATTTTTCTTGTTTCATGTTGTTTGACTTGAAATTCTGCTTTCCCTGTAAATAGATACTTCGCCTAGTTGATTATTTACTTTCATTTTAGCTCCTGCAGTTAGAAAGACCTGTCTTTTGCCTGTTTGGTTCTTATGTGCAATAAACATGTTATCTGTTTGAACATATTCTTTTGTTTAATGAACGTTTCTATGTACATATGCACTTCTTCTAGTGACATGGTGATATTAAATTTTCAAGATTTTTGACACTTCCTTTCATGTTTTTACTGAGTCATTGTATGCCTTTATCAAGAGGTAGCAAACTGATTTTTTTTTCTTTGTTATTTTTTAAGACCTATTTCAATAGGTACATTGAAAAGGGTAATATTCACACAAGCACTGGTATTGAAATTTTTTTTTTGATATGCTTAGTTCTTCATTGCAATTTGCTTTGTATATATACTATTACTGTGTTATTTTTTCTTCTTTAGCTCATAACTTATGCTCCTTTGAATTGGAATGTTGAACCTGGCCCTTCCTCTTTCTTAATTGAAATTCTGGATGACCAATGTGCTTCTAATTTATTATATTTCCTGGATGATCAAATAATAAATATATTAATGTTATAGGAGTGTTGCATGAAACCCCAACTTCAAGGTTTGGTATTGAAAGGTAATATGACTTGTTGAGTTCTTCATTGCTACTTGATTTGTTTCTAAACTATTACTTTGTGCTGCTTTTCTTTCTTTCCTTTTCTTGTTTGGCTCATAACTTCTGCTCCTTCACAATGAAGAGTGGATTTTCTTTGACACACTTTAACGGATTTTAATACCTTGATTATGATCAAATACTACATATTATAAGGTTTACAGTAGATTTTAGGGGGGATTGGTGTATGTGATACCTGAATAAAAATGTTCAATTGTAAGTAAATAAATGCTTGCATGCAGGTAGGAGACTCGAATTATATTTTAAGGTATATATAGAGTGTAAAATCCAAATTTGAAAACATGAAGAAAACAGAATTAATTATTCAAGCACAAGGCACTTATGTCATTTTTGTTTGAAAAAGTTATGCACTATAAAAAATTATCATTTAGAACACCTAAAAAGTTTTGTTTGTTTTCATACATGTTGTCTAATTTGCATCAATAACTTAAGGATGACAAGTATCATCTGCTAAGAGAATGGCTCCTTGGTCACAAGAACAATTAATGAAGATATTGAAATTCCTCACGACTAATGACAATTTGTTTGTCTCTAAGACCGCCTTTTTATATCTTGGAGAAGACATCTAAATTTGTATCTGGGAGAGAGAGATACAGGGTCACAATAACTATCTTTCCTTTAGCTATTCATCTGGGCTCTCTGCAAGTAATAAGATAACCCTTTACGCTAACCTGGAGCAGAAATGCTACAAAAAAGTATAATTGAAGATAGAGCATTCTTGTATACTCATGACGTGCTATCTTTCCCTGTAATGTGGACTGTGTCTAGAGTGATCCCTAATGGGTTTCCAGTATCTTCTTCTAGTAGAACTAGCAGGTTCCCAGTAGATTTTAGGAAGGACCTAGGTATGTGATACCTGAATAAAAATGTTCATTTATAAGTAAATAAATGTTTGCTGTGCAGGTAGTATATTTTTAGGTATATTGGCAGTGAAAATTCCAGATTTTAAAGTGTGTAGAAAATAGAAATTTATTATTCAAACACAGCTTTTATAAGCATCTCTTACTTTTGTTTGAAAATGTTATTTTATCTAAGACGATGATAATTTGAACACTGGGGAAAAAAATGTGGCATAGGAACATACCATTTCTGTGAAGGAGTTCCCTGTGGTGTGTGGAAAGACACCCAATATCGGCCAATACCTTGGCCATTAACCCAAGCAAATCCCTTTCCCATAGAACCAAGGTTCAGCACCACAGGATCATTTCCCACTGGTGCATCAAATGTGGTCTGTTGATCAGCAGGGAAATAAAATATTAGTGTACTGTAAAAGTAATGTTGAAGATAAATGGTCAGCAGTTGTGATGGTGAAGTGGTTTACACCTTAATCCTCTTTCCAATCCATAATAAGGGTAGTGACTAACTGTAGCACAAAGTAGTAGGAGAAACAACAAAAACTAAGGCCTTTTAACATATTTAGTTGGATGCCCTCCAAGATCATCTATGCTTTGTTGAAGAAGAATAATGGAACTGCAAAATTTTCTGATGATAATATACCTGATACCATGTCAGTGGTTTAGTAGAGCTTTGAAAACTTTCCCACTGAACTTTACTTGATCCACTAGCTGTATAGACTTGCAATTTTTCTCCTAACAATCCAACCTTCATTTAAAAATTTAACATCAGCAAGCAGTAGACGATATTTAATTTAAAGAATATGCAATCAGAGCTGACAGTTCAAAATCATATCTATTTCTTATGATTTGAAATTTTAAGCAGTTGATAATTATAGTATATAGGGGTCAATTAAATAAAAATTTGGTCAGAGAGTAAATGGTGTAGGAAAAGCAATATTAACTTAATTCTGAGAACTGCATTATGATGAGTATGCCAAGATGGTTTATGATTAAAGAAACATGATTGATAATTGAGATCTCATTTAACTGCAGTCTACTAAGTCAGCATCTCACAGTTTAGAGATAATCACCTGATATCCCCATGCTTGATTTGTGAAATCTCTGCCTTGAACTTTCACTCTATACAAACCAGCTACTCTGCGCTCTAGATATGCTCCTGAGTTCTTCATGCAGAACACATTTCATGTAATCCATTATAAATTATTTGGCTACCATATTGTCTGATATTTATTTCATATGATTATTAAACAGAATGTGCTTGATTCTACAAGGGCATGCCTAACAGATTGATAAGAACCTTGAGAGAACCACAATACAAAAGTTAGCTATTGTAGTTGGAGAGTTCAAGGCATAATAAGCCTCACATTAGAACCAAATACTTCTATGTGGGAGTCAAATCTCATTCTTGCAATTAGATTCTAACACAAATATTTGTTGTAAAGGAAACATCTCAAATGAAATAACCATGCATATTATGTCGTACTTCATCTTTAGAATTGACAATTATCATGGAGATCAGTTTAATATTCAACATTTATCTTTTCTAAGTAGTTTCTTTTGCTGGTTAATAATGAATAAAAATAAGACTTAATAATGGAAACAATTACCGGCAATCCGACTGTTGCACTGAGGAAAGAAATATTGTTCATCCCATTTATAAGATTGAGTTTGTTCTCCATGATGAAAGATGCATTTCTGTGACTTCCATGTGCAGAACCTAGAGTTAGAAGCATGAATAGAGCCCTAATTAACATCTCAAATTGTAGTTATGAAAAGTAAAGTAAATAAGTGATGTAGAATATACTGAAGATGAAAAGTAAAATAAGCATTATAATCTAAAAAAGATGAAAGACAGATATGGACCCAAAAAGAAAGATGAAAGAAAAATATACATTATAATTTAAATTGATACTTGTGTAATAACCAACTCTCCAACTATATTGATACTATTATTTCTATCCAACAAATGGGGATCCTCAGTGTTGAGGTTTAGAGCTTGCCTACTAAAACTCCATTGGTGAAGACATGCAAAACATGTCCTTGGCTGTATGCACTAAGAACAGATTGAGCATTAGGAGAGTTGTCATAAAACCTGTTAGAGCAAGATGTCAACACAAATCTTAGTAGAGTATAACAAACATTTTCAAGTGTAGCTAACATTAAGCACATATGTTGTTATTTTACCTGAATGTGTACCACATGTAGTCAGATCCATCTTTTGCTGTGCTGATTTGATCTAGTAGTTTATTTGCTCTTAATGAAGTATCATCAAAGTTGGGGATGGCTTCTTTGTAGACTTTCCATTTTTCAGCTGAATTGAACTCTAACTGTGATTTCATTTCTCTGGCATTGTTTTGTGTGCTTACCTATAAGAGCATAAAATATGAAGTGGCTTTTACTAGCTTCATTTTATTTATGTAACTTATTAAATTAGTACGAAGAATAATGGTCAAAGGAAGATGGCAAGAGCGAAGAAACTGCCCAATATACGCATTGTCTTTTAAAATAACTGAAATAGTATATATTGAGCATTTGATTTTTACCTTGGCGGTGTTGAAGGCTACATTCTTGCAGTCTGGTAGGATACTGATTGATTTGGGGGGTAACTGATATGGAATATTTTGAAATTGGATTGTAACAATCCGATCTTCACTATTTTCCAGGAAGGCAGCACATTCTGTTGAGCTCCTTTTGAAAATATAAGCCTGAAGATGAGGGATGGAAATTATTTATTTTGTTTAAAAGATTCAGCTTTTAGAGAGTACTTCGTAAATTTATAGATTGAAACTCAAAAGCCAGTATATTGTAAGAAATTTTTATCAACGTTTATTCGCTTCATGCTCGGTTCTCCTGTTTATACTGGTTAAAGAAAATATAACAGCTAAGGAAAATAACAGGAGTTTAGTTTTCTTACTTCTTGTTGTAAGCCCAAGCTGAACGCAGTTTTGGTTCCATAAAGTAGTGATGTTGAACATGACTTGATTGTCGCATGTAGCTCCTTTAGATGCCCCCATTTCGGTTGCCTAACCAAACCTGGTTACCCTCGCATAGTCAATCACCTAGTGTTCAATATCTACAATTTTACTTAAATGGAAAAAGGAAAAAACATACCATATTCATCCAACGGAGCTTCATCATAATAAGCCGTTGTCACGAAAGCAGAGGCTATCCTGTCCAAATTGGTTCCTCCATGGTACTGCATCAAATCGGTCACGTGACTTAATAACTCAATATTATCATATTCAGCTGCGTTGGAATACCTACTTAAATGTGAGGGAATAGAAGAGAGAACATAGACACAGTTACAGCAAGGTACTGGCAGTGTTGATACCATGTAGTAATTGACGTAGCTTCCGTTCTTTGCAATGAACAGGGCAACATTGTACGCGATGTTTTCAGCTGATCTTATGTATGGTACTCCACCGAAGACTTGGTAACTTCAAATTTTAACATGAAATGAATGACACTGTTAGCCTTATATGACGCTGTGATAACTAAATTTTTAAGAAAAATGGTTTATAAATTGGAATGAATTCCACAAGAACGTACAAACTTGTCCAATTCTCTGTCCATAGTGAAGGCTTGTTACGAGAGTTAGGCCCCATAAAAGTTTTCCCACACTGCATACCATTGCATGTGTTGATCTGCAGATTACAAACAGGACTTCATTTATAGATGTTATAAATGATCCAATGTAACGTGTGCTTATAACCGTCTTTTCTGATTTAAATAATATTACCCTTGAATGTGTACGAAGTATATTTAGTAGTGATCCAAATTCTTAATTTTTTTTGTTATATTGAACGGTCTGAATTTGTAGATCTTAGGCAAAACAATTCGTAGAGACTAACCACTGGATCAGGAGCATTATCTTGCTTGCACATTACCCAAGGCACGCCAGTTTGGAGTCCCACAGCCATTTGGGCAGACCAACGAACATAGGACAGTCCATTCTCGTGAAACGCCCCTTCAACATTGCCATATTCGTTCTCAATCTGCATGGACCATGAACCCTTTATAAATACCTCCTAAATAAACTCAAAATGGTATTTAATTGGCAAGTCAAATTGTTGATTTGCAGGTTAAACCTGAGATAGTATGATCGGTCCTCCTTGTGAAGCATAAAGACTGGCTGATTTCATCATATTGACTATTTTGGCAGTGAACCTTTGCATGTGGAACTGCCATTAATGACGTGAAGAGGAGTTAATGAATGGTCTGTTAATATTATATTTGAGTGGAAAGTATTGCATGCACAGAGTAAATTCTGTGTTTAAGGTCCAAGTAGATAGACCCAGCCCCTCAAGTATGTTTAAGATCAATTTGGATAAGATTACAATTTACAGATGAACTACCATGATTTAGTTCAAATTATAGGAGGCAAGGAAGGTGAACAAGGGTTGATACCTTGAATTGCTCATCATCAGATCTAAAAACAATTCCCGGAATATCATGTAACCATATTGGTAGACCCCTGCACCATCAAAACCGTGAGTCATTCTCTTCTAAACAACTGTAATCATTATCATATTGTTTAGTATGATCAGAGTCTTCAAAACAACTATATAATGAAAGCAAAATATGTTTAAATTTATAGTAATTTCTTTGTATTGGAAATTTTGTTAGGAAGGTCTTACCCGTAAGTGCATTCACTCTCAATGTATGGTCCAACTCGGAGGGTCGCATACAAACCCTGAGCTTGAACTTCCTTAATGAATCTCACTATATCGCGCCTTCCACTAAAGTCGTACTGCAAAGCAGGAAAGAAAATATCACAACCATCACCCTGCTTGCAAGTGCTGAGATTAAAAAACCAAATACATGACAAAAAATAGAAGAATAACATAAACTCGAAATCGAGGTCACCTGGCCTTGCTGAGGTTCGTGAAGGTTCCAAAACACGTAAGTTTGTATGACATCTAATCCCCCTTCTTTAGCTTTGGTAATCAAATTAGGCCACATCTGTTAAAATTAAGAACGAATTGCAATTCACAATCTAGAGGTGTGCCTTTCAGTCTTTTTTTCATGTTACTCTCACATACCCCTTCAAACTCACAACTAAGCTACATTTTAATCTAAGTGATTTTCAATGAGTAAATTGCTACGAGATCTGTTTAATATAAAAAAAAAAATTATACAGTTTTCTTCCATTCATAAAAACGTTGCAATTAATCTCGTTTTTGTTCTTGTCTTGCCTGATGATAGAATCACAATTGAGCATTTGAGCTTTGATGTTTTATACTAAAAGGCCATTGTTTAACCCTTTATCGCATTTGTATTTAGTACTGTAGTTGAATTGTAAGCTCATTTTGGTGCTTAACTCCATGATAGTTTAAGTCAACATGGATAAAATGATGGTGCCCCCCCGCCGCGTCAATATATAGAGCTAATCGCATAAATTTTGATTACAAAATATATATCCAAGAACGAATGGTTCAATTAATGAACATGTTTTCTTTTGGTTAACATGAAAATTGATGAATATGTTAGGACAACATTATAGAGCTAGTTATGTGTTTTTCTGAATACGTTTTTTAATAGATACTTACAATAAAAATAATTTAGTAAATGTAAAATATAAAGAAATTCTTTAGTGTTTTCATTTTTGCACAAAAATAATTATTTTTTGCATTAATATTGGAACTAAGAACAAGAGAATTTGAGAATACATAAACATATTACAAATTACGTCTCAAGAACCTAAGGGTCCAAAAGTATTAATCGATTGAAATGAATAAATTTTAAATTATATTTCTAGCATGCCTCTTAACGCAACAGTTCTTGTGGTCACAGAAGCATTTAAACAAAATGACATGAATCAATCATTTTAAAAATTTAAATTATTTGCTATAGATAGATACATGAATGGCTTGGGTCCTTATCAGGTGGTCCAACTCAGTTTTGAACCTCACACAATTCACTTTGTATAATATTTTGGTGAATTAGATGATAACTAGTGCATTAGAAACATGATATTTTACTTATATTCTTTAAAAATTAATTAAATTTACCCTATTGGTCACCGTATAATTTCTCTCTTACTCTTTTGTCCCTCTAAAAGAAATTAATTAATTTTGCCTGACCATGAGCCAATTAAACAACAAAATAATTATAGAACAACTTACTTTGAATTGGTGTCGCAAAACCTAAATCATGTAGGTTTGACTCAAACGAGATCTAGTCAAACTTCAAAAAGGCTAAAATAAAATGGGGGTGAAAGAATAGCCCACCAAAATGTCAAACAATACGATTAATTTTTTGTATTTAATAAAATATATATAGTATAAATAATTTAGTAACACACTCGCGAAACTATCATACACGTTTCCTTCTATAATATTTTTTGGAGCACCCTTGTTGTCTGATTAATTATATTTATTTGGTTCATATAATTAAAAAGTCAAGCAATATATAATAAAAAAAATGAACTCTCTCTCAAGGTTCGCCCCATGTGAACTGAAATCTACACATAACATACAATAAATGCCATTACAGAAAAAACAATGATAAAATAAAAGACTTAGAAGACCATGCAAATTACTCATATTATAATAGCTCTGCCAAAACAACTTGTCCTGTCATTATGCCAAGAGTTTTGACGTGTAAGTAGGTTCATGACATTTTTAAGTCTTATATTTCTTCACGTATCTTTTATTTTTTTTATCCTATTATCTATTTTTTTATCATATTATCTATTTTACTTTTTTTTTACACTCATTATGTCTCTCGCTATCAATTTATTTGACACTCTAGGAGTATCTCTTACACAAAACTATTTTATTCAAGTTTAAAAATTCGTAATATGATAAACTTATTTTTTTATTTAGCTTTTTTTTACCAGGTTAAATGTTGAAACCTTTACATATTTGACATTTTATAATAGAATAAAAATATTAATTAAAATTAGTAATTTATTTTAGTAATTTGTGATAATATTAAATAAAAATATTTTATTAAAGTAAAGTTTTATTTTTAATTATAAAATAACACTGAAAGCACCTAAAAATGACATAAATTTTATCTGTTATAATAAAAATTAAAATTTTATTTTAATAATCTATAATAATATTAAAAACAAATATTTTATTAAAATAAAGGACCATTTTGAATTAGCAAACAATATTAGAAGTATATATCTAAAAAAACATCACACAAATTTCATCTTTTATAATTCGTAAAAAACAAAAATAATGTGAACTAACCATCGTTGTTGCAAAAATTAACCGTGTCAATGCTAAGTTGTTCAGAGTATTTTGAAAAATGGAGCATTGTTCCATATTTCTTACCTAACAAGGACAACGAGGATAAAATGACTCGTCTCTCTCTCTCTCTCTCTCTTCTTATGTTTCTAAGACATTATCGGTTTTGTTCTCAACCCCAGAAACATAAACAACATAAAACATGGCATAAAATGAACTTAAGTTCAACAAAAGTAAACATGAAAAATGTATAAAAGATAACATCACATAACATACGAAGAGGACAAATTAAGAAGAAAAGAAAGGACGATGAGTAATGAAGATACCTCAGGAGTGCTACGAGGATAGTGAATTGAACCGGAGAAGAGGATTCTATGTTGGCCATCAATGATTAAGGATCTTCCGTCGTAGGTGACATTGCCACCATTGACGGAGCCAAGGGACGCCGTTAAAATGAGTGCAAGGAAAGAACAGCAGCACCACTCCCCCAACAGCAACACCATTATATTTCACTTCCAATGGTAATGCTTGTCTCAGCAAAGAGTATAAATGCTGAAGTGGATGCGTCTCCCTCTCCTTCTCTTTCACTCTTCAGTGTATATATATATATATGTTTATGTATTTGGAGCTGTAAGAGTCATTTGTGTTGACTTGGTTCTCTCCTGGGGCTACCTACAAATAACTATATATACAAATGGCAAGGATCGAATTAAATCATGTAAGTATATATTTATACTCATAGTGAAGTTAAATTCTTTATTTTTCAAAATAATAACTTATAAATTTATAAAATTATTAAAATAAATAAAATTGGTTCGTACACAAATGGTTAGTTGGCAGCAACAGAAAGTACGGTGATTAATCGTCCAAATTCATTTATGGGAAAATTAGTTAGTTGTGGTATGTAGCATCTTTAGTAACCGAAAGTGTCAGAAAAAGTAGTTCGTTACTCTAAGTAACTTTATTTTTCAGTACTCTATTTTTATAGATTCTATTGCGTCATTACACTAAGGAGAAAAAAGGAAATGTGATAAGGATGTTAATTCATTTCGTCAAGAAAAAAGATAAGAACATATAACATTCATTATTCTATTAATTTGAATGCATTATTGTTTTGGTAATTTAATTTTGAAATAAGAATTGTAAGGTACTAAAATGAGTGAATATATTTAATAAGTGAATATATTTAAAAAAATTACTTTCATAAATTTTGAAGTATTACCAAAATGAGGATGTTGTTTGCATGATTTGATCCAAGTTATTGCAACGTTAATATTAATATATTTATATATGACAACCATTGCGTGACGATAACAAAATAGCTAATTATAATGCGAGTATTTGATCCCCACAAGAATTTCTTACCTTGTTTTTTCCTGAACTGCGTTGGCAAAAAAATAATGTTATTGTATTGATTCTTCAAATATTTCATAAAATAAATATATTTAATAATTTTAAAATATAAATAATATTTAAATACTCGGACTAGATGAATTAAACATTCGAAAAGAAAAATTTTGCCCATTGCCCATTGCCCATTGCAGTAATTATACCCGACTCAAACATAATTGACTAAAAGATACTTGTTCTATAAAAAAATACGTCAACAAAAAAAATTAATGTTTTTTTTATTTTATCCTTCCATTTCAAGGGTATTAAAATTTCTTTCCCTTTTGATGTCACTAATCTTCTGGGTTAACTCACTTTTTAATGATAAAAGGAACATTATTGTACAAGCATTAAGATGTTATAATACCTGAATAAAACTAGGAAAAATCTCTATAAATTTATGGCGCAGAGCATATCTAAGATTTTCAATTTTCCCAATAATTTATATTGATTGCTAGTAACGTTTGACTTGCCAGTGTGAGAGGGATACTTTTCTATTGCGTAAATGAGGTTCCCCCTTCTTTGTCAAATGTTCATGTTAGTGCACAAGGAAGATTCTTACACTTAACCTCACCAGTCACCAACACTATATCTATATATATATATATATGATATTGATAGGGAGTGAGGTTTTGATATTTCCTTCCCCTTTTATTTCTAGCTTAATTTTGTTTTTCATATTGTCGAAGGGCAAGTAATGAATTTTATTTCCTGAAAATGGTAATTAAGACTAATAATTTTCAATGTTGCTGAGGCGAGATCTCTTAACACGGCACAGAAGCCTCCCTGTTTTGTGGTGCAAAACGTGACGTTTCCACAGCCACCAATCTCCATCAACCCTAATTGTATAACATAAAACCAAATATTAATATCGAAGGAAACGCCACACTGACTAGAGGCTTTGATCGAGTACCAAAAAATTAAGAGCAATGTTAATAATAACATATACTTTTAACTTACATTATATAATTAGCTTTATTTTTAAAACAAAAATGTGTGTTAAAAAAAATAAAGCAATGGAGGGCCCAAAAAAAATCTTAAAATATGATTTACTAAAATTTCTCAAAAAGTAATAAAGTGGGACAGAGTTCACCTAAAATGAAGTAAGAACTTGTCTTTAAAATGGGCTAATAGTGTTTTATGCATTGTTGATTTAATTCAAAATGCATCCCAAATTCAATTAACTAAAGACATGTTTGAGTAATTAATTAAATTATATTTGTATTGAATAAACTCTTATTAAATGAAAGTTCATAAGTTTACTGTGAAATTTATTAAAATAAGTCATAACAACCTAATTTTAAACGTGCATTAATGATATCTCCAATTAATAAGTGAAGAAATTATTATAGTGGGTACTTTTTAAAATAAATAAATTTTCAATCATATATGTAGAGAGATCGAACTTAATTAACATATTTGAAGGACCAAATTAATAAACTATAATATATCTCTGTAGTTAAAAAGGATTTATTTTGATAAGTTTTTCCATGAATTATTTAAAATAAATTAAAAATATAAAAATATCATAAACTGCTAAATAAACTTTATAAAAATTCTTTCAAAAAGAAGCCTTTCGTTATGGGACTAACAAGAAAAAGAGCAACACTAAGAAAGAAAGTCGAGGTGTATAAATTGCTGGAAAAGAAAAGGGTGATGACAGTTTAATGAAGAGAAAAGCATTAGTTTGAAACTATCGATCGAAATCTCAGCAAGTGTTTATATCCAATATAAACTACCCCTTCCTAACAACAAATATATACCTATCTTTTTATTTCACATAACTTGCACCAGACTCCTGACAATGTGATCAGAAACGGAAAAACATCTGTATATTCGAATTGTCAATATTGCATTATAATTTAAATAACATTGAATTTTATGCCTTACACACAGAATTTTGACCTCCGCCAGATGGACAGCAAGTGGAAAAAAATCAATCAAAATAAACAAGGAATTATCTATTAATTTTTAAATCACCTTTCCAGATCTGGTCAAGTAAAATGTTTACTAATTATACTAGTTTATATATATAATTGAGAATAAACAAACTATAAGATCATTTGAATAATCAAAAAGAAATGTTAACAGTCCTTCGCATCAACTACTAAATAATATACTTTTCATTTGCCATTTTCACCACCGGGCTGTTGAAGGCAAATACAATTTAGTATTATGAATTATTATCCCTGTACAGTGAAAAGTATGAGGAGGAAACGTGGCTATACACATTGATGTATCATTTACAGGGTCCGAGTCCAAGGGGCCAAGAATATTCCCATGTTAACCTATACTGGGTTTGAAATTGAGAGCACTTCATGAAACATCTCCACCATTAGCTCCCTATCAGCATGCTGGAAAAAGTTACTTTGTTCATCCTCTTTAATATCATATATCTTACCAAATTCAAATAAGTACGTCAAACATCCTTTCTTTAACTTGTGTAATTGATAAAACCAAGCCTCATTTAGCATCTCGAGAACATTTCCAGAGTTGAGATCTTCCAGGAGGCTTTCCTCACAGAAATCCTTGAGACCACCAATATCATATTTGTTTGCCGCTCCAAGCAATGCAAGCCGGTGTTTCAAGAAATCTTCTTGTTTGATTGTTCCATACAAGTAAGTTAGAAGAGCCATGCATGATTCAAGTGACATGTCTTCTATATGGATTGTAGAAGACTCTTTTTCCTTCAGGTTGTGATGAAACATGCTCTGAAACACTGGAGAACTTGCGGACAGAACTGCCTTGTGAGCTTTCAATGTACCATCTGCAGTGATAATGGTTAGGTCAGCATGTATGGCCTCATCAAGCATGCGAGAGAGGCAACGAAGAGTACTATTTCGAGATGCAATGGATTGAAAATTTCCTTCAGATGGCAATATAGAACTGGCCTCACCCTGAGTTCAAAAGAAATGATCAAAGGTTAAGTGGCGACAATCTGTAACTAGTTCAGAGATCTAGGGACAAATTTAGTCTATAGATAATGCAATGTGCTAAGCAAGTAACTCAAACCGACTTCATCTTCCAGAATAGTCACTGTAGTTTATATACTTCCTAAATGGTTAGATAATGAAATGGAAGCTAGTATATTTCTCAAAATTATATATAATAATTTAGTACATCAAGATCATATATTATAAAAAAAATAAAATCAGGTACAGGAACTCACATTAAGAGGGCATATCTTCAGGTCTAGGAACTCAACATCAATGATGAAGCGACCAACAAAAGTAGTATCCACAGGCCAGACGAAGTCGTCATGCGTTCTAAGCACCCTTTCTTGAACTACAGCATTTCAAGAAAAAGCAAAATGAAGGTACTACCTGTGTGAGCATTCCTTTAACTAATCTTGAAACTGCTACAGGTAATTCCAATTTCAAAAAACTTATTCATGAATTTGAGTTGTAAATAGCAGTATGAAATTATCCCTATTTCTTCTAGGCAAAAAAAAGTGGTGCAGAGTAAGGAAGACAGGCAACCAGGCTCAGAACATCAAGAATAAATAAGTAAAAGGCCTTAAGCCCTTGATGGCATTGTTACTTAGAATCTGCTTATAAGCAACTTATTTCAATAAGTTTCATTGTTAAATTTACAGCATAAGTTATCATTTAATAAGAATTTATTGAATTAACACTTAATTAAACTGTATCCAGTCTTACCATAATAGCAAACTCAAAGCATGCTGATCACGTAAGTAATTTATCTACCTTTCTTAAAACAATTTTTCAAACCTGTACATCGTTGAATGTGATAAGAAGTTGTATACAGTAAATTTTTATTAAAAATTATAAAATTCAATGCATTAATATTAATGCTATAATTTTCAATAAAACTTTATTGTTTATTGATTTCTAACCATGTGCAATGGTAACCAAGTTAGAAAAATCGTTCTTAAAATCATAGTGTGATTTCCCTAATTTGACGGAATACTCACAAGCTTTCACCATTGATAAAACCATTTCCCAAAAGGCAAAACACACTTTTTAAAAAAAAAAAACTTATCCCTTTTAAAAGGAAGATAGCACGTTAAAGAGTGAAAATAGAATGATATAACAAGTAAGCTTAAAAAGTTAAAGCTAAAGAGAAGGTGTTGATGCAATGATGCATATAAAAATACCAGGAGAAATACGAAAGCTGCGGGAAGAACCGGCATTGGAGACACGAAGAATGAATCGGGCAAGGGGTGGATGATCCTTAGAAACCCGGGAAGGTTCTGGGAAAAGATGTATGTAAAGATACCTATGGCTATTCCTCACTATTGAAAAGTACCTGTTTGATGATTGGTTAAGAAGGTAAATAACAGAATGAATGAATTGAAACATTGAATTGAAATAGAAATATTGAATAAATGAATAGTGAACGCACCAGTTCCAGATTCCGACCTTGAATGGTTCAGATTTTTTGTAAGAAGAAGATCCGAAGCTGTCAATTTTCCATTGGGCTAATCTGGCAAGCGTTTCCACCCTATCCCCCATTCTCGATGATATTCACAACAACGTTGGACTCTGTCTATGCCATCTTGACTTCCCACTTCTTCCCCTGTTTCTTATCTTATGTATCTGAACACAACTCAGAACAAATTCACCGTCATTCGTTCCCTGTTCAGTTAGAATTTGAAGCGTTCAATATAATTAAGACCTTTTTATTTTAATATTTTTAAAATATTTATGGTGTTTAATTATTTCTTAATTTAATTTCTATAGTATACTGTAACTGTATCATAGTTAATAATCTTTAGGATTAGCCATATTTTTCTGTAAATATTATGTCAGTTAATTGTGTCTTATTTGTTTTTCTCATGATTCTATTTAACATTTGGCATGCATTATTTAATTAAGATAATATCATGTAACTTAAATATGTTAAGTTTATTATATATAAAAATAAAATTTTGTCGTTTAGCCATATGTTATGTATTTTTTAAAAGATATTTAGTTTTTATTTAAAATATTTATAAATTTTAAATTTTTTAGTTAAATAAAATATAAATCTTGAACATTAATTTTGAAAATTAAAACATATAAATTATGTTAATTTTAAATTTTTATTATTTTTAAGTAATAATTTAAATTTAAATTTTTTAAATTTTAACTACTCATATATAATTGTACAATTTAACTTTAAAATTTTCACTTTTATATAAATCATCGAAATTTATATGAAGTCAAATATTGTTTCGTCCACTTAATCTTCTTCTTTTTTTCATAATATCTCTGTTAGTGTGATTTATTTTGTAGTTTTTAATTTTATTTATTATCTTTGAGCTTTTATATTTATTTTTTTACTTTAAGGTAGAATGACAATATTTTTTAAAATAAAAATAATATTTTCATAATTTAAAAATGAGATCAAATTTTATTTTTTAATTTAAAAAAGCATGCATTACTCAAATTTGTAATAATCTTGTGACAGAAAAAAAATGTAATAATATCTTAGTACAAAGACATAAATATACAATTTCGATTTAAATTAGATTTCATTTGTTAAAGCAAAATTCTCTAGGACACTATAAATGAAAAATTCAGCTAACTTTAAAATAGTGACAAGGTCTTCAACCTGTCAATAAACAGAAAAATAACAGTAACATTTTTTTTCCACATTTTTTTATTGTTTAATAAATTTTACAGAAGTTTCATTAAAAAAGAATAAACTCAAACTGTTTGATAAAATTTAAATAAAATGTATGGAATGGTAGAAAAAGAAATGCACATATACAAAAGGGTGCGTTGTATTTATCGAAAGAAAATTGGTGGGTACTTTGTAAGCAAAGTAATATAGTTGATGGCGTCCAGCGTAAAAGCATATTTCTTGCTCTCCCGTTTTTCTTTATCAAAAGTGAGGCATTGGTACCTTTTGAAAAGGTAAATGCACCCACCACTAGCTATCAATTCATTTCACTTCAATTCTATGCCCAACAATGTAAGTATTACCTTAAGAAAAAAAATATAATTTTAGAGTATTAACTTTGGAACTGGAATCTTAACAATGTTTATAATAGTCATAATAATGCACTTAAGTCTTAACTTAATTGTACAAGTACTACTGTTTAAAACATAATTTGACTACTTTACTTTTATGTTTTATTCAATAGTTGTGATTTTATTTTTTTAGCTTTTACTTGCATTACCATTGTTGTTCTGTGTTAGTCAGATCTCCACTAATTAGATAGGTGACCTTTGCTTAACGAGATGGATTTGCTTGTTTCACCTTTGCATGAAGATATGGGGTCGAGGGGATTTCCCTTGCTGCGAGGAATGGAGGATAATAATTTAGCTCTTGTTTAAATTAACTAATTTTTATAATCTGTAAATAAAAAATTACGGGTGTAAACAACTTGACTTATTTGATCATATTCCCCTTATTAAATTGGCCCAAATAAATTATTTAAATATTATCTGATTGAGCGTATTTTGAAGTATTTATCCAAATAGGATTTTATATTAAAATTTATAACGATATAGTTTATTTACAAATTTTACTAAAATAAACACACATTTACTTTATTATATAAATAGAGGCATAGAACTTTACCAAATAATGGGCCAATGGAGAACAAAAGCCGAAGCAAAATTTGGAAACTGGCCGAGGAAAAGACTACAAAGTCCATGGTTTATACCCACCCAAGTTAAAACAGGCCTACGCACCATGCAGCTCAACCTGATTTGAGTATCTAAACACATTAAGTTTTTAGTAAAAAATATATATATTTATTATACTTTTATATTTTCGAAATAATAATTTTTTATAATTTTATTTATAACATTATCTTTCTTTTTATACCATGGTTTAAAGAAATTAAATTTTGAAAATAATTTTTAGAGTTTAATTAAAAAATAATACATTTCAATTTTTTTTAAACATAAGAGGCGGCATAATTAATATATATATATATATAAATAAATAATTATAACAAAGGCTTTGTTATAAAATATCATGAATGTATTCATGTTATCCTATTTTAAAATGAAAAATGAAATCAGAAAAATGAAAATTTAACACACAAAAAATATTTTTTTAATTATAATTTTTTTGCATGTACACACTTTAAAATATATTAACAAAGTTGAAAATTATTTCAATTTAACATAAGATCTCGAGTTCAAGTTACGATGAATTCATTAAATATTTTGTCTCGTTGAGGATGGTGGTGATCTAGAAAAAAAAAATAGTAATAATGGCATTAATTAGCACTGACCAAACTCCTGCATCGTTCATCTTCCTGCGAGTAGCTGTGGCCCTTGTATTCTCCCAGTGTAGTGATTCCACATTATGGCAACTTTAGGGACTGTGCTTGTACTAGGATTAGAAGAAAGTTTGAATTTACTTTTGCTGTGTTTGCATCTTCGTATTTCTCTTTGGAGTTGGTATATGAAATCTCTTAGGATTCAATGTTGTCTTTATTTTCGATTTTCGTGCATTGGCGTAAGGTGGAAAGTGGAAACTTGAATGGTTTGTTGATTAATTTTCCTATACTGCAGTTGCGATCAGTGTTGTTTTACTTGTTCGTGAATGTAAGAAATCTGCAGTGTCTATTTTAAGTCGACGTTTTCATTAGGTGGAGAGGGTGCCATAAAGAGAAGAGAGAAAAGTAATATAGATAGGATGACTGATGCGATATGATGAGAAGAGACTGAGAAAGATAGAAGGGATAAATGAGTATTGACCTTGCTGGAGTTTTAAAAATAAGAATTCTTAAGTTACCACTTACAAAACAGGGAATAGTGCATGAGCAGCAGGAATTCGACAGTCTGACGTTTGACCTTTCAGTTTGTTGTCACTGTTACTTATGTTTATTACATTTACGCTAAATGATCCTGTAGTATGATTCCTATTCAATATGTTTAATGGCAGCCTCTTCAATGTCGCATTTTTAACAACTTTTTGAGCGTAGAGGATTTTATGATCTTAGGTGCCAAATTATTCCTGAAACTTTTTTAAATTCCCAATAAAGGATTAATGTTTCAAACGACACTGATTCGACATATGAATCCAATCCAGTCCAATTCCCTTAATCCAGTTGCATAAAGCATAATAAAAAGATAATTCCGAAACACGAACCAAAATCAATCTCATCAGTCCATTATTATACATACATATCAATATACAAATTCTGACCTTATTTCGGACTTATGGAATATTTACAAATGAACCAGTTCTATCCTTAAGCTTCGTTCAACCAGGTACAAAATAATCCATTTTCTAAGCTTCGTTCAACCAGGTACAAAATAATCCATTTTCTCCACTGGCAGATTCAAAACAGATGTCTCCACCTATACAAAAAGGGAAAAGAATTAAGGAGCATTCAGATTTCAAAGAGAACGTAGTGTGATTACTGATTAGAGCCTCAATAGGAAGCATTAAAACAAATAATCTCTTTTTAATATTCGGTTGTTGGCCTTTCGAATGGTATTATCACTCGTGTTAAAGTGTTCACATGCTTCTCTATAAACAAGAGAAAAAAAAGTAATTTTAAAAAGTTTACTGCTCAATTTAGTTGCCGAAGCCTGAAAGCTAATATAGAGAGACAAATGTGAGACAAAAATGCACCTCTTCAAATGGAACAAAGACAAAAGGAGTCATGCCCCTCTTATGTGAGATTGCTGGGACATCTGGATTGTGTGTTTCATCATCCTGCCATCCTTCAACAACTCCAAGAATATCCTCCTCAGGTGCACTTGCCTCGCTACTGTTTACACCACTAGTGACAAGTGACATCAAATCCATCCGATTGTTAGCCCCTGAAGTCGTTCCTCTTACCCTATACCACAATTAGATCCACCGAAGCATAGTGCAAATCAGTGCAAGTGTTAAAGCATTACAAGAAGCCTCAGAAATAGAACATTATCGTCAACAAACACAATAATAGTTATTCCTAAATCAAACTACTCTGCTCAACTAATCCTTGTCCAAGCACAACTTTCTCCATCTTTTTTGCTTTTGGTCTCTTCACAAGCATAAACAATGATGCCTTCGAATACCATTCTGAAAAGGATATTCCTACTCTTTCTAGTTTTTTTATTTATTTATTTGGCATGATGGAGGGGACGAATTGTTTTACAAAGCATCAATTGGATATTGGTGAACCCCAAATCAAAACAAAACAAAACAACCATTAATTTTTCATAGTGAAATCATTTCTCTGAATTGAACATCTCATCTTCAATTTGTTGAATATAATTTTGATGAATATTTGATCTATTTTCTTAGTTAGCATGAGTATAGTAGCACATAAAATCCCAACCTAACAGGGAATGAATGATTTCCTTTCTTCCTGATGTTAGCTTAAATTTTCAACAAGACATAATAATCAGGAAAACTTGTCAAATACCTTAAGCGTATCCTCAAAACAGTTGGTCGCAGGCCTGGATACAAGACTGCAGCTTCAACCTGCAATGTAGTATCAATTGCAAATGCTTCAACATCCTTATAACGAAATAGAAATGTTATGCAATAACTTTCCTTGAAAGAAAATGTCTACTCAGATCTGCAAATAATGAAGATTAAAAAGGATAAAAGGAAACACATAAGAAGCAAGAAAATCCCAATTACATAATTTGATCAAAATTAGAACACAACCTTGTCATCTGACAATGTGTAGTGGCCTCCAAAAACGCAGTCTGCTTTAGATGATCGAAAGTTCATATACTTCACCACATCCTTGATCTTTTGAGAAGAATTCTACATAACACAAATTAATATTCATATAATCAGGTAAAGGAAAACATAAATTTTAAACGGACATGGACAACAGCACCAGATTATAACCTTGTAAAGGAATCGCCCAGAAGGAAAAAATCTCATGTACCGGAAATAGCAGACCTGCAGAAAATGGAGAAAACTATATATAAAAAACAAGTGAAAGAATGAAAAACTAAACAAGATTTACTTACACCTTGCGGATACAATGTAATCATTCAAATACTGAAACTGTAGAACAAATATATATAAAACCCACATTCTTATATGACATTAAATGGGTCCAGAATTATACTGCAGGATTTAAGAGTTGTACTTTCATTTTCAGTATATTGCATTTAAAAACTTACAAAGCAAGGTTTGTCATACGACAACATTAATCTCCCATATTTTTCATAGGTATATAAAGTCACATACAACTTTACCGTGCCAAGCAATTAGTGTTTCTAACTTTCAACAACACTAAACATTACAAACTGATGAAGCTAGATTTTAAGCAAGGAAGACTAAGGGCTGTGTAGTTTGTTTTCTGTTTTTGCTTTTAGTTGATGTTTTTTTTTTTCATTTATAATGACAAAAATGTCATCTTGATTTTATTTTACCTTCAAGTTTTAGTGAAGGAACTTAGGAATAACATACAGAATGGAAACATGGTAACATTTTTCTAGTTACTAATGAATACGTATGTACCAAAAATGAAAACAAAGCAAATACGCTCTGAAACTACTTTCAATTTGATTACAACTATGCATGCTATGGGTATCTTATTCTCAAACAATGATATTGATAAATAGTTGACAAAAAAAAACTAGTTAATTGCATGCTATTTAATGGCATGATAACCAAAAATTAACAAAAGAAAAAAACAGTATGTTAATTGCCTAGCAATAAAAGTAGATATTGATGCATACCACATGAACTGGATTAGTGATTTTCCACTCTGCAACTCCTGCTCGAATGTAGGTATTTCTACTCACATAAAGACCTGTGATGTAGGAGCAAAGTAAGACAAAAGAATGGGAAAATAATGTGCATCTCTTTTAGCTTGACATTAAAGCACTTTAATGTTATTATTTTCTTTTCTTTTTTTGGCATTTTGAAGTGGACGAAAGGGAGGATCATTTAATCAATATGAGTGTTAAGATGTCCCATGTTAGCTAAAAATATAGTCAGATCCCCATAAGACTTGGACAATCCTTCTCCCTTTAGTTAGTTTTTCAATCAAGTCCAATCCATTTCTAATAATCATAATATCAACTTTAAATATGATACCTTTTCGTACAGAAATTTAAATTAGAATTAAAAAATTAACTATTGCATATTGTCAATCAATATGAGGAGCAGGAAATAAAGATATACAATAAGAATGGCTGCTCTTACCATCAGTTCGCAACCTTGGTCGTAGCAACCACATTTTCCGCCATGAGCCATCATATTTTGATTGAAGTATCTTATAGTTTTCTACAACCCCAGACAGCTTCATAAAGGAGGTTCTATAATCAGAAATATGATTTATATGCAGTAAAAGTTCCACATTCAAAACCTTTATTAAGTTTACCTGCCAAGCCTTCAAGCATGCATTGCGCCAAAATACAGGGTTACGAATTGTGTATCTCCATTTTCGACATACGCATGATGCCTTTCCCAAGTCATACGGAGTCATTCGAGCAAAGACCTACAAAATATATTGAATCTCTTACAGCTTGTTCTTGAATACAACAATAGACCTCTCTGCATATGAATTTTCAAGTATCTAATTTTTCAAAAATCAGTAAAAAGGATTTTAAAAAGATTATAAGCTACAAACAAGTGAAAGACTTAAGTTATTCATATTCTGGTTCTTATTTTACGAACAGCTTCTGCCCTCAAAGCTGTAGGACCAAAGACAATGCCAAAACTAATATCAAGTTAGTTTTCAATAGTGTGTGTGTGTGTGTGTGTGAGAGAGAGAGAGAGGGGGGGGGGGGGTAATTACAAGAATGTAAAAATAGCCTCTCAAGTTTCCAGTCTAGAGAGAGAATACTTGTTATCATGTTCTAAAATAGTTTCATATGCATGACCACTGTCCCACACCAAATATTTTCGATTACAAGTGAATGATCTGACGTAGTATCATACAGCACATGGTAACTAGTCCCATTGTCACTCCCACACAATGTACTTCCACTACCAACAATGGCCATTAAGTCATGATAAAAGACTGTAACCTGAAGATGTGAAATACCTCAAAAAGCAGTTCATCCGGTAAGCAACGATGTAAAAGTGCAGGATCCACATGAGGCCTTCTACTAGCACTTCCAAATGGCGCAACAGGTCTCACGTTAACTCCATAAAGATCTGAAACAAAACGCATAGCAACAATGAGAAGTGAATTTGACCACACAACTACACTAAGTAAACGATACAAAGCTTCAGCAGAAAAATTAGAATGAGAAAACGAAACAAGGCCAAAGTAACCATTGCAGCACATACCAAGCCATGGCCTCCTCGTAACAAAGTAGTCAACAGTCTTCAACCTCAAAACTGACTCGAGTTCAGAAGACACTGCTAACGCAAAATCTGCCAAATAAAAAATGAAGACGCACTTCAATGCCCAAATCATTCCTGGTGAGAACCCTTGCACTTGCACGCATAACAAGTCAACAACAACACGATTCATAAAAGCTCAACTTTAATCACTTGTACACATTAAACCAACTTGTAATTTCTAAACATGAAATTACCTTAAATGTACACATTGAGCTGAAGCACGGATTATCAATTCTTAATTTATTTATCCAAAATTAGAGAAGCCATATCAAAATAAAGAAAATCATTGACAATTAAATCCAGAATTTCAAGATTTTGATAAGTTTGAATTATCAATCGTGTCAGATGACCAATTCAAAATAATATATATAGAAAGCGGAGTGCAGAGAGGAAATCCAAGAGCACCTGAACCAGATGCCATTAGGACATGCAGCAGCAGAGTGAGGCTCCTTCACGAATTTCTCAGGCAAATTGAGAAGAAGGACAAGAGAAGAAAATGAGTTCAGAAACTCGGTAATAATTTGGAAATCAGAACCAACAACAAACCCCTAAAACGCTGCCGTATCGACGTTAGCCAGTTAAGAAACGCGCCCTAGTGCTTTGGCGGGTCCTTAAATTGAGAAGCCTCGCATTCTATCCCATGCTTGTTTTGATACCCTTATATCACAAAAAAAATATTTGTTCACTAAATTGCGTCTACATACATCCAAGGTATGATGATTGGATAAGTTTTCTATAAGTATTAATTTTTACAAATTATTATTTAAACAATATTATAATGTATTTTTTAAATTCTGTTTATATCAATTTTTCAAATATGTTTCTTATTTAAAAATATTGAGTATGAAAATCATTTTTTAAATAATTAAAGTAGAACAATTTTTATTATCTCCTTTCATTTTGAGAAAATAATATTTAAATATGTGACAAAAAATAAAAATTAGCCAGAATAGAAAACTAGATATGACAATTTAAAAAATAAAATAATATGTATAATAATAAATACAATATTAATTATTTAGATGTATAAGTAATATATTATACACAAGTTTTATGTCAAGAAAAATTGACTTTATTTACAGCCTCAAAATAGGTCATAAGTTTTTTTTTTTTTGCCGTTAAAAATGTCATAAGGTCATAACTGCTTTTATTTGCAAATTGAAATGCACGGTGTTTATCCAAGAGGCCCGAAACTGCAACCACAAAAATTTTGTTGTGGATAAAATAAATAAATAAATAAAACGAGCACGTGAGAAAGTTTGCTGTGTGGGTGACTGGGTGTGGATTTGAGCTGCTATAAACTGTCTCTCTCTCTCCAACTTATAATATCCATGATGAGTTCAGATACAAGTTCAATTAAATGTTCATCTAATCATTTTTTATTATAGTCAGATATTTAATTATAAAAGTTTTAAATTCAATTAAAACTATTGCTTTTTAAACAAGCTAAAAATTTTTTAATTTTAAATAATTATACTGAACATGCGTGTATCTGTCTCTTTTTTATAAATTATTAAAATGAACTTAAAAAATATTAATTTAAAATAGTTTATAAACTCCTTTAAACTTTCATAAATTCATAATGTTTTAAAGATAAAGATGTATATCTATCTTACATAAATAATCTTTTTTTACATATTTACTTTTATGGGCTATCTTTGTTCCCATGCATTGTCCTTGTTATTAGGCTTGACCCATTCAAAAGAAGAGTTAGTGGGCACGAGGAAAAAAAAAACATGTGCCAACAAAGTTAGCAAAATTAATACATTGATTTTTTAAAATATAGTTTAATTTCAAATTTATTTTTATTTAATTTAATGTTCTAGCTAATAATTTGAAATCAAAATTATTGTTCTAGTATAACAATGTTAAATTTTATCAATAATTTACTCGAACTTTACTAAAAATAATATTTATGATAGAACATTGAACTAAGACATATGATATGCAGGCAACTAAGTACAGCGGAGGTCACACAACAATGGCAGGGAGAAGCCCATAAAATTTTATCAATCATCTCTGAAAAATAAATATTTTATATTTGAAGCAAAATGATAAAAAAAACGAGTCACCAAAAATAGTAAGATTTAGATAATGTTTGTTTGTATTTAAAAAAATTAATAAGAAAATATATTTATTTTTTTAAAATAAATTTAATATATATATATATATATATATATATAAATAAATATGCTCTTAATCTATATTTTGAAAAAGAACAGGCGTTCAAGATTAAAATTTGACCCCAAAAAAAAAAAATGCTTAGATTATGATGAAATCACAAATTTTTAATATGTTGATTGAAATTTATATATAAATAAAACTTTTTAATTAATCTTCAAAAAAGAAAATAAAAATTGACTGTTTAGAATTGAGTATTAATATAGTTTTCGATAAATTTTTAGTGCTCATCACGACGGATATCTAGCACTCGTATAAGAGAACAAACGTTAAATAAATATAAGTTAAAGGATTAAACTGAAAAGAAAATAAAGGAATAAATTAAAATATGAACCAAGTTTAAAGGCCTAGGGTGTTGATTTTATTCATAAAAAAAACATTATAAACTTCAGAATGAAGTCTTACGCAATTAGGATGCGAGGAGTTAATGTTGGTCCTGCAATTATAATAAACAGCATTGTTTTAAATAAACGATTTAAATTCAAATGTCTTATATATGAAAGTTCTTTAAAATATTTATAATCAATCTTTTTGATTAAAAAATATTTTTGAAAATTTTTAATTTTTAGAAATATTTTTAAAGTATTCATACCAAATATGAAAATTTAGCATTTTCAACTTAAAATTCATGAAAACCTTAAAATTTGGCCTACCAAGCATTCCCTTACAGAAGATTATTCGATAAAAATAGTTTTTGTGAAAAGAAAAAACAATTTAAATATGTTTATAATATTATAAAATATAATAATAGAATACTAACCTTTAAGATTTAACAATTGTATAAACAAATTTTACTCATTTTTTGTAAAGTTTTATTACTTTTTACATATTTATTTTGTGTGATTAAATTATTCAATTAAAAAATTTTATGCATCGTTAAAAGGATATAAAAAATAAAAAACTTTTTGAAAGTAAAAAAAAAAAAAAAAAAGGTGACGTGTCACAGTGGTATAAATTTTGTGTATAAAAACCATCTTATCTAATTATTGGGCCAGACGAATTTTCCACTCCGTAGTAACGTGAGGTTTGTTTTTGGACCTAACGTTTGTTGGCGTTCCGATGAATAAATTAATATGAAACAACCTTAACGTGGCCCAGGTACTGGCTGTTAGGAACCACATGGCCCAATTAGGACACAAAGAGGGACACATCAATAATTTTTTATTTAAAAAATGATGGCAGGTCTGAATTTGCATCTTTATATCAACTAGTCAACCTTCTTATTATTAGTCTAATATTAATGACTTCATCTTACCTTGAACATGGACGGCAATAGATGTCCATATATACTTGATGATCCAACGTTAAATTCTCTGGAATATTAATCGCATCAATAATTATGATAACTGTAATAAAATATGTTTAATTTTATTTAATTTTATTTTTAAATATTCTTTATTTAACTTTATTTTATGATGTACACTTTCACGGAGTTACTTCCTTATTTGATATTGGGCTATATAGTGGCATCACAGCTCAGTGAACTTTGATATGGTTTTGGGCGTTGTTAACTGAAAAAAGCAGTGAAAGATTTTGAACTGAAAAAGATTAAGAAAAAATGGCCCGGGGAAGAAGGGGGTCGTCTTTTTCATGGAGAGTTGAGAGGAATCAAAGAAAGTTGAAAGATTTCCATCACCGACAAGTGAATGTATGAAAGTAGTTATGTCAGCTAGAAATCAGAAAAGCAAACGAACCTTACTAATTAAATGAAGGATATGAGAGTGATGGACACTCATCTCAACTTAATAGCATTATTTGAGTCGACCAGTCATAATCCTTCACATAAAACATGGTATGAAAAGCACCATGCTACTCAAGTTACATATCATTCACCCAAAAATACCCACCATCTAACCACTCACAACTCATCCTATTATTTGGTCGGTGACTCATAACCTTTCACAAAAACATGCCATGAAAGCAACGTATCCAACGTTTTTCACTTTATCGTTTACACCAAAATATACCCAACAAAGCATCCACGGTCCTAAATAAGTGGTTAATCGTTATTCAGATTATGTTTCTTATGGAATAAGACCAATTTCAATATTACATATATTATCTATCATATTTGTATAATTGGTACGCCACATGCCATATCTTAATTAATTATCACTAAAATGTTTTTCTCACTCAACATTTTTATGGTGAAAATCTAATTCTATGTAAGGATCTAAGTTAAAAATCAAAAGGATAAATAAGATAATGTGTCTATTTATTATTTTAGTATGTATTAAATATAAAATAAAATAATATTTAATTTTCATCTCATCTTATATTTATTTTTTAAATTATGCATATTTTTTTTTAACAAAGACAATCTTGCTTAATTAAAAAAAAATTCACGTTATAGTGAAATAAATTATATTAAAAAGAATATACACAAAATTTAACACATGATAGCTTGTTAAAAATAAATAAATCATACACTACTTAAACTAACTTCATTAATAAATAAAATATATTTTTATTATTTATATTAGTAAAAATACAGAAAAATAATAATAAATGAACTCCACGACAATAAAAAATTTTATTTAGTTATTTAAAAGTATAATAATTTTTTAAATAACATAAAATGAAAAATAATTTATATTAAAGTTAATATAAAAAATGTTAATTTGTTCAAGTAAATTTAATTTTTAATTAATATAATAAAAATATTATTTATTTCCACTTTTATTATTACTTATCTTAATAAATAAACAATTTTTTTTATTTTAGTCCATACAAATACTTTTTATCTATGTTAGTTTTTTCCTCTTATTTCTTAGTTCTCTAATTCTCTTCTCATTCAATATATATACACTACTTAAACTAACTTCATTAATAAATAAAATTGGAAGGATAAAAAACATGATTAAACCTAAAAAAATACTTGGATCATGCATATTAAAGAGTACATAATAAATATGATGCATTTGATCACAAATCAAATACCATGATTTAATAACGTTTTTTTTCTTTACATTAATTGATAATAATAATAATAAATCCCTTGTAAAAGATTAATTTGAAGTAAATGATTTGATTAAGTTTTAATTTATCATCTGAATTTTCTTCACTTTCGTGAAAGAGGGGCCGCTACCAACACTTTTTATGAGACTGAGCAAAGTCGCGTCTCTGTGTACTTTCCTCTTTGCTGCACTCACTCGTCCTTTTGTCTCTATATCCAACCCTTTTCCTTTTTCCTACCCAAAAATCGATAATGAATAAGAAAAGCTAATGTATGTTGTTGAACAAAGACCACAATTACCTCTTTTGGTAACTCTTCACCTCCATTATTCGAGCTTTTTATATTAGAGGTCTGGATTCTAATCTGTCACAATCATCGTTGGACGTGTCCAAAGTGACGAAAAGAAACTGATAATGCATTACCTGCGACGATATTTAATTTATTATTAAAAATAAATATCCCATCTTTTTTTTTGGGGCACAAACATGTAATTTCTTA